AGTTATGATGGGAGGAAGTTGAGAGCAAATTGAAAGGAAATTGAAAGCCAGAGGGGAGCGAAAGGCGGGTGGTAACCCCAGCGGCGTTGAGTGGTTGTCGGAAAGGGTCGGAAGTCAGAAGTTTTTGGGTGCGGGTGAACGTGATGGGGGAAGTGAAAGGTATGATTGTATGGTTAGCTCTGCAGCTGGATACTGTGCATCTAGATGACAATCTGTTGTGAAGAGAGCGCGAAAAGAGCGACGATGAAAGCAAGAAACGCCAAAAGAAGAGGCATGACGCTCGGGGGACCGAGGCAGTACTGGAGAATGTTGCGACGAGGGCCACAGGGCTGGAAGATGGTTGATGAAACGGCGGCTGTTTCACGCACGGTACGGCTTGCAGCTGAGGAGCGGCTTCCAGGCGCAGAGTCTTGCGATTCGGAGAAAGCGAGAGTGTGAGAGCGCAAAAAGAGCGAGGATGAAAGCAAGGGATGTGAAAAAAGAGGAAGACACACGGTGGCGACAAGCGACGGGTGGACCCTTAAACCTAATTTCAAACCTTAACCGAGTTCAACATGAGTGGACTATGCATGCATGGGTTGAAAACGGTACAGGAAAGAAGGCTAGGTTTTTTTAGGGGGGGTCGGTGCGAGAGGTGCAGTGAGGCAAGGGTTAGGGCAAGCACAGGAAGCAAACAGAAGCAAATGTGCTCAACAATCTGTTCAATGCATTGGACCCCATCAAAAGAACATCATTTTACTGTTGGTTCAGTACACTTGTGGGTAGAGACCTGGTGTTATCCAGCCAACACATCAAAACAACTTTTGTCCAACCAAGAAGCTTGACCATCAATATCTGAGTCATATACATTTATTGCAGAGATATTGTCACATCTGTACCAACTGGATCCTCCAGCACAAATGTGCATCCTTGATGTCTTCCACATTTGACCCCTCAAATCATGGGTGAAGAATGACATACCTGCCCGTGTGCAGACGCCACCACCACCTTTGAATTTGAAGGTGACATAGAGTACAAAGTTAAGGCTATTCTTGACCACAGGATGTGCTACAGATGCAGATATCATCTGGTTAGATGGCTTAGCTACAACAGATAAACATGTGAGACACTGAAACTTCTCAAAAACAAATACAATGACATTCAAGAATACAATTCCAAACACAACATCCATCTTTGATATATACAAGCAACAACAGGTACTCGTACATACATTCCGGTTCAGATCAAATTCTATAATCACTACAATAGTCATCATGAGACCAGTAGAGTACTGTATTTTCCCATATATATTCAATGACAAAACAACAAATTTGGAGTGCATACACCTCTTGGTGATCAGATCTGCTCTGAGGAGACAGCTGTCATGAACATCAAGTGCAATAGTGTCACAGGGCTGGTCACTGACTGTCGGGTTGAGCTGACGATTTGTCCAAAGGAAAGGACGGTGCCAAGTTGTCAACTAGTAAAGGAATTACGAGATATCTGTGTTGATTGTGTATTGTGTGACCCTTCAATGTGAAATTGTTACAAGGCAAGTTTGTCACCCATAACTGGGAGAACTACTATGGAAAGTTTCTCCCTATATATACCTAAATCTACAAACTCTACAGATGACTCAACATGACACTCCACTTGTTTCACTACTAGAAAGGATCCTGATATCTTGATACTAGTGTAATGGCCTTCCACGGCAAGCCATTACAACCCATCTTACATAACATGTGTTGGGCGCTGGAGACCTCCACTGCACCTCCACTGCACCTCCACTTCACAAGACCACTGGCGCTACCACCTCACTCCAACCTCGCTCCCATCTCACTTGCACCATGAAAGCCACCATCCGCCTCTAGCATGCTTTGCAGACCCTGGGGTTAAAATATAGAGCATAGCATTATTCAGCCACGCATGTGTGTTGAATAATCAAGTTGTAAGGATCAAGAGTGACCCTCCACTAGGATAATGATGATGTAACGACTGGGCAGAGCCAGGGGCGGAGAATAGCCGACATAGAAGCCGGGGATCGACGTAGAAGCCGAGAAGCGATGATGACAGGTGAGTGTGTCGGACAGCGAACGGTCACCTGTATTGCATAGGCTAATAACTGGACTAAAGTCAGAACTCGCCAAGCCTTGCACAACACACAAACAAGCAGCTGTCCTTAGGAAAGAGACGAGCCAGAGAGATGAGAAGAATGGAGAAGATAGGATTGAGCTGATGCTTACCTGGGCTAAAGTCAGAACTCGCCAAGCCCTGAGTAGTCCAGTTAGTATCAAGAACAATTGAGACTATCCTATTCGCAACTCACTTGCACAACACACAAACAAGCAGCTGTCCTTAGGAAAGAGACGAGCCAGAGAGATGAGAGATGAGGAAAAGAGTCTCTCGGCTTTGCTTGTTTGCGGTTGTGCCAGCGTGTCAGAATCTCGGCATTACGTGGGAAATAAATCCGTGGCGGGTAAGAGGCCTGCTCTCTTACACAAGTGGGAGATTGGAAAAGCGGGTGGCAAAACACAAAAAAAGCGTTGGAAATTATTGATGAGGCCAGAAAGGTATAAAAGGGAGACTTCTTAGCCAGCTGATAGAATCTCATCAATAATGTTATCTCATGAAACCCCAGCTTAGAACCTCACAAGTCCTAATCCTTGTTCAATACAGTGGTCTAGCATAACACATATAGTCTCTCAACCTGTCAACACTGATAACGAGACATTTACAAGCTGTCCATCTGCTGGGGATCTTTGCGCCTTATAGAACCTCTTCGTCCATTGAGCACCACATCACCACCGCGTGGAGTTTAACCTTTATAACTAGACTACACTGCTTTACATGTATCCTTTCTTCCTTCAAACAGAGCTTTCTCCTGATATATGATTCAGCTTTGAGCCTGCAGACAGGGGATCTTATCTTCTCGCAATTATCACAGCATTGCACAGCATTGCACACTAATGCACAGGATTGATTTGAAACTTTGTGGTTCATGACAAATAGGGGTATAGTCCAAGTGTTTGTGTGGGAAATAACAGTAGTGAGGTGGCTGAGTTCAAGAAGGGTTGTAAAGGCTAAAGAAGATAAGCAGGTGGAGAGAAGAGTGTCACAGTATATCTGTGGAAGTCATGGTGGTGATACTCCGGGTGGAAGCCTTCACTCACAGAGGACCAAGGATACCAAGCGCAAGGTCTGAACTGTAGCACACCGATATGTGTGCATGGAGGGCAGCCCATGCGTGGAAGGGTGTTTTGTGCTGTAACTTTACTCTTTGCTCTCTTCTTCTTCCTTATTGACCTGTCAATGCATATCCAATATATTCATAACCAGGCAAGGTCCCACTACAGACACCACCAGCTATAGAAATCACAGTCTTTAGACCCTACTACAAACACCACAGACTCTACAGCCCTCTGCACCCTCTCCCACAACCTAGCCCAGCCAGTAAAGAGAGACTTGTTGAGGTCTCCATTATCGTCACCCAGCCTTTCTTATATACATGAACGAGTGTGTGTGACAGGACAATAGACAGGTTGGCTATGCTGAACAGCTAGAACTTGGAGGAAGTGTAGCATGCTAGGCGCCTGCACGCCCCATGGACTATTTTACCCTTGCTCGTCTCCGTCTTTGTCTCCGTCTTCGTCTCCGTCTTCGCTTTTGTTACTCGTTCTCGTCCTCTTCCTTCCTTCTAGTAAGGCTGTCCAACATAGGTCGACACGTCCATATTCGTCACCCTGACTTTCTTCCACCCGTCTCCTCTTCCTTATTGTCTTTAGCCTTTTCGTACGCCTTATTCGCTTCGTGCCGTAGTCGTAACACGTAGTCGTTCTGCCCATCGTCCCGTCTATCGTCACGTCACTTATTCATGTATATAAGAAAGGCTGGGTGTGGAGACAGGGACCTCAAACTATTCTTTGACTCTCTTCTCTCCCCTGCTCTTCTTCCTTCACCTCTACTACCACTTCCAAGACCACATCCAAGCACACCTGTGTCTTCCTCTTCACGTACTTGGACTCAACCCTCAATAACACTTGGTGATACTTTCAGCTGTCACCCCCAGAGCAGGCCTGATCACCACAGGAAGTATGAGTACACATTGGCTGACATGACAGACATGACATGCATCAGCCAACAATACAGAAGCGGGTTGGCTACGCCAGCACATTGAGGATATTAGAAACAAGGGAGATATGGACAATAAGGAGAGGACTCTAGGTGTGAGCGAGTAGGTTGCACAGCCGTACAAGGGAACAGTTATAGAAGCAAGAGTACTAGAGATAGTCATTGGAGCATAAAGTCACAAGAGTCCCATCTAGGCTTACATCTCCCTGTGCTCACGCATATAGTTGCAGGTGTTGCCGCCTCCACCGGCTTGACAATGTTTTTGATCAAGCCGGCAACCTTCAAGAGCTTGATGAAAATAGTCCTGTCCCTCTCCTTGATGTTGTGGATGAGCCCAAGAATGATAAGAGACAAAGTGTCTATATCAACAGAGGAGGAAGAAACAGTGGCAGAAGTACTTCTTTAGATAATCTTTGGACTCAAACATTGAACAATGTCAAAAGCTGGAGTGGAGTTGTGGCATTTGTAGTATAAGTATCAGACAGATTAAGTCTGATCATCAAGGACTCAGGAAAAGGTCAAGATGCTGGTTCAATACATTCACCTCTGCAGATCAAAATGGGGTTTGCAATCTGCCCTCTTCATATCTGAAATGGTGTTGCCCATTCTCACCCATTCTTGCCCATTCTCGCACCTGTTATCTTGTTCTTGCCACATGTATGCACTTGTGAATGATGACAGTCAAGTCTTGTGCTGTGTAAAATCTGACACCAGACTGTGACATGCCTTCTCAGTAACCCTCCTGGACTGTCTCTGATGCTGCATCCTGTTGATGAGACCAATGCATTGACTACACACTGGAACCAAACCTCTTTGACCCCACTACTTTTTGAAGATACAAATAATGCTGCAGATTTGTTAGTCTACATCACACAGCTAATCCGCTTATCAACTCACTCTTCATCATCCAAGACATGGCTATAAAGACACATGACCTGTGATTAGCATGTACCAATGTCCTATGCGACCAACATGACTCACTCCAGCCCGACTTTTTGCCCTCTGACATGTTTGGCTGATGTGCCCCATACCATAGCTGTGACATATATGAGCATGTTGTTGTACAATTATAAGTTATTACTGACCATTCTTGAATTGCTTCAAGATCTCCTTGTGAATTGCGTTACAGAAATCCTCTACAGTGCACTTGCCACGCTGCAGCACCACTGGGGAAGAATAGTCAGGCTGCTGGCCCCTTGGCTTGGTGTAGCTAAATAGACGGTCAGTGTTGCCAAGGGATGGTGAAATTGTGACGCACATTCGGACAAGGTTCAGCTTGTCCCACATGACCTCTAGAAGCTCGTCGACATTAAGCCAAAGCTTGGAAGAGATAGGAACAGAGTTGGGAATCTGCGAGAAAGTTGATTAGCTGATAGACAAGCTTTATAGAGATATCAGCACCTTGTACAGAAGATCAAGTTCCTCGATACTAATGGCATCAATCTTGTTGAGAACAAAGATGGCAGGGATGTAAACTCTGTTCTGTAGTCAGCAATAATACAACAAAGGAAAGTTATAAGACACACCTGTTACCTTCCACAACATCGATGAAATCTTCAATGGTCGCATCTGGTTGATGGATCGAGACGGCACAGTTACTCATTCGATACTCCTGCAATACAGCCCTGATTTCCTGCGCATCGATCTTGGTGAGGGGTACAGTGTTTGTGATGGCAATCTTGAATGGAACGTCTATCAACAACTTGACAGGGTAGAAAAAGTATCACTCACACCACCACTTTCCTTCTTCTTGACAGAGATGGCTGGAGGTTTCTTGTTGAGTCGAATACCGAAGCCTTCCAGTTCATGTGTAAGAATAGCCAAATCGTTGAGCGGTTTCAGAACATCCAGTACGATGAAGATCAGGTTACAAGTTCGAGCAACAGCAATCACTTGACGACCTCGACCTTTACCGTCTTTGGCTCCCTCGATGATACCTGAATTGATGTTTAGAATTGTCTTGCATAGGGACCATCGGTGCTCACCAGGCAAATCAAGAATTTGGATTCGTGCGCCGTTGTATGTCATTTGTCCGGGTACTGTTGTTAACGTAGTGAATTCATAGGAAGCAGCTTCAGAGTGAGTACCACTGCGAAAGGATCAGCATGACAACAGTCTAGGGGCAGATATTCGTACGTGAGTTTGGACATGAAAGTCGATTTTCCCTAGAGATGACACGCTCACTTCAGCCAACAAGACACTGCAATACCATGTCAAACTTACTACACTGGGGAATCCAATGACGGTCACTGTTGCTTGACCTGATCGAGCAACATCAAATCCAATGCCAGGACCGCCTCCACCTCCTCCGGAAGGCGCAATCAATTCTCGGCGAAGTTTGGCAAGTTTGGCTGCAGACGACCATGTCAGTATGTGACCAGTACCGAAATCATGCCGCCGTACCTTTCAGTTGTCCAAGATGGTATCTTGTCAAGTTGGGGTCAGTGCCGTATGAAAAGAGCTCGATAAACCTACTCGGTATTTTTGTTTCTCTAAGTGAAAAATATCAATGAGCTTGATCAGGTCACGGGAAGAATCATCACTCACCTGCGTCCTCGCCATCTCCTCCTCAATGTCTTTGATCTGCAAGATATAAGCTCTGTTCCTCTGGCACTGGATGAAAGACGCACTTTCTGAACGGTCGTCATGGCGGCAGCTGGGCTTCACTGTGGGGTATGCGTAGGGAAGTGGGGAAGACGCGAGGGAAAAAAGAGGAAAGTGAAAGAGCGACAAGTGATGACATACGTTATAATTTTGAGTTTACGTAACAGCGGGGATGTACTTATAGCTACAGTCGACTGCACGCACTGACGAATCTCCCTCCGCTCCCTGCGATGGCGCACCCCCTGACCCAGCAGCCGCCGTCCTCCCTCGCCTTCTCCTTTGCCGCCCGGCCCTCCCCGCTCTCCTACCCCTTCGGCCATCCCCCCACCCACTCCCCCACCCACTCCCCCACCCCGTCCCGCTTCGCCGCCGCCCCTGCCTTCTCCCCCCGTCCCCCCGTCCACCAATCTCTCAAGCGCCCAAAACGCCAGCGCTCTCCATCCACATCTCCTCCCACCTCCCCGTCTTCGCCACCCTCCAAACAACGTTCCGGCCTCTCAGCAGCCCACAATGCCGCTTCAGCTCTGTCCGCACCTGTCTCTGGTCTCGAGCAACAGTCCAGCAAGCGCACCAAGCTCCATGCTTCCCAGCTAGGCCAGCATCAACAGGGCGGTGTCGATGTCGGGGTTATGTTGGGTACGTGGGGCTGCTTTGACGTGTGCATTCCGTAACGCTAATGCAGTTACCTGCAGCCACTCTCCCTCTTTCTGCCCACCTGCCTATCCTCATCCAGCTTCTCGAAGCCAACCCCTCTTTGGCCTCTTCAGTCTTGGATATGATTCCCCAACAGGATCTCAAGTCCTGCGTAAAGGAACTGGGCCGGCGTTTCGTAGACATTGAGCGCGTTGGCGGGTCCATCAGCCACCCCTCGGTGATACCAGGGACGATCGCGGAAGGTCGAAGATGGGACCGCGTCGTCAACGAAGTCGAAGTCTATTGTCGCACGGTAAGCCATCTCTTTTGCTTTCTGTGCAAGGCTGATTGAATACGACAATTAGGCAACGACATACATCAACTATCTTTCCACCGCTGTACAAATCTCCAACGACTTTCAATCCCTCTTCTCTCTCCTGCATCCCCTTACGTCGCAACTTGTCTCCATACTGTCAATCATTCCCTCCTCACACGTCAACAACCCCCTCCCTGGTCCCGCCCCGCTGGTTCTAGAGCTTGCCAAATTTGTGCTATCGACTTGGTCTTCCTGGGTCACGGGACTGTCCTCGGATGTGAACGACAAAGGTGGCATGCACCCGCACTCTCTAGTGGCGCATTGGGCAGAGACTCTGGACAAATTGGTGTCCACCACCACCAGTCTGTCGCCATCCCAATCTTCTGGCAGTAGCCACTGGTCTATACCTGTTCCCTCCCAAGGTGCCCCATGCCCACAAGAGTCTGAGCTGGTGGTATCTTTTCGGGAAGCACTCTCCCAGTCGAGAGACCAGTTTGCGACCCAGGTAGGCTGGTTGATAGGCCGACCTAGCCGGTAGAAGGCGTGGTCGTATATGTGTATCTTTTCATCATCAATTCACAATTCGAGCTGTCCATTTTAGCAAATTGTTGTGTGTAAATATATCTCATCTCTTATGAACGAGTGCCATATGAACGTGAGCAACGCGGCGGCTACATGAGCTCTGCATGCGGAAAGTTATGCTAAGGGTAGTATCTAATCACTCCAGATTCAACGGTTTCCGATTGGATGTAACGATACAGCAGTTCCGATCTGATCAGGCCATTGTGCTTCCAAACACGTTGCCCATCATTGTGAACCAGAATCCTCGATAAAGACTGGGCCATCCTTCCTCTTCCACAATCTTCCGAGCACAATCCAACAATCCATTATAGGGCTCCGTGGCGGGACGTAGCCCGATCACGTCCTCATCTGTGCCGCAGAAGGAGACCCCTTCCAGCGGCTCGTCTTCTGCCCCCTCCACAGGCATGGCACCTCCAGTGTTTGGTTGAACGGACAGGCGAGTAGCAATGACTTCCAATGGCGTGAACCAGAGGGTAGCCAGGCACTGCCACACAAAGTACAGCAGCCAACGCCACCAAGCAATGTCGCTTGTGGTCTCTTCTGTGATGACAGCTGTCCCCAAAAAGAAGACGCGCATAGTTCGGGCAATCAAAGTCGCACAGAGCGCATGGGCAAAGGTTGTCGCTAAAAGTCCGGGGGTCAAGTAGAGGAGATAGGGTTTCGAAATCTCAACTGGTGTCAGAAGAATTCGAAGCGATGCGGCGGGGGAGTTGGGTAATTTGTACGGGGTTATGATCGAACTGCAGGGCTCGCCTATGAGTTGCTGCCATCTGGGTACGTCGCTCGAAAGCTTACCGATTGATAATGACGGTCATGGGAAGGGCTATCAGTGTCAATATGATTGTGAAGATGGCCATCCTGATGATCACAGGTCAGCCGTGCATTGCTTATGTTCAGAGAGTTTACGAACGACACGCCTCCTGCTTCAGGGACACTATATGTGTTCTTGGGCCCTTTGGTGGCGGACCCGCCCACAAAGGCAATTGAGAGTATGGAGATCAAAGTAGAGTAAACAAGGGTCGGGAAAGTCCCTGCGGGCGCAGTCAGCTTGTAGGCTTTATGAGGATCAACTGATCTTACCTTTCCAGATTCCCCACCACCCCTCCAGCTCCTTTGTACGTTTGAGGGTTCCCAAAAGAGTGTGCAGTGTCGGACCAACCCTTTTGAGGACAATCAGCAAGTGCTATAGATATGCGGTAGATGCGGGCTCACCTCGCCTCCTGACCAAGGCCGACGGCGTGGGGGTTGTAGTTGGCGCGGAGGCGGACGAGCGCGCCGGAGAAGGGCATGGTGATGGCGACGCTGGCGGCCATGATGGCGGCCATGAGGACTGCGGCCAGCAGGAGGGTGAGGATGAATTCGAACATGGTGGCGGCGTGGTAAGAGGAAGAGAGACAACAAGAATGCGATGACGCGGAATAGACGCAGCCAGGCGGACAGCGCCGCCAGAGCAGGTCAACGGGGCCGCCGATAGCCGCAAGATAGCCGTCGAGTGGGTATCTCTGTTATCTTCTGGGTATCTGTGTATAAATATTCCTGAACTATCCCCCATCCATCCCATCCCCCACACAGCTGCAATGCCCAACATCCTCGTCACTCGACACCTCGGAGACCACGCCATGGCCATCCTCGACAAGTCCGGCATCGACTATCTGTTGAATACAGAGGATGCTGCGCCGTCCAGGGAATGGGTGCTCAAGCACATCGCCGACAAGGACGTTCGTGCCGCCTGCATTATGCACAGCCAGCCTAGCGACAGGATAGACGACGAGTTCATCCGCACTGCCAATCCCAACTTCTCTGCCGTGTCAACCTTTTCGGTCGGCTATGGTATGTCTGACCAAGGCCAGATCAGATGGGGTACAAGCTGATCCACGCTCAATCAGACCACATTGATGTGAAGGCCGCGAACAAGAGGGGCATCAAGGTCGGGCATACGCCGGGTGTGCTGAGTGGCGCGGGTAAGCAAGCATATGATTTCCATTTACCGACTCCGGATCTGACCAGCCTTCCCTCTTGACAGTTGCCGATATTGCGGTGATACTCGTGCTGTGCACCCTTCGAAGAATCAATGAAGGTATCAACCTTGTCAAGAGCGGGGAAGTGAGTGGAGCCTTGTCGAAAGGTCGTGCTGATATCATCCTTCAGTGGAAAAATCAACCTTGGGCACCCTTTGTCAATTGCGGTCTGTCGATCGGTCACCCATCTCTCACTATCGGGTTCCTCGGCTTTGGACGCATTTCTCAGGCCGTCGTTCGACGATTGCTAGCATTCACCAATGAGAAAGAGCCCCCTTCCATCATCTACAACTCCTCACGGGAACGAGACAACCAGGCCGAAATCGACTCGGATTTCAGTGCCAAATTCGGTGTTCAAACGCAAAGAGTAGAGAAGGATGTTTTGGCAGAAAAGTCCGACATCCTGGTGGTTCTGTGCGACCTCAATCCTTCCACGAAGGACGTTGTCAACAAGAATTTCTTCGCTCGAATGAAGAGTACTGCCATTCTCGTCAACGTTGCTAGGGTGAGATATCTCGTCTACGCGCCCATTCCCCTCAGCTAACAATCGCTCTCATTAGGGTCCGATTGTCAACTCGGAAGACCTTCATGAAGCTCTCACTACTGGGAAGATCTATGGCGCGGGGCTTGACGTCGTGACTGGAGAGCCGAATATTCCCGCTGACCACCCTCTTTTGCAATTGGACAACTGTGAGTCTGGTGCCATTAAATCATGGTCAGCTCTGATGACACCTAGGTCTTGTAATCCCCCATCTGGGCAGTGGTGACTTGGATACTCGTAACGCCATGGCAGAGTTGTGTAAGTGTTGTAAATCGCCAATAGCCAATTCATCGTTACTGAATGGAAGTCTCTATAGGTGTGCGCAACGCTATCGCTGCTGTCAAGGGGGAGGCGCTCCCCGCTGAAGTCCAAGTCTAGCACACCTTTTGCTAGACGGGTATCTCTCTTCGGTGTTCTGGTGTGTACGGTTGATGTACTTACAGTACAAATCGCCTTCTAGAATGCAGATGTGGTTTTCTTCAAATATACACATGACTGCGTTCCACGAACCAGGCCTGCCCAGTGACCACGCCCGACCCGCTTCAAGCAAGTAATCTTTGATATACATTCAATTACATCGTATGACCTGTTGCCCGTCTTTACAGGGTGCCTCCGTTCTCTGTTTCCAGCACTGAATTGCTTGGATGGCATTGATTGAGACCGTCCTTCCCCCCTAGCACAAAGTTGTTGCAAGTGTATTGGATCTCTGGGTGGTCATTCTTTCCGGGCTCAATGGCAATGTCCTTGAAGGTCCAATCATGGCAGGGTGTCAGCTTGGAGCAGGACATCCAAGCAACACGGTTGGCCAAAGCTGTTCCCGTAAAGTTCTGTAGATGTATGTCGTACCATCTGTGAGATGGGTCAGATTTTTGTCCTCGAATTGGGCTTTGTGTCTGCTCACTCAAAGAGCCCGGTGTCCGAGTACTTGTCCCTCTCGAATTCGAGATAGGTGAGACTGTCGCGCGTCAGCCATTGGGCAAGCAATTATCAGATAACTCACTCTGACTGAACTACAAGCGGGTGCCAAATATCTTCCATATAGACATCCTTCACTGTCACGTTGCGACAGTAGCCGTAGCCCCCTCCACCTCCGTTTGGAGGTGTCCCGATAGAGGCTCTAAAGATGTTGTCGGTCGACAGTCAATTCTGATTGACGTGATACTCACCCCAACCAAGACTTGAAGTATACTCCTTGATATCCGGGACATTGGTTGGATGGATAAAGCTTGACATCTTCCATGTGTACGTCTTCAATGATATCTTTCTATAAAGGCCTGCCTATTAGACCGATGGCACTTTGAAGAAGATGACAGAACGACTTACCACTCCTGCATATTGTGCAATTGAGCCAAACGCAATACCAGTGCCACCAACACAGGTAACATTGCGGACGTTAATCAATGTGCTATTGGGCTTGAGAGCAATGCAGTCATCTCCACCTTGATAGACAAAATTCTCTGTAGATGCATTAGCAATACGCGCTATCTACATGCAAACAACTCACCATAAGTGACGTTGTAACTTTGATAAGTATCCGAGCCGTCTATGGGGTTCGTAAGCTAGCTGGTCGGAATCACCGCTCGAGATAACGATTTCTTACCAGTATTCTGCAGCCAATTCTTTTCGTCTGATCGAGACTCTGGGTTGAAACTGGTGGCGTTCACATAAAAGTCCCGAAAGTAGACATTCTCCGAACCCCATACGAGCGACGCCCAGAATTGGGGCTGTACAATGCTAAAGTTCCGAATGACGACATTCTTGCTATCCTTGATGGCGAGGGACATGGGTCTAGGGACAGTGCGTAAGCATATATACCTAGGCTTTGATACAAAGACAGGGACATACCGACCGAACTTGTTTCCAAAGTCTTTGGCGTACTCGTACCAGACATCGCCATTGCCGTGGATACCTCCCTTGTTGTTGCCATCGAGGACATAATCGTGACCCCTTATGACAAATGCCAAGGACTGGTTTTGAAAGTCGAAGAGGATACGGTTCGCAATCCAGAAGGGTATATCGGTCGAGAATGAGAACCAGCCATGGATATCGAGGGTGGAGTGGGCAAGGTAGATGTCGAGAGGGCGGCCGATGGTGCTGTGCATTGGGTCGGATTGAAGTCTTTGAGAGCTGAAGGGAGCTCACTAGTTTGCGTCAGGCAGTTTTACAATACCTCCTCTGCCACATTTGTCTACCGCTTTCTCAAAATTGTCGGCGTCGTCCCGCTCGTCCCCGAGAGCATGCAGGATACAGAGAGGACGGTGTCGAGCAGAAGAGGGATCAAAGTGACTGGGGAAATACTCTAGAATACCTTCCTGAGGGGTGACATGATCTGCCAGGACGATCTGGTCTCGACCGCCGTCGCTGTGGATGACAGACGCCAGTCCGAGAGCAGCCTGCGCGATGACGCCGAGAAGGGCATAGCTGAAAGACCTCATTGTGTATCTCTCACAGAGGGCTGAAAATCTGCCGGAAGTATACAGTGCTTATAACCCAAGAATGGCGAGGGGCTTTGTTAAGCCGAGTGGGACGTCTTCGGACAGCAGGTCACGTTCTTCCGGAACGGCCTTCCGATGTGCCCTGGAAGCGCCGCGGCGTTCGCAGAATCGAGTTCGCTTTCCCGCGACTCGGACCTCCCGTCAGCAATTGCAGTCTGAACCGCCATAGACACACGTCAAGCTCGGCACTCCCCCGACCATGCCCAGCCTTTCGCCCCCTTCCCCGACCCAACGCGGCCGGCTCGTCTCGAAAGAAGCCGTCAACTCCTCCCTCAAAACCCTATGGGCTGTGTCCCACACATTTCTCTATGGCTTTGCGATCACAAGTCTCAACGGCATTCAAGACTCTGTTATGTGCCGCAGACGACCAGCAGCTGCGTTCGATGAAGAACTCGGCCTCTCGAGCTGCCTTGCGATGACGGTACGTCTCGATACGTAAAGTGCTCCTCAGGCAGCCTGTCGGCTGATTCATCTGTGATAGTCATCACAATTCGGACTAGTAGTCTCTGTGTTTACACTGGGAGGACTGGCGGGGTCCCTGGTATTCCATGCAATAAGCCAGAAGTTTGGGAAAACGGGATCTCTGAGGGTCTCTGCACTGTCAGTCTTGATTGGCTCCGCTGTAGTCGGTCTGGCTGGTAACGCCCTTGTGATGGGGCTCGGAAGGTGATTGGAACTTGAACATGTTAGCCGAGGTGTGACAAGCTCACAAAAGCATCAGGATCCTGGTCGGTTTTGGATCCGGTATATCTACCGCTTGTATCCCGCTTTTCTTGGCAGAGATTGCCCCACCAGCCATAAAGCAATCTTTGGGGATCATGAACCAGCTTTCAATCGTAGCGGGAATGTGTTTCGCGCAATCGCTGTCGTTTCCCTTTTCTGAACCAGGCTCGTGGCGGCTTGTGTTTGTTTCCCCGGTCGTCATTGCTCTGGCCCAGCTATGTGGCAGCCTTTTGGTTATGGACAAGGACGACTTGTCGGAAAGCACCGTCGACGAAGAAGAGGGGCTCGGCTCTCAATCAGAGGAGAATCTTAGTCTAAGAGAGCTTATACTTTCACGAGACGAGGACGTGGTGCGAAGCTGTAAGTCAAACTCCCAACCATGCATGTCATGCTCATCAATCACGCAGTCCATGTGGTAGTGGCTAGCCAGATGTCACAACAAATTTGCGGTGTCGCCCCAGGTCGGTGCTTCGCCTTTCACCTTATATCCTGATTAATGTCGAGCTGTGTAGTCATGTACTTTTCAACTCGCATTTTGTCTCCTGTATTTCAAGGTAAAGCCAAGCTTTTAGCCCTATTTGTCGTCCTCATCAAGCTTCCTATAACCATGATACCTGCATTTCTCATCCAAGTATGTGCCTTGCTTGCTATTTTCGGAGCAAACGAGAGCTGACCATGTCAACAGAAACTTGGTAGCCGGAAGCTGTTGGTCTACCCTACCAGCATGATGTGCATAGCGGCACTCTGTCTGGCCCTAGGTATAAATACGGACGCATCAGCACTCTCCATTGTCGCTATCGTGCTCTTTGTTGTCAGTTTCTCAGTCGGTCTTGGGCCAGTGACTTGGGTTGTTCTACCAGAAGTCATGCCACACCGGGCTGTCACCGCGGCTGGAAGTGTAGGTCTAGGTCTCAATTGGTTGTGTAATTTTGGTATGGGCAGTATTTTCCTTCCCCTTCAAGAAAGATTGAGCAAGGGCGGGACACAAGAAGGAAACATATTCTATGTTCTTGCCGCCACTTGTCTCGTCTCTACCATAAGCATGGCTATCGCTTTTAGAAGACGTGATAGAATTTTGCTACAATGAATGTGGCACAGCCTGCCTCTATATATGTATTGCCAATGATCGATGTGGCACAGCGTACATGCAGTCTTCTATGCCTACGGCAGATCATTCCTTTTCCCATATCTATGGTCACTGTGTGTGTGAAGACTGGAGACGTGAATGATCTGTGGTAGTAGACGCTCAAGAGTGACGTGTCACCTGCTCAATCTGAATCGGTCAAGTCCATATCTGATGTGTCTATTCCACAGCACGGCACTTACACAAAAAAAAATCGTTTGACCTTGTTGGTATGCATAAATACAATCAGAAAGACTTCGTCCATATATTCAACTTTCACAAGAGGTTTGCCCCTATGGCCTGAGCGATTTCGGCAGTATGGACACGCCCTTGGCCGCAGTGTTGGCATCGACCATACCAAACTGAGAACTGCAGTCCAGAAGGATACGCAAAGCATTTCTCGCACGAATCCGAGAAATATCTTGCTGTGCTGATCGAGAAGGGCGAGCGATTGCAGGAGCCGGAGCGTACGGGTAGGGGAAATGCTTGTGAAGGAGCTCATAGCACGCCAATGTCACAGCAAATTGAGGGGATGATCGGATGACACTGTCGACTGTGGTCAGCGCTACCTCTTGTCTTTAAAACAACTAACCGAGCGAGACCGCCTTTGAAAAGGGCTGTAAACATGCCAGTCAGCTAGTGTCGCACAAGAGACAAGTGGCCACTGACCTCGGAGACCCTCTTCTTGGAAGATTTTGACGAGACCATCCGCGATGCCCTTGTATACCGTCTGTCCAGCTCGGGATTGTGATTGGAGTCGAGTCTTTACCACATCGGCGGGCGTGGTCCTTGATAATCGTCAGCGGGGAGTCGTCTTACATAGGTGATACTCACATGTAGGCAGCCGGCATGCCAGCGATGCCAGCAGCCGCAAGCAGCTCCCCGAAGCTCAACACCTTTCCATGTCGTCCCTCACCAAACACGTCTTTCTACGACCAACTGTCAGAACATGTCACAGCGGGAGAGTAAGGGAATCACTTTAAGATGGGCATAACTATAGGTTCAGGTCAGCGAAACGGTCCTTTCATGCACAGTCGACAAAGACTTACGACGTAAAGTATATCATGGACTGATAGGAAACCATTAGCATCAATCACAATGCCAGATCTGCACATACAAATGGAATATCCCTACGTGATAGTGGTCAGCTCTGGAATGAATAGATTGAGGCAGACTCACCTCGCCAAGCATGCAGTGGCACCCTGTAGCGGCATGATTGGTCAACGCACCCATCGACGTCGAGCACGTTACATACCTTGTACAGACCAATCAATCCCAGTTGCTTGATGATGTGGAAAGCACCTCGCGGTACAGCCCCCCCGCCTTCTGCCCGAGTGATTTCACCAGCCTGTGGACAACTTAGTATAGGCACAACGCTTCACAATGCAAGACCGGCTTGCCATTTGTAATCGAATCTTGACGATTTCTGATCAAGTTGTTAGTCTCTTCAGCGGCAGGTACTTGCAGCTTGTAGGACACTGACCTAGAGGGTTGGTAACAGCCTGGGAAACAGAATGTGAGCTGCGACACTGGCAGACACTGGAAAAGCACATACCACTTGACAACCACCCGCGGTTCCACCAGCCACAATTTCCATGATCAACGGAATCCTGCCAGTCTCTGGATCTGTGGCCTTTTTCCTGACAAGCTCATTGACTGTCAACTTGATGGCTTTTTCGGGCGCCACGCCGACAAGTTGCGGCAGAACACCCCGATAGAACGCCCTGACACCTCCTTCGTTGGCGTAGACCTTCTTGACACAGTCGAAAGCGTTGCGGTAAAGCACTTCTCCGACGACGGTGGATCGCTGGTTTTGCAGTCTGAGACAAAATTAGGCAGTGTTATATCGAGTTTGAGTGGTGGGCTTACCGAGTTTTGACCAGGTCAATCGGGTATACAGCCTGAGTTGGTTTACATCAGCAGGGGGTCTCGACTGCTAGTGGAGCGACTCACATATGCTCCAAGACCTCCAGCAATTCCACCTTGAACAAAATTGTAGATCGATTGCGCAGCCTCTCCCAAAAAGCCATTGGATTTCAGCGCCGTTTCCGATGCCGTCGCTTCAGGAGGTTGCCACTGTGACTAAGGGTCAGAGCATATACTGATGAGCAGGAGCGTGCCGACCTTGGCATCGAGGAGTGCTTGAAAGTCGGCAAGCGTAAGCCTTTGACCAGACCCGACACTTCCACGGCTGGCAAAGTGCCAGATGATGTTGGCCTGCTAGAGTCAGCCACGCTCAGACAGCGCAGTATCAGACACACCTCCATCGGGGTAAACATTCCATAGCGCATGCGCCCTGCAGCCTCGTTCAAGAAGTCTGATACATCGATCCTTCCGTCTTTTGATTTTTGGACAGCATGTTCGATGATGAGCTCCACAGTGTCCATTTCTACAGTCTGGTTAGCGAGCTGTTGGCGCTGAACCGCCTCGGATCTCACCTCTGATGACTGTTTTGCGTCAGCTACGTGACCTTTTGGGTGCCAAAGAAAACATACCGTTGTGGAAAGCAATGACCTCAGAGTAGCTGATCTTCTTTCCAGGATTCATCGTACACAAAGTCGGCAGTCTTGCGAGAACAGAGTCGGAAAGCTTGTGTCCAGCAATCTCGACAATGATACCCTGAAACTCCTCTGGGCTGATATAGCCATCTCCGTCCTTGTCAAAGAAATGGAAAGCCTGTCGAAGCCTCTCGCCTTGGTATCCTTTGATGAGTTGAGTAAACTCGTGATCTGGCAGAGTATCAGTACTGCCTTACTCTACGCATTCCCACTTACACCCAAGCACATGTCTATCCCCACGCGTACCAACGTAGAGCTTCATCCAGCTGCAGTCATAGTCGAAAGCTGAAATGTATAAGCTCAAGCACACTCCACATTTCACACTCACGAATGCCGCTGGCTGCAGTGTTGGCCGAGAGGACAGCCTTGAACTCGTCGAAATCAATAGACCCTGACGCATCGCTGGATCATGTCAATAAATATGTTCCACGAGAGGAACCCGACTTACACGTCAAAGACCTGGAAAGCAAGTTGATAGTCGGCATCAGGCTGTATGCATGTCAGTCGTGTCGGCGCGTTCGGAGATCGTCCCTACACGTTTCAGCACTGAGGATACACTGATCAGCATTTCAACATATGGGTGAGTATCCACCCACGAGTCTCAAACACCACAAAGTCTTCAAATGACACGAGCCCCCTGCGCGAGCTGTCGGCGACTCGGAACACTACGAAGCGTGTCAGACATGGTCTCTGCGGTGTCGGTGAGACCCACGGTTCGCGTATTGTTCCTTTTTTATCTTGCTGAAGCCCTCGTCGGTGGGCGCTATGGCGTCGACGAACTGGACGGGGTTGAGGTATCTATGGGGACAGTGAGCAAGCAGGAGGGGTAGGAAGAGCGACACACTTCTTGCCCTCTGCCTGTGCGGCTGCGAAGCGGTCGAAGGTGCGCCGCCATCGTGCGAGCTCGTTCTCTGGGGGCTGTACGGTGTGCCTGATGGAGGAGGTGAGGCGGGCAGGGAGGGGCTCGTTGTCTGCCATGGTGCTGGGTGGCTGCGACTGGAACGACTAAGAGTCAAAGAGGACCGTCCGGATAAAACCGGCACCGTTGCCGGATAGCATCTTAGTAATTAACTGTGATGTCACCGCCATTCACATGCGCCATTCACCACTCATATAACCATCTATCCTCAACTCCAACTCAACTCCTTTCTACTCACCACCCACCATGTTTCCCTCCACCGTCGCACTCAGGAGCTCTGCCGTCGCCATCCGTCGCCCCGCCGCCCAGTTTGCCACCCAACGAGCCTCCGTCGGCTCCATCGGTCTCGGTGTCGCTGGCAAGAGGTTCAACACCAACACCACAGCTTCTGGCAAACCCAAGCTTGTGAGTCCCTGTCCCGACTATGAGACTTTGGCTTACCCACATTGACATCACAGCGATTCCGATTCGGCCTCCGAGGTGATACCGTCTTGACCTGATGATGGAGCTGGGCTGACGCATGTCTCATAGACATTCCCGTGGAGACCTACCCCGTCGTCTTTGTCGTCGCCGCCGCATGTGTGGGGGCTGGTATTGCTTTAGGCAGGCAAAGTACGTTGCTCGTTCATCTTCTTTGATTGGCACTGACATTGCATCCAGTCTGGTCTGGCGACGTGAGTCTTGTGATGTCTCGAGTGGACGACAAGCACTCGTATACTGACGACGTGTCTCTGTAGCTTCGTCTCAAGCCCTCCGGCCCCGCCAAGCCCTGATAGCCAAGCCCTGATAGCCAAACAAGTGGAGAAGTCTGTAAACTCGAATCATACATAAATGTAGCAAATAGTTATCTAAGCAAGGGTATGGGACAGATGTTTCGTTGACAATGTGTTTCAACTCGGGTCTACTCGGTATGTGAGCACCTTAGAAGGAGTGGTCAAGCGGCGTTAGAAAGGACGGGCTCGGTCCTTTGATGGCAATGTTGAAGACACCCGGTACATAAACCCGCCTTTACCTTTACCACCCCGCACGATCAGACCTCAATCATGGCTCCAGGCTACTCTTATCTCCCTAAATTAGACCTCAAGGACATATCTGTCGAAGCCGCTGCATTTGGCCAGCTCAAGCCTGCCTCGAATAAGAATTCTGACCACAGTGTCCAAGCAGGTCAAGCTACCAATCCATCCGCTCCATCATCCCAGTCGAGTGACTCTATCAGATCAAGCTCCAGTAGTGAGCCAGACACACCGGCCAGCACGACCAACCTTCTAGCCAACGAAAACATTATGCCTCAACAAATAAACTCCCTCCAACGCGCCCTCACCGAAGCCCAAAAGGAGAAGAACAAGCTCGCCGAGCGTCTGGGCCAAGAACGCAAGCGGAACAAAGACCTCCTCCTGCGCATCCAAGGGGACCGTATTGATCCGGCGGTGATCACTCTCTTGGCCTGTCGCTTGGCCGAACATGGCGGAAAGGAGACAGACCAGAGTAATGGTGTCGCGGAAGTGGCGGCTGCGTTGATTGACGAAGTCGATCGAGCGGAAGTGTGTGGGGGTGGCAAAGACGGACAGATGGTCGTGGTTGGAGACGATGTGGAAGCAGCGAGGAGAGACTGGAATGAAGGCAAGGAAATGAGAATCTGGAATTTGGAAGGCGTCGTGGAGGTAATGTTGGGCCGGGTCGACAGTCTAGAGCTAGAGGTTTCCAAGCTGAAACGAGAAAGAGGGCGAGAGACCAGTTTGGGAATGAGTTGGACCGAGGATATGGAATGGGATGAGGAGCAAGAGACGCTGGGGTTGGTAGAAAGCACGGCGAGCCAATTGAGCCGACGTTTGGATAAATTGGAGAGTGACGTGTCCACCCTCAAAGAGTGATACTTGTAGGAGTCTTGTTCGGAATGTATTTGCATCCCTTTTTCACAACCCATCGATTTACACGTAAGGGGGACCGAGGTATCCTCTGAACACGGTAGACAAAGCCTCGACGACTATCAATGGGTAAGCGACCGAGATTGTACCGCAGCGCAGAGTGTGTCTTACCGAGCAACAAGACACCACCACCGGGTGCCAACCGCAGAACCTTGGGGGCGAAACCCTTGTACAAGCCAGCAAGACCCTCCTTCTGGGCAACCTTGATGAGAGCGGGGTAAGCCCTGTTTAATAGTCAGTAAAAGGTCACATGAGATGATGCAAATTCACCATTCGCCAGTGCCGTGGAGTTGGATTCGAGACTTGACAACATCGACTGTAGAGTATGAGTGGTGTCTATTCACATGTGGACGACTTACAAGGCGTGTTCAATGTGGTACCGACGAAACCACCTACGGTGCCCGCAATGAGATTGTTACCGAGCTCTTGCTTTTTGCTCTACACCAGCGTCATTCGATGCCATATATCCACGTCTATATCACTCACGGTAGCCTTGGGAAGCAACCCCTTCACGGCAAAGATGGAACCAAAGTAACCACCGTTCCTATACACCGTCAGCCCTTGCCTCAACGAGAAAACGCCCACTCACCACCACCAGTGTCTCCAGAACGTAGACTCCATACCCTGGTAAAGCGCCAAAGGACCTCCCTTCTTGAGAGCCTGCTTGACAACGTCCATGGGGCCCGCAAAGGTCGAGCTCTTGTCTTGCATCCTAATCTTGACAAGCTCGAAAGGCGTCACGACGACAGACTCGGTCGCACCAGCCAAGCATCCGGTGAGGATGGCAATGGACTGGGTAGTGGGGCGCTGTCCGTTGTCGGTGAGGACAGATCCCCAAGAGCCATTAGCAGCGACTGCGCAAATGTCAGTAGAAAGACGGAAAGGCGATTCGGGTTACTGACACTTGACGGCACGCTTGGGGGCTTCAAGCATGAGAGGAGGCAAGATACCCCTGTAGAGTCTTCTCGGGCTATATGGAGGCGTCAGTATCGCCCTCGACGATTGAATCCCTTACCCTTCCTCCGCAATAATGTTCTTGAACACCTGGATCATGTTGACGCTTTTACCGGTCTCGAGCTGCTGACGGGTCTTGACCACATCCAGAGGGTAAAGAAGCTAGTACATGTCAGTTTTATGCTTGAGAGAGTAGCGCATAGCACGAACGAGCAGCTCGGTGCATCCTAAGAAAAGTCAGCCTCGAGGCGTCGAGATGGCAGCCCGACTCACCTGCGATGGCACCGGACGCAAAGGTGTAGGCGAAGGGGAGGGCTGCGGGATGTCAGCGGTGCGCGGGGGGTGCCGGGATGACTTGCGGACTGGCTTCTTGAGCTCGGACATGGCGGTCTTTTGAGAAGAATGAGAGCAGAAAGAGATGTCAATCCAGCAAAGACCGGTCTAAGTGGGGGGCGCGTCCCTCACGTGCTCGCTGTTTCCCCGGCTCCTATAGGCCGGTGCTGCGATAACGTAGACTCGCTACGAGATCTGCTGCATATAAAACCTGTATATATGCGACGGCCAGGAAAGTAGATAGCGAAACGAAGAGTATGTGAGAAAGAATCAAATGTTCGTTTATAAAAGCTGACAGTCGCTCCAGCTGTCTGTATGCAATCCAATGTTTGGTCATGCGATCAAGGTGGAGTCGGTCGTGTTCGAGTCGACATTGCAAGCCTGCAAGTCGCTTGTGGGGAGGAAACCAGACTGACAAGAATGGACTGGTAAATGTATGAGTCAACGTTCTTTCGATATTCAGCAAGACTCACCCAAGCAAGTCCCGGCAGTGCAGGACACGGAATCGACGCCGGCGATAGCTGTACAGTCTATCCCGGTACTGCTCATATCGTCAGCACGTTGAGGTTGCGACAAGTATACCACTCACCCCAACGTGGCGCACCCACCACAGCTATACAAGTCTTCTTGAGGACTTATACTGAAATGGCGTCAGCGGATGTCTTCTAATCGTCTCTGTCTCCCACTCACCACTCCCAAGGTACATCATCGCCAGCAGCAGCAAGCTCTGATTCTGTCAAGGACGTTATAGGGCAAGCCATCTGCTCTACAGGGCATCGCGCAAGGTCGGTCGCCGCGCCGAGGACAGCAAAAGTGGCAACAGCAGTTTGAGTCTGGTATGCTGATCAGTAACGGGCGACTAGATCCCTCCCATAGGCTTCTACTCACAGCCTTACGCTTGACCCCACTGGCAGAGGCAGAAGCGTGCGAGTTGGTGCCAGAGCTGGGATGATGGCGTCTGTGATCCTCGTGATAACGTTCGGAATCAAGGAGGCTGTTTGTTGTGGAAGTGGGAATGGCGAGGGTGGTGACGGAGAGGGAGACGAGGGCAAAGGTGATAAGGCGGGAAAAGAACATCTTGGAGTATGACGCGAAGAGGGCGGAGGGTTGAGCGAGAGTCTGAAAGAGCGTGTGGAAGCTTGATTATACTATTTGCTTGAAGAAGTGGAAGGAAAGGAGAGGGGGAGGGGGAGGGGCGCTTCATGAGTACTCATCTCACCCAACGGACAACCGCCCCTTTCGACCCTGCATGGCTGAATGACACAGCGCACAGACCTCTCGGCGAGTTTCAATTGTCCTTTGCGGGATCCGAGAGACATTGCCCGCACGAAGAGAGCCGCCATTGTGTGGTCCAGACGTCATGTACACTGTAAGGATAACGCACAGATACCGGCGGAGCACAATAAACGGGGGATAAGAGATGCGGAAGCAATTGTAAGGGTTGAGGGAGTTGTGTGCCAGCAGAGAGAGCAGCCTTTTTTACGTCTTCCGCGCTCGTCCCCTTGTTCTTGTCGCTCTGTTGATTCTGGGTGCAGCTTAAAGCAGCATGATGCAGGGCTTAGCACAGGGTATAATACTGCGACAAGGGTCTACGGCAATGCGCTCGTCAGTGGCAAAAGATGAAACCACGATATCACGACGCCATTGTTCTTTGGTTCGTCGTCATTAGTCTGCATGATCGGCGCTGTTCCAGAACTCTGGCGCTTGGTCTGTGCTTACCTTTCCCCTTGTTGTGCTCTGTTGGCATGGCGGATACAAGGCACGATCAATCCGAAACACGCCGCACACAGAAATGACATTGTCGGGTGGAGGTCTATCCTGTACCTGAGCGTGTTTCATCTCTTGATCCTCTTGATTCCCCGTCGGCCTTGTAGACTTCGGATCTGCACCTGTTTGTTTGACATCCGTCTCAAGAGGAAACTTGTTACTATTAACATTTTCCCATTAGGCTACATTACCACGCGTCTGAGTATACGTGTTTAAGACTAGAGCTACAATTTCTTCCCCTCTGTTTACAACTGGCGAACAGCCTGAGTGATTCGCTCACCCTCACCGACACCCTGCTGAGAGATACCTCCATAACCCCCCGTACCGCTACCTGAAGTCGCATGTCCAGTCCCCGTCCCAGCGTGAGTGGCGGACTGACCAGTAACACCTTGAGAAGCGTACCCAGACTGGCCGCCCGAAGCATAGCCTTGCGAGCCAACTTGCTGAGATCCGGCTTGCTGACCCTCAGAGCTTGCACCAGTGTAGGTGGTCCCACCCACACCACTCTCATAACCGCCCCGAGTAGCTCCAGAATGCAAGCCAGAAGGGGGTCCAGATGTCGCGCCCGTAGACTGTTGAGTTCCATAGCCCGTGCCCTGCTGGAGACCCTGGCCAGTGCCCTGCTGAGCCCCATAAGCTCCGGTCGAGCCTTGAGACTGAGGGACACCCTGCTCGTAGGTAGAAGAGGCAGGGACCTGCTGAGCCCCGTATGCCCCGGTAGAGCCTTGCTGGGCGGCGGATCCAGAAGTCAATGAAGGGTCTTGAGCGGAAGACCCGTGGTGACCTGCAAGTGCGCCCGCACCTGCTCCGCCAACAGTCCCAGTCCCGAGAGCTGCACCCGTCCCGTTCCCGGACCTAGTCTCCCCGTAACCGGTGGAAGAAGTAGGGGCAGCCTCTTGCTGTTGACCGTACGCGCCGCCTGTGGCGCCCTGAGCATTTTGAGAAACTCCAGATGTCGGGGCTCCCTGAGTCTGTGTAGATTGAGGCTCGTTGACAGCAGCATTCTTGTTGTGGTGATGAGCTGCAGCACCAGTTGCCCCGGCTCCGGCTGCAGCAGCGGCCTCGCCCTTGTGATGAGAGCCAGACCCGCCAGAGGCGATCTGTTGAAGCTTCGAGTCTCGGTCACTCTCGTTGGCCTTGTGCTACAAATGTGTCAGTGATGAGACGAAAGCAGGGTGGATGTGACATACCTGGGCTTCGAGATTCTGGAGATTGGCCCTCTTCTCCTCGATAGTACGCTCGATGGTGTTGTGCGCACTGTGCTGCTTGTTGACCTCGGAAGCGGCCACGTTCTCTTTCTGAGCAGCGGCGTCGTGCTCTGTCCCGTCGTTAGCCCCGCCCTGATACTCATGCTTGAACGCTTACTGGTAGTAGCCTTGTTGAGAACGCCGGCAGCCTTGCCCTCGACCTTGGAAGCTTTGCCGTGTTGCTATACCCGAGTCAGCATGCCATAGCTCATTGTCGTCTCTGAAGACTCACCTTCTCGGCCTTTGCTTCCGACTTTGCAATCTTGCCCTCGGCCTTCTCAGCTTGAGTAATACTCTTCTCAGCCTGAGCAATATTCTTCGCCTCCTCCTTGGCCTCTGCAGGAACGTCAGCAATGGGATTGGATGAGCTGCCGCGGACCTACCTTTAGCCAGGTGCTTTTCGGCCTGCTTGACAGGGTCGGACGAGCCAAAGATTCCCATAGTGTATGTATTGTAGTAGTTGAAAGAGTAGTAAAGTAGTAGGAGATGGAGATGAGGGGGAATGGCCACCACAGCACGCCTTCTATATATACCGCCCGCGCCAGCCGAGATCAGGTGTCACAGCTCAATGACGCACTGACGTCATCTCACCCCAAACTATTACGGCAGAACCAAATTTAAAGAAGTTGGTGGCTGGTGGAGTCGGCTTTTGGCTTTTCGTTACATACTACCGTGGAATGCTTCGTTTGGGAGGCACAATGCATGAGGGGTTAGAGCAAATTGCCTTTCTGCTAGACCCTGTTGTACTGTAGAACGACGACTTGATGCGAGAGGACGGGATCTCCAAATCAATTCACGGGGATGGTTTTGCTTTTTGTGGCTGTTTTGTGGCCAGGTGTTCACTCTTTCTTCTACCTTCATGGGAAACAACAGACTATAGAGCTGGTCAATCAGCCTCCCTGGTTCGTAGCTGCTAAGTTCATAATCCTGCTCTATCACTTTTACGAGACGATCAGCCATACAAAACGACACCTGTGTGCTTTCCCGATCAAGTCGTGGCCCAAGCCATCTAGGCCTCTCTCAGCCCTAGTACTCGGTCACATTTCGAGTCTATGCCCCATGAAGTTACTGGCCGCAAAACCAGTACTCTCCGGCATGATCTCATGCGAGAGGTACACCGGGAGAGAAATGCCATGCGTAGGTAGCGAGTGGTCGTAACGATTTGAGCAATATCTATAGTATTTTCTCTCTATATAGAAATCGAACTCCGCCTGCATACATCAGTCGTTCAGTTGATGCTCCCGGGGAATCTCTTGTCATCAAGTGTTTATGCCTCTTGACTGCCTCAACGGCTGTAGTCGGCAGTCGGCTCTTCGCTCTTGTCCGTCGGGCTTCGCCGCTGAGCGATAACACAATCGTAAAGACCGAGGACGGGAGGTGCTTTTTCAGCTGCTATCTGTGTCTCGTCTTGTACATACTTCTCGAAACTTTTGCAATGGCTAGGGGTGAAACAGAAACCTCGCCTCTCCTTGCCCCACCCTCCCCGGAGGCCGGGGCGCTTACATACACCGATAGGCAGTCAATATCTCCTGCGGTACATCCTCCAGATGACAACAAGTTGAGCTTCAACCGCGTAGGGCTCAACCCTTCCACTTTCTGGGTTCTGGTGAGTAGTCAAGCTATTGAATTCGGACGCTTAAATCACATAGTGCATATCCATGTGGGTGTGCTCTTTCTTGAATGCTTTTGACGGAGTGGTCGGTAAGGGTCTATTGCTTCCAATATGTACATGGCATTGACTGGCGATACAGTTGCGACTCTCTTGGGACCTATATCATCATCCTTCAAAGCCACCAATATGGCCTCTTGGCTGGGAACATCTTAGTGAGCTGCTAAGGCGTCCCACGCGCAAGTACTGACCCTGGGAAGCATGCTGTCTGTATGTTGCTTCACCCCTATCTATGGGAGATTGTGCAACATCATTGGACGTCAATACTCTATGCTGCTGGCACTTACTCTCTTCAGTGAGTCCCTTCCATCCATATGTACCTATACTAACATATTGTAGCTCTGGGCAACTTCTTTTGTTCGATAGCCCCGAGTATGAATACTCTTGTTGCCGCAAGAGCTCTTGCTGGTATGGGTGGCGGTGGCCTTAGCTCAGGCAAGTCATCTGCGTATCACAAATGGAGCTCGAACTGATGGTGTTACACAGTTGGAAGCACGATCATGAGCGATATTGTCCCTATGTGAGTCCTTCTGGCGATAGCAGCGTACTTTGCTGATACACCCCAGAACGCATCGTGGTATCTTTCAAGGACTCGGGAATCTGGCTTGGGGGGCTGGAATGGGGTAAGTCCCACACTCATGAGCAGCGTGGTCCCTAACAAGGCATACAAGTCTGGGAGCCCCTGTTGGCGGTGTGATCAGCGATTACCTCAACTGGCGATGGGCTTTCTGGTTTCAGGTGCGCAGCCTTCTATTACCTCATTGCAACGAAGCTGATTATCTCAGATCCCTATTCTTCTCCTTGGTGTCTATCTCGTCCACGCCAACGTTCGTTACACCATCCCCTCCTCCCCCGCTTCTGGCTCAGCTACTCCCAACGGCACTTCCGCCCAGACCCCTTACCAACTTTTCAAGCGTATTGATTTCATGGGCTGTATCCTCCTCGCGGGTTGGGTGGGCTCTGCCTTGGTAGCAGTGTCACTGAAGACGAACAGCACGGCAGCGGAAGCCCTAGACTGGGGGCATCCCATCATATTGAGTCTGTTCAGCGCTTCGGCGGTATTGTTTGTCCTGTTTCTTCTCGTTGAGCTCAAGTGGGCGGCGGAGCCAGTCATGCCATTTGAGCTGCTCGTCAGCAGGACGCCTGTAACGGTTGCGATCAACAACTTTGTCCTTTCCGCTCAAAACTATGCTACAGTAGGTCTTTTTCTCGCGGAAAAGTTCTCAGCTTAATCGTGCGATCAGCTATATAGTGTGCCCCTATTCTTCACTGCAGTCCGTCAAATGTCAACCTCCAATGCGGGTGCCCATCTCGTACCAGGGTCCATCATGGGAATGTTTGGATCTCTTGGCACCGGCATCATTGTCCGCTACACCAAAAAGTACTATTGGCTCAACTCGTTCTGCGCTCTTGTGGGAGTGGTGGGAACAGTTCTAATTGCTACTTGGGATACAACCACAAGCGAATGGATGTTGTGGTCCAATATGGCATTTGGGAGCTTTTCGATGGGGGCGGTCACTACGTTGACCATTGTGGCGCTTATCGCGGATGTCGGGCCTGAACATGTCGCGGTTGCAACCAGCTGTGAGTGGACCATTGAAGTTTGTCATATGAAAGCTGATGGCGAAACAACAGTGTCGTATGTCTTCCGAACGATAGGGCAAGTATTGGGCGTGTCCTTGTCCGGCGCACTGACTCAAGCTGTTCTTGAGAGGGAGCTTGAGCTCAGGATCCAAGGTCCCGACGCTGAAAAGGCGAGTCCCATTGTCTTTCTAGAGTATCAAAGCTTACAAACTGTAAAGATCATCGCTGCCATCCGCGAATCGTCTCAATCTATTCGCTACCTCGATGAGCCCCTTAAAACCATTGCCATCCTCTCCTACCAAAAAGCCCTCCGCGCAGTATTCATCTGCGTCGTCGTACTGGGAATCATCACTTTCCTCAGTGGTCTGGGCATCCGAGAGATCGATATGCACCAGATCTTGGCCAAGGATAAGCAACAAGACGATGAGGAGGACGGGATTGACGAGCAGGTCTGATGGTTAACAAAGTGCAATGTCCGAGGGGTAGTGTTGACACTGTTTTGGGTATAGATTATCGATATATAGACCGTCCTGGATCGTGAGGTCCAAGTGAAGGAATATGTAAAAGTGTTTCTCGTCGTTCAACGCGTTTGCCGCGTCAGTCCGATCGGCTTCCATCATTTCTTTGGCACTTCTTCGGGCGGCTTCGTCTGCGCGCCAAAACAAATCCCAGATCATCCTTGAACTTCCCGATATCCACCCTTGATGATAGAGCACAAGATTATACGGCTCTCGGTCGGGAAGTGGCCGGGAGAATGCCGAACGGTATCGGCAAGACATGCCGAAAACCTCTTCCCGATACGAATCGGGCGTCCGCCATCTCATCCCACCTCGACTTTATATAGAGAGAGAGGAGTCACAGACGAATGCACCACAGCATAAGCACAATGGACTCCAAGCTATACCTCAAGAATGCTCTTGCCACAAAGCAGCCAGGCCTCGGCTTTTGGTGTACCCTTCCAGGTGCTTCTTCCGTGGCCACAGTCCTTGCCACGGGCGGGTTCAACTGGACTCTTATCGATGCTGAGCACGGTATGATTACAGATAAAGATTATTTTGAGGTGTGTCGTCCCACTTGTTGTGACAATGAATACAAAGCTTACTCTGGACAGTTGGTCAACACTATCACATCGCAAGGCGCTTCTCCTATCATCCGAGTTCCGTGGAATGAGGAGTGGATGATCAAGCGAGCTCTGGACTCTGGCGCTCAAGGAGTCATGACACCCATGTGTCATTCAGCCGTAAGTCCAGCAAAGATCCATCCGTTGATATACTGACAGCCCTTCAGGAAGATGCTCGACGGATCGTCTCGTATTCCAAATACCCTCCCAATGGCACTCGAGGTTATGGCCCAATGTTCTGCACACCTGTTTTTGGCTGCAAAGGATCTGAATATGATGCTGGAGCAGACAAAAACCTCCTCGTCATCGTCCAAATTGAGTCCAAGCAAGGTGTCGCGAATGCGGAAGAGATTGCCAAGGTAGACGGTTTGGACTGTTTATTTATTGGTACGTACGGGAGGCATCTTTCAGTCCCTTCCAAAGGCTCACTTGTAATACAGGCCCCTTCGATCTTCACAAGCAGATGCAGGTACCTTTTGGAGGAGATGAGCACGAGGCTGCCATCGCCAAAACCCTCAACGCTGCTCATAGCGCCGGTAAAATTGCTGCCATCTTTTGTAAGTCTCCACAATATGCATCGCAGACTCAGCTGATGATGTTAGGTCCCAATGGTGAAGTTGCCCGAAAGAGACTACAGCAAGGCTTTGACATGGTGTCTATCGCTGTCGATTCTGCGTGCCTCGCGGCAGAGATGGAGAGGCAGATGATTCTCGCACTTGGGGCTGAGAAGGGAAAGGGAGACAGGTCGTATTCATAAGTGACAAGGGTGGTACGCGTATGCAAATGCAGTAGATTTGCAGTAGACATGGCCAATTGCCGAGAACATAAAGATGGGATTCGGAATCCCGAACAGATCCCGAAGCTACGCTTCTTCCTCTTTGATTGCGCGCATCTCTGTTCACATCTGGTTTCTCCTTTACCCTCACTGTGTAGATATATATTTGTGCTTACTGTGTATTCGACAGAAATACTTGTACATACCTTGAATTTAACATCATGTTTACTCCCATCGAAACTCTCCTAGGAGGCGTATTCCTCCATCTCGCCACCTCCCAATTCCTCACAGACACGGGTCGTGTGTTTGGCATCTCCTCCATTGTTGATGGAGCTGTGCTTGGACAGCATGAAGGATGGCGGCTCGCAGCTACGGGAGGCTTAGTGGTCGGTCCTCTTGTCGGAGCTCTCACAGGATTGACCGAGGTCTATCCTGGCCATGCCCTTCTTGCTGTGCAGGCGATCGACGTACGAAGAATAGCCGTTGCTGGTGTGCTGGTGGGCCTGGGAAGTCGTGTAAGCAAACACAATTTAAAATGTTACTGGTACTGATCTTGATTTCCAGCTCGGATCTGGCTGCACGAGTGGGCATATGCTCTGCGGCGTGTCTAGGCTGTCCCCTCGGTCGCTTGTCTCTACAGCGATCTTCTTTTCTACTGCAGTGTTGGTAGCCAACCTCTTTCCATCATCGCCAGTCCCATCCCTACCTACATACGCCCTGAACATTCCCTCGGTGGCCACCATCGCCGCCATCGCTAGTAGTACAGTCGCTGCGAAACTGCTGTACAAGGCCATCACCTCTTGGACTTTTTCCACCGCAACAGACGCCCCATCTGCCATTTCTCGCCTCGCCCCCTACTTTCTCGCGGGCCTCACCTTTTCCCTCGGTCTGTCTATCTCGGGCATGACCGACCCCTCCAAAGTCGCTGGTTTCTTGCGCTTCCCCACTCCCTTTGCTTTCGACCCCTCACTCGTCATGGTCATGGTAGGCGGCGTCTTGCCCAACGCCATCCATTATGCTTCCACCATGAAGAAGGCCCATGGCAAACCTGAACCAGCACTTGCCTGGGAGCAATGGAACGTGCCATCGAGGAGGGACATCGATTGGAGACTCGTGATGGGAGCTGTGGTGTTTGGTGCAGGATGGGGTTTGGCTGGAATCTGCCCAGGGCCGGCACTCGTGTCGCTCGGAGAGGTTGTCGTTTCGGCGCTGGGAGGAGGCGTCTCCTCAGCAGCTGCTGGCAAGGTGTCCACGTTTGCCATCAGCATGCTGGGAGGCATGGCTCTCGAACATCAGATCTAGGTCGTATCATATAATACATTACTCATACTCATTACTCATGCACAAGCTCAAAAGTCTACGTTCGCTCTATCAGCCAAAGTCCCTCTCGCCTCCCACTCTCGCGCCTCTGCCCGCAAACGACCTTCTGTCAACTCTGCAACGTCTGTCTCTCCAGGTTGTCCATAGCCGCCTCCCCCGGGAGTATGCACTATGAGCTTGTCTCCCGCGCCAAACTTCATCGTCCCTTTCCCCCCAACATTGATAGTTCTGACTTTGCCCGCCTTGTCTTGTGGCTGTTTGATCCAAAGGTTCAGCCCGGGAGCGCCAGAGGCGCCACCTTCGAGACCATACGGTCCCCGTGCGCGGCGTTCGGACAAGATGGATACTTGCAACGGCTGGAGGAATTGTAGAGAGCGTATGCAACCATGACCGCCATTGTATTTTCCAGCACCGCCTGATCCGGACCTGAAGCCAAACTCGTTGAGAATCACAGCTAGAGTCTAGAGTCAAAACAAGGTCGAAACGCAACATGCTTTACTCACGATATCGCCTCTCCAGAATTTCGGGGTCTGTAATTCGCTACACAGACAATCAGCATTTCGCCAATATGGGCAATACTCACAGTGTTGGTCATATGAGTATGGGTACCCGAGGTACCATGAAACCCGTCGCCCGCCCCACTACCACCTGCAATAGTCTCATAGTATCCCCAGCCCGCAATGACCTCCCCGGTTTCTGGATCCTTCCCACCCGCACCAAAAGTCAGGCTTATCTGTGTAAGTTGGTTTCATTGACCTTCAAATCGTGGTGCTCACTTGTTGCAACATCCCTGACTTGCAGCACACGCCTTGAAAGCGAGAAGGACGACGTCGGTAATACGTTGGCTCGTCATGACATTACCGCCGCAGACTGCGCTCTCCGGTGAAGGAGAGAGAAGAGAACCTTCGGGAATCAAGATTTCCAGTGGAGCAAGACATCCCGCGTTGAGGGGGATGTCTTCACCAATCATGGATCGCATGCTGGTCGAGGTCAGATAGATGTGCAGTGATCGTTCCTGGTCCTCTCACCAGTAGATGACAGCAGCGTGTACCACACAGATAGGCGCGTTCAAGTTGCCCCTCAGTTCGGGGCCTGTTCCTTCAAAGTCGAATACGGCCGATCCTGTCGTCTTGTCGATAGTCACCTTGAGAGCGATGGGTGATCCATCATCGAGATAGTCGACAGACTATAGACGTGTGAGATCCTTCTAGACAGGTACTTTATGTACTCACGTGAAGGACGTTGGTCCCAGCCTTCTCTGCGGCTGCTCGAAGCATGTTCCGGACCGCTTGTTCGGCGTTACTGTACCACATAAGTACGGTCCTATAAGCCACGAAACCCACTTTTTGATATGTTCCATATAGGTATGAACAGTCTCCAAGTCGTATTCGGCTACCAGAGCGCGCAACAAAGAACTGCCTTTGTTGTTGGCGGCGATCTGAGCTTGGATATCACTCGAAACGTCGTTAAAGTTTCTGCAGCCTGAGCACCCAGGATACTTTGAAGGGTCCTCCACCATAGCTTTATACAAACCGTCATGGTCGTAATAGCCATCTGACACAATCTTGAGAGATTGGATGTTGGCACCCTCTTCGGAAATGTGCGTTGAGGTAGGCGGCATACTGCCGGGAAGGATTCCACCGATATCACTGCCAATCATCAGTCACTAGTCGGGATAATTGATGGAATTGATACCTGTGGTCTGTCGGCAAGGTCAGCGCACTGTTCGACGAGGGCGCTTGGTGACTCACGACCACGCGAAGCTGTAAAGAAGATGATATTTGTGGGGTCGTTCTCGTCAAAGCATGGTGTTATCACAGTCAAGTCTGGTAGATGACTTGGCAGAGTCAGATGCTTGAAGTCTTTGATATCGCTTTGGCTTACCTTCCTCCAGCCATGGGTGAATTTGTCAACAGTACGTCTCCGTCCTTGAGGTATTTGCCGTGCAATTTCAGCTGGTACTTGACGGACCAGCTCATGGATCCAAGATGGACCGGGACGAAGGGGGCATTGGCAACGAGGTCACCACTAGGGGAGAAGACGGCACATGAGAAGTCTAGTCGCTCCTTGATGTTTGTGCTGATGGCGGTGTTCTTGAGGGAGTTGCCCATGGCCTCTGCAGTGCAGATGAACCGATTGGAGCTAAGACGCGATGAGCACCGACATGTATGAGAGATGGGAACATACAAGAGCGAGAGGGTTACGGGATCATACTTGGCCGCCATGGTTGAGCTGTTGCGTACTCACGAAACAGAGACTGGATGCGATGGATCAATGGATGATAACGAAGCACGCAGTAACGAAGCGGGTCCTCGGGAAGCCGGGACGGAACCAAATTCAGAGCGCCGTCCCCGTACTCATATATATAGTGATAAGCGATAACGAAGGGTGTCGTTAATGTTATGTATCTGACACCCGCAGCCGCAGCCCTCAGCCATGGCCCATAGCGTCCCCCCTCACAGCATCCGCATATCCATAGACAGGGGCGGCACTTTCACAGACGTACACGCCTCTGTCCCATCCACCGACACCTCCAAGCGAGACGAGTTTGTGATCAAGCTACTGTCTCAAGACCCGTCCAACTACAAGGACGCCCCAGTGGAAGGGATTCGACGTGTTCTGGAAAGAGTCACCAAAGAGGAATACGGTAGAGGGCAGCCTTTGCCTACAGATAAGCTGGGTGAGTGCGGTCTTTCTCCAGCAAGTATAGGCTGAACAACGTCGCCAGAGTACGTCAGGCTGTCTACAACCGTCGCAACAAATGCTCTACTCGAGCGGAAAGGTCAGAAGCACGCTCTTCTCATCACCAAGGGATTCAAAGACCTTTTGGAAATCGGTAATCAAGCTCGCCCTCGTATCTTTGATCTGAACATCAAACGGGCCAAGCCTCTGTATTCGACGGCGGTCGAGGTAGATGAGAGGGTCACTTTGGGTAAGCACGGTAAATTATACTTCTTAGTCGTCTGACACACAAACAGTGGGCTTCACATCGGACCCAAACAACGAGCAAAATGCGCTGGTCTTCAACGAAGATGGATCTGTGAAGAAAGCCTACTCTGGCGTAGGCGCGGATGAGCAAGAGTCATTCTTGAAGGGAAGAATAGTGCAGGGGGTATCAGGAGAGGCTGTGAGAATATTGCAAGAGCCAAGTCAGCAGAGCTTCTCTTCTCATTGGTAGTGCTAACCGAGTGTAGACCTCGATGCGGTCAAGAATGACCTTCAGCGCCTCTTTGATGGGGGCTATAGATCTATAGCCGTATGCCTGGCTCACTCTTATACCTTTCCCGACCACGAACTCTCCATCGGACGACTGGCAACAGAAGTTGGCTTCACACACATATCCCTCTCCTCCCAATTGCTTCCGATGATCAAGATGACTACTCGAGGGCAGTCAACGACCGCGGATGCTTATCTCACACCTGTATTGCAAGCTTACCTTGATGGATTCTACTCTGGGTTTGAAGGGGGTAAAGATGGTGATTTGCATGTCGAGTTTATGGGTTCGGATGGAGGGTTGGTAGACCTCAAGGTAGGTTGTCATCTTGTCTTGTTACTGTGGCTCACTCTTTCTCAGAATTTTTCGGGTCTCAAGTCGCTGCTATCAGGTCCAGCAGGAGGGGTTGTAGGCTGTGCACTTACCAGCTGGGATGAAGAAGAGAAAGCCCCAGTGATTGGGTGAGTGCCTCCGCATGATATTGCTGCCCGTAGCTGACATGCCGTAGCCTCGATGTGGGAGGTACCAGCACCGACGTCTCCCGGTATGCTGGGCGTTACGAATCAGTCTATGAAACCGTCACAGCGGGTATAGCCATCAATACGCTCCAGCTGGATATTAACACTGTGCGTTGCATGAACCCCTCCCTGTATGTCCGGAAAGGCGCTCATGGTGTTGAAAGGTCGCTGCTGGAGGCGGAAGCTGTCTTACTTACAAGAACGGTCTCTTCCGCGCCGGACCAGAGTCTGCTGGCGCCCATCCAGGTCCAGCTTGTTATCGCAAAGGCGGCCCTCTGGCTTTGACGGATGGCAATTTGTTCCTCGGGCGACTAGTCCCAAAGTAGTAAGTGTCACTGTGCTTTGGATGTTGGGATCTGACACGTCTGGATAGCTTTCCGAAATGTTTCGGTCCTAATGAGAACGAAGGTCTCGATCCTGATGCTAGTCGGGACCTGTTTGAGAAGCTAGCAGATGAGATCAAAAAGGAGACGGGCACCGAGAAGACTGTTGACGAAATTGTGAGTGCATCTCATGGAGGGAGGTCACTGATCTGGTCCAGGTATACGGTTTCGTCCAAGTTGCCAATGAGACAATGGCGAGACCCATCAGGACCTTGACGGAGGCCAGGGGGTTCAAGACAGACCAACATGTACTAGCTTCTTTCGGAGGAACGGGCGGGCAAGTGGCTTGTGAGATTGCAGAGGTCAGTCCTGACTCATCTACAATGTCAATTATGGCTCATCTCCTGTGTAGCTTCTGGGTATCCAGCGCGTGCTTATCCATAAATACTCTTCAATCCTTTCTGCTTATGGTCTCGCGCTGGCAGACAGGTCAGTTTCGTCATCTCTTGTTGGCTGCTCGCTGAATCAACATTCCAGGGTGATCGAGTACCAAGAACCAGCCTCCGACACTTACTCCTCAGCCACACAGCCTTCTCTATTTAACCGCCTGGATAGACTAGAGGCAAAGTCTCGGCAAGTGCTGACAGATGCTGGCTTCCCTCCAGACAAGATCCAAGCGGAACGAATACTGAACATGAGGTTTGATGGAAGCGACACGGCATTGATGGTGTTGGACGATGGGAGTGGGGATTACGAAGCTGCTTTCAAGAAGGCGTACAAGGCTGAATTCGGTTTCTTGTTAAACAAGCCCATCATCGTCGACGACGTCAAGGTTTGTCATGGACATTGGTTTTCGAGACATTGCTGACAGTGTGCTTCCTTCCAGGTGAGAGGCATAGGCAAGACATTTGATTCCCTGGGTCCCTCAGCGTTCCAAGAGGCGAAATCCTTGAGACCAAACACTCTGGGCAATGACAAGGCCAACTTTCATCAAGACTGCTACATTTGGTATGGCGGGTCCGGTCGTCGCGAAGATGTACCAGTGTTTGAACTGGATCCTCTGAAGCCTGGTGACGAGATTCTTGGACCGGCTATGGTGATCGACGATACGCAGACTATCTTTGTCAACCAGTGTGTCCGTTCTTTTGTCCATTTGGATCTGAGACTAACCATATGTCAGGGGATGGTCGGCGCTGTCGACTAGTGGTCACCTTCTGCTGTCTAGGCGCAAGAGCTGAGCAAATGAAGAATGACTAGCTGTTAGAGATATTGAATCGATGGGCGAGATAGCGTCGAAGACATGCATAGAGAAGCACATCTTTCATTTGGCACCGTAGATATCCGACAAACGCATGTGCACATACGCCCCAGCAGACATGACCTCATACCTGGCAGGTCGGTCCTTTGTAACACAGGTCTCTGGGGGAATCAATGACACGTCGTGATCACACCCAAAGAAGAATGGGATCGAGTAACGGTCCTTGGCGAGCGCAGGGAGGACACGGTGACGAGTGGAAACAAAGATGTCGTCTGAAGGAGGGCATCGTGAGATTTACCCATGTTGGTGCAGCAAGAGAGACTCACTGGTCCATCTCGCAAACTGGTCGCCAATGTTGATAACAAAAGTATCGTGGATGTAGGGAGCATCAACCCCTGATAGCCTCTTCAGCGCCATTTTTCAAGCCCTCGAAATAGTGACTCACAATCTCCTTTTCGGTTCTGGACTTGCAGTGCGGAGGGGACATCGTCTTGTCTGAGAATAGTGAAGCATTCAAAGTCGGTATGGGCCTGTAACGACTAGGTGAGACAGTACTCAAGGGCAGGGGACAAACCACTCACACCGATTCCAGGCGTGAGCTTGTCCTGCTCCTCACGAGCGAGGGCGGGGTAGAAAAGAATCCTCATGATAGCAGCAGGATGCAGGATCTGACATGCTGGTAAGTTTCATTCAATCAGAAATGCAATACTGACCTTGTCATCGAAAAAGGTCTCGGGCAAGTTGAGAGCCAAGGCAAACAGAGGGAACAAGGACTGTCCCAGGGCGAGAACTTGCTTGCTGGTCTAATGTCAGTCCTACTTGACTTCATGAGGAGCTTTGCAACGCACTAGTAGTCCAGGTTGGCTTGTTTCTGCCTCCATTTCAGCCGGGATACCAATGAGAATATACAGGGCACTCACAAACACCTTTGCCCCTTGCCAGTCCTTCTCCTCCGGCCACAGATTCTCAGAGTGTCTGAGTTCTCCCTCTTTGATGTCTTGAGCGAAGGACGCGGGGTCAACTTCGGGGTCAAGACCCATGTTGAAAGCCTCGTGCATGTCGCCCTTGTTGGTGCTGAATGGATCGTGGATCAGCAGAGTCGATCGCGGACTTTGGCCAAGCTTACGGGTCGTTGTTCTCTGTCAAGAGCCCCATATACCCGCGGAAGTTTTCCGATTTGGAGATGTCGACCTGTTAGAGTACAACAGTCAGTAGAGCCCCGGGGAGAACTTTGGGGCCTATTACTCACAGACTTCTTCACCTCAGCGGGAAGCTTGAAGAACTCCTTTGATTGTTCGTAAGTCTTCTCAACCACATCCAAGGCCACGCCATGGTTCTTGACTAGCCACTCCATCAGCAAGAGACGCCTCTGGATCGTTCAATTTCAACAGACCATAGAAGAAGCCGGCATTGAGACAGGCGTCGCGGATGTTGTCTGCTACAGCCTTACGCTTCTCAAATTCAGGAGAGCGGGCATCGGAGAGGTCTCTAAGTCGTGAGTCAGTTTGAGGATATGTCCGTGGTGCACGCTGACTGACACCATAGGGATCGAAGTGAAGTCGGCCTGGGCGAGCGAGTTTGACAAGGCGGCGAGATCGGACATATTGAGGTGAGGGGCGAGTTGTTGGTGCAAGTGGGAAGACAGAGACTAAATACTCAACTCCAGTGTTCCGAGTGGGGAACTTTCCAATCTGAGATAAGAGCGATCGACTGGGGCAACCTATAGGAAGAGCAGAATATGTGAACTTCGGGTCTGGCTTGTTCGGGTTGCGGTACTCTTTTTCACCAATTCGGCACTTTCGCCAAATCCTTATCTCTAGATCAGTGGGCCATGTCACATGTGGGATGTCTTTCCGCCTGCATCAGCTGATGCAATCGCTTCCAAAGTCTTACGCACACCCATATATGGCGCGAAGAGACTCGGAAGTGCAGATCCGGGCCGATAGTTGGGGTCGATAGTCGAAACGATGCCTCGGGAAGAAACGCTCTTTGTATGACATGTTCAAGTTGTGCATATATGCCATATTATCTAATTCCCTATGCCTTAAGGGCCTTTGCGTGGAAAGCAATGTGGTCAGGTGCGAAAGTTGAGATCTGTGCAAGAAGTCAGCGCGAGTCAAAGTTGGTTCTCTAGAAGACTGACAAAGAAGTAGGAGTGGTCATAACCCTCCTGCCTTCGTACCTCAACTCCAGGCTTGCCGAGCTTCTCAATAGACTCGGGAGTCAATTGACCAGCCTTCAAGAACTGGTCGTCCGTGCCGACATCGATCAAGATGTTGGCTTGGCCCTCAAACCTTTCAAGAAGGACAGTCGAGTCGTGCTCAAGCCACTCGGAGGGAGGGTTGGAACGCGTGCGGGCGTTAATATAGTTCTTGAAGGCATTGATGCCCCAAGGAACGACGGAAGGATTGCTGTCAAAGAGGTCAGTTCAATTCAGAGTGGACTTGAGGACGGAGTACACACCAGATGGGGGCGAAAGCAGAGGCAGACTTGAAAAGACCGGGGTTCTTGAGGTAGATAGACAAAGCGCCGTGGCCTGCAGGCATTTAGCTCTCTATATATAAAGATGCATATATGACTTACCACCCATAGAGTGCCCCATGATTGACCACCTAGAAAAGTCCTGTGTGTCCATCAGCAGGCTACTGTGAGGCGCAAGCAGAGATCCTCACCAAGCCCAAATCGGCTTCCTTGAGGACCTCGGGCAACTCCTTGACCACCAAGTCATACATGTTGTAGTGCTTCTTCCACTTGTCATCGGTGGCGTTGATGTAGAAGCCAGCTCCAGTACCGAGCTGCCAGTCGTCGTCCTCACCCTCAACGTGGGCGCCACGAGGACTGGTGTCGGGATACACAAGAGCAATGCCCTCCTCACCGGCCTTGATAAAGAAGCCACCCTTCTGAGCAGCTGTGTCCTCGGTGCAGGTGAGACCAGCGAGGTAAAAGAGCACAGGCACAGGGCCGGAAGAGGTGTTGGATGGGACAAAGAGGTTGAACTGGGTGGGCAGGGAGAGGGAGGTAGAGGGGAACTTGTATTTTGTGACAAAGCCGCCGGCGACCTTGTTGGAAGAGACCTTTTCGAGCTGGACCATGGCGTGCGGTTGATGTGGGATTGGAAAGTGAAAATGAAAAGAGATGACGGAAGGCAACACGCGTCTTATGACGTCGGACTCCACCGCCCGAGTCTTTTTCGGTCGCTTCTTGCCAACTTCTTGCAGTTCAACATGCAGGTTGCATATGGATATGGCATATGCACAATGCTAACAGGTATGGCGAGTATGGATACAAATGATAGACATGATTCTCTAGTGTATGTTTGACAATGCGGGATACTAAAAATGATGGGTTTGATACAAATCGAAAAAGTGATGGTCCCCCAGACAGATGTGTCTAGAATGTCGGGTGATGGCACTCTGATCTCCCTTGACGACAAGTGTGTCTATCACTTTGTCAGCAGATGCTCCTCCTCTAAAGGAAATCGGGACTCACACAGATTCGTAAAAATTCGTTAGAAGCAGCCTCACATTTTGCTTCTAGGCCTCAGGCTTTCACGCCGCGATGAAGCTGGGGCAGCTTTGGATTCGCTGACGCTCGATCCTTCTCTCGACCCCAAAACCATGCCTTTGAGATCCTCGCCGAGTCTGCCAGGCCTCGCCTTGGTCAAGTCCTGGATGGTCGAAGGCAGCTCGCTCCCCTCAGACACTGTAGTATCGCTACTGGAGACAGATTTGGCGACAGAGTCTTCTCTCGTATTGTCATCGGAAAGAGAGTTGGAGCGCGAGCGTGTGTCTGTGGTCGAGGTCAAAGCTGGCGAAGGGGCTCTCGGATTCGGGTCGCGATAAGATGACCGTCTGCGAAGATCATCTTCTTGAGAAGGCACAGAAGACCCGGCCGAATGAGCCATGGTGAGCGACGGTCGCTCGCGAAGCATCTCTTCAACACGGTGGTTGTCGTTGACTGACGACTCGCTTCCGTCTTCCACCTCCAGGTCGACTTCCTCCAAGAGAATCTCTACGGCTTCGCCATAATTGCCTTTGACTCGCGCAATAACATTTTCAACCTGCTGTGGGGTGATGCCATGACCACTAGGGAGAGAGGCGAGGACTTGGGAAACGAGCGATGAACGAGATTGAGGCGCGTCCTTGCTGTCTCTCTCGATTAACTCTCCCCGTGCCCGACGGGCTGCTTCCGAGACATCTCTTTGATGGGGAACCGCAAGCCGGTCTTCAACAGCGGCCAAGCCGTTTTCCTTGTCGCCGCGGCGCCGAATGCTTTGGAAATGCTCGGCCTGGGAAAAGAGGGCAAGCCAGAGCATGGTACGGCCCTCACGCGGAGGCGGGACAGATTCAGGCAAGACCTCTGCGAGATGCTCGTCAGGATCATCTGAGGCAGGAGGATGATCATTTGGTGAAGGGGGTTCGGCGCGCCAGGGTATCGTAAAGGATGCCTGGTCTTCATCAACGTGTTGGTCAAACAATGTGGGGGCAGCCTACTGTAGACATGACAACCCTTATATCTCTTCTGAATATGCGGGCAGCAGCTTGTATCTCTATATGACTTCCAAATTGTTCTGTGCTTGGTCAGCAATCATTGAGGTTGGGAAAGGGCCCAAGCGTACTTGACTGTCTCATCCGGCTCACGTATCCTTCAAATCCTTCGCCGGTCTTCATGAATGGTACCACGAAGCCCTCCATGGTGTCTTTATGAGAAGCGAGGTAGTCACAGACGAGTCTTCGCATCTCCGCGTGACGTTTCTGCATTGAATAAGCTCAGTTCACACGATCGATGGGATACAAGCATACCTCTGTTCCGTACAGTTGGTCCGACAGACATCTAAACAGACAGTTCCCGTCGCCTTGCACGTCTCTCAACGAGAGACCCAGTCTCGCAATCTCAGACTTGACCGACGCATCTTCCATCTTGATGTCTTCCAATGAGGTGGTCATGAGGTCCGAGGGCGAGTCTGCTCGTCTGGCTTTGGATCGTGTTGTCCTGCGTGAGCCTTGCACGGGCGGGGTTGACGAATGTTGGGGGGCGGGTGTGGCAGCATTGCGCTTGCCCTTTGGCTTTGGCGGTTTGCCCCCTCCACGCATGGATAGAGTAGGGCTGTAATCACTTTCTTCAGTGTCCGAGCCCTGGCGCTTGCGTTTCTTTCTTGGTTGACCCCGTGCTGTGATGCGACCGCGAGACGAGCCCGGCGCAGAGGGGTCTATCGTGGGCGAGGCATACGAAGGGGGTTGGGAGGCGATTGGAGGGAGTCTGAGCCTGACACGAAGCCTGGCGGGGGGAGGGTGGTCGAGGGGCATCGGCCTGAGGAGTATAGGGGGCGGGGAGTAGGCCATGGTGGGATGGGATGTGGACGGAGGAGAGACCGCTGGCTGTATCACTTCAAAAGTACTCGTGACGTGAAAAGCGGGGACAAAAAATGCAACTCAAACCTGACCATCTACGATACAACGTATCTCCCTATGCATGCTAGAACATCGTATATACAGCCATCCAGGTGTCGAAGCCACCCTACAATGCATCCACCACCTCGCCGCATACTATGTACTTGCCCTCAAAGTGCTGATGCCACCCGCGCATGTTCTCACTGCAGCGAGTCAGCATCACTCAACCTCGCATCGTCGACCGGCCGCATGTCACTTACATTTCGGCGGGGGTCAGATCTGCCAGTGTGTCGAGGGGCCCTTCCAAGGGCACAAGCATGTCTGAGAGACGCGTCAGCGTGGAAACGACCACATCGGCCTCACGTACCCAGTTCGTACGACTGCTTGGCCATACCCCGAGAAGCATCGCGGCCAGCGAAATTGCCATACACCCCATCTTCATAGCCACGACTGTCAGCGCACGTAGAGACACAGCATGCCAAACAGACCTGGACCATAGAACGTCTTGCCCGCGGTGACATCAAACACTGTCCTTTCGCCGTTGGGGTCCAGCTTTCCGTCATCCCCGGCTCGCATGATGGCCAACAGGATGCGCTGGGTCTTCACTCCGTCATACTTTGAGAGCTCCTGGGGGGTGTACTTTTTGTGGCATAAGACATCGGGGTGTTTCGCAGGCAGCCAGTTGTATTGGTCTGGGGTGTACTCTGTGACGGGATCTTCTTCGGCCAGGGCGGCGGGGACAAAGACGCGGTAGACAAGGTAGAGGATGGGGGGGATGAGGAGCAGGTTGAGGGGGTTGTTCAAGGACATGTTGGATGATGGGATGGAGAGAACGGATGCCGCGGAGGTTTGTCAGCGTACAGCCGGCGGACGGCCGCGCAACTTGAACTGGGGTTGTTATTTCCACCACCGCTTTCTCATCCCTCAACCGCCTTTCCACAATCCCCATGCTCGCTGCCAACGCCCGCCCCGCCGCCCTCGCAAGGAGAGCACCCGCCACCGCCCTCCGTCTCACCAGTAGGTGCCGCCCCCGCCGCCACCACGAGCTCACCTCCTGCAGGACATCCATTCTACCCCACCGCCCTCGCGTCCTCCATCAACAACCGCCCCTTCAGCCAACTCCCCATCCCTCTGCAGCCATTCTCAAATCGTGCGACACTCCAGCCCCCGTCTCTGACTGTCGCCCTCGCGCGATATGCCTCGACCAAGGCCTCTAACTCGACATCACCGGACAAGGTAGCCGAGTCTGCGGTTTCAGCGACCCCCCTACCACCGGCCAAGAAAGGAAGTCTACCCTCCAAGGTCACAGACATTGCTGCGGCCGAGGGAGAAAAGGCTGTAGAGAAGAAGGAAGAGAAAAAGAAGCCCACTGGGCCTCTTCCTGCCAGAGTATGGGCGGTCGTGAAAAAGGAAGCGGCCCACTACTGGGCTGGTACAAAACTGCTAGGACAGGAAATTCGAATCAGTGGAAAACTGCAGTGGAAGGTCCTTAATGGGGGTACCCTTACGAGACGAGAGCGAAGACAGCTCAGGCGAACGACCATCGACCTGCTCCGTCTTTTGCCCTTTTCGGTGTTCGTGCTCGTTCCATTCATGGAGCTCTTGTTGCCCGTCGCCCTCAAGCTTTTCCCCAACATGCTTCCCAGTACTTTTGAGGGAGAGCTTGCTACTAGCGAAAAGCAAAGAAAGCTCTTGAGAGTGAGGATTGAAATGGCAAAGTTCTTGCAGGAGACCGTCAGAGAATCTGGTCTGAAGGCCGACAGTGTGGTACGAAGCGACGAATTCAAGGAATTCTTCCGAAAGGTGACTTCTTTTGGATCATCTCTAGGCAGACTGACTCATTTGCCATAGGTTCGCTCCACTGGTGAGACCCCCAACACGACAGATGTCGTCCGGGTCGCCAAGCTGTTCCACGACGACATTACTCTGGACAACTTGTCTCGACCTCAGCTTGTGTCCATGTGCAGGTACATGAACATTAACGCGTTTGGTACCGACAACTTTTTGAAGCACCAGATTCGAAGCAAGCTGGAGAAGGTTCGAGTGGATGACATGGTGTGTGCAATATAGGGCCAATGGATCACGCTAATTCGTTCTAGATGATTCACGCTGAGGGTGTCGACTCGCTTTCTACCAAGGAGCTCCACAATGCAAGTCAGTCTCGAGGTATCCGATTCCAGGGTGTTTCCCCTGCTCGTCTGCGTGAAGAGCTCGAGACGTGGATCGAGCTGCATTACATCAATGGTATCTCTGGTGTGCTTCTTGTCCTCTCTCGGGCCTTCAACTTTGAGCAAAAGGGCGACGACATTATGCAGAGTCTGGTCACTACCTTGAGCAGCTTGCCCGAGAACTTGGTGAGTGGCCTCATATCTAAATCCAACTATTGCTAACGTTTGGGCAGCTTAACGAGGCCGAGTTGAACGTCTCTGACGAAGCAACTTACAAGCAGAAGCTTGAAGTCTTGCAGCAGCAGCAAGAGTTGATCGAGGACGAAGCCGAGCAAGAACAGGTATGTCCCGTGGCTGCATAGTAGACTGTTTTTGACCCCATGACAGGAGGAACAAGATGCTCGACGTGAGGAGAAGGAGAAGAAGGCGGCCGAGGAGGCGGCTAAGCGCGAAGCGGAGGAAGCTGCCAAGGCGGCCGAGAGCGAGGCAACAGAAGTCAAGGAAGAGTCAACGGCCGAGCCCAAGCAGGCGGTCAAGGAGGAGGAGGGCAAGAAGGAAGAGGAAGCTCCCAAGGCTGCCGAGGAGGCCGACGCGAGAATGACCAAGGAGCAATTGTCCGAATTGGCCGAGGCCTTGTCTATCTTGACTGCCAAGTCCAGTATTGTCAAGGAGCGAGATGAGCTCAAGTCTCTGCTTGAAGACAACCTGTTGTCCGAGGCCGTAAGTGAATTCGCGGCAGTGGTGGTTGAGGCTGACACCTCTTTAGGAATCCAAGGAGAGGCAGGAAGGCGACAGCCCTACCGTGGCTGTCTCCAAGCGTGTCCGATCTATGGTCAAGAAGATTGACGCTCAGCTTGAAAAGTACGATGAAAAGGTCGGATCAAGTCTCAACTTGATCCAGACCACTCCTCATGGCCAAATCGCTCTCGTGGACTTGAAGAAGGCCTTGAAGGTCATCAAGCACAGGCCTTCTGACGACATGATTGATGGTTTGGGCAAGAAGCTGGATGTCGACTCTGATGGCTTTGTTGTGAGTTGGTCTCATTGAGCGTCGAGCAGCATACTAAGATTTGATGCAGGAACTTGACCACGTTCTGGAGCTCACACAAGACCACGGTCTGGGCATCTTGCTCGAGGATGAGGAGGCTAAAAACCTCATCAACACTGGTTCTGATATTAGACATAGCAAGGACGTCAAGGAATTGAAGTCAGTCCATTTTGCTTGTTCTAGTATCCACGCTAACTTCTTTGTAGGCCCAAGCTGCAAGATATCCTGCAAGAATAGTGTTGAAGGAGGAGAAAATATGTACGAGGACTAGTCATGGACACGAAGAGAAGCATATTGCACACAACATACAAACTCCCTCCCCAATGCATGATCATTGCCTGTATATGGCCTTTACATATATATCAGACCCGCTGGCGTGTCCAGAGACTCCTGAATGGGGCCAGATATAGACGGCATATGAAAATGCCGAAGCAAATCATCACCAATCACCAAACAGGCAGAGTTCAGGAAATGGGGGAAGGAAATTGGGAAAGAAGGGATGATGAGGCTCGAAGAGAAGATACGACTAGAGCTGCTGAGAACGAGAGACAAACAGAGGATGGCGCGCTGGAAACTGGCCGCAGCCCCAAACAACTAGGCAAGAGAGGAGGACGCAGAAGTGCATCAGTAGCTTAGTCTGACCCGGTCTCTTCCCAAACTACGAACTTCCCACAGCCGAATCATCATCAGGAAGATGGGCCATCTGGAGGAAGCTGTGCGAACTAGTCAGTGACAGGTAGTAAGTATCCGACGATGAAGTTATAGTAAGACGAAGACGGGCTTTTGGAGAACGCAATACGGACATTTCCATCGATTAGAAACCCTTTAAAAACTTTTTGAAATAGTTTATCCATACTCAAGGAAGGTCAAGCAAGCGCGATGCGCGCTCCCTTAGTCCCTAGCCATGAATCTAAACACGAAATCGGAGATGTTGTTGCCATCGGCTAATTCCCGGAAGGCGACAGCGAAACAGGCGACCACTGTGAAGTGTGACTAAAATAGTTAATGATTTCTCCTCCACGCCAACTCTGCACCCCAACAGCCCAACCCGATTCTCCTCGCCTCTCGCCTCTGTGTAAAGCCTGTAATCTTGGATCTTGAAACCCGCGCTCCACAGAAATCTCATCGACAAGGTGATAGAAAAATCGAACTTGCCTGTGTGATGCTGGAATAGGAGAGAATTACCCCCTATCACCCCACCTCTCAATTTTCCTCCCCCGTACCATGACCACCTCAACATACGATGGCCACCAAAAAGAACAGAGCTACTCCAAAAGCACCATGTCTGCAAACTGGCGCTCAAAGTTGATGGACAGAGTCCTGCAGGCGCTATTGAAACTGACTCCTGCATTCTTCTGTGAGTAAAAGCATGGTTATGATTAAAACAGTCGCTGACATGAATTCGATAGCCCTTACCATGGGTACAGGCATCGTCTCGATACTATTGTATGACTTTCCCTTCAGCGCACACTGGCTCCGAGTGCTTGCCGTCGTGATATTCGTGTTCAATGTTGTCCTCTTCCTCGTTCTGCTATTCGCCAATATCGCGCGATTCGTCATATGGAAGGGGCTGTTTGCTGCTACATTGACGCATCCGGTGGCTAGCATGTTCTGGGGGACTCTTCCTATGGGTCTAATAACCCTCGTCGTGAGTATACTCGATTTCTGGCAAAGATGTAAGCTGACCATCAACAGAACATGACTGCTCTTTCATGTGTACCTGATGGTGGCATTGCATGGGCTAGACTGGCTCTAGGATTATGGTGGATCGACATTATTCTCTCGGTGGCCATCAACCTGGGCATAGTATACATCATGTGAGTATCAACATGCCTCGAGGGAATACGTGCTGACATTGGACTAGGTTTACCCGCCAGAGACACACTCCAGAAACCATGGCTGCCATATGGCTGCTCCCCATCGTCTCCTGCGTCGTCGCCGCTGCCTCTGGCGGGGTCGTCTCCAACGCCATCATGCCCTACATGCCCCAACTCGCCCGGTCCACCATCATTGTCGCCTACATCATCTACGGTATCGGCGTCCCCCTGGCAATGTTTGTCATTACCATCTTTCTCCATCGCACTATCGTATACGGCTTTCCCGCACCTGCGGCTCTTACGACACTTTACTTGCCTCTGGGTCCCTGCGGCCAGGGCAGTTTCGGCATGGTGGTCCTGGGAAAGACTGTGCGTAAGCTGGCATACGAGTATGATATTGGGTTCACCGTCGCACCCTCGGGTGCGCTTTCGAGTGAGATAGCATCCGGCGCGATGAGGAGGGTGGCGGACGCCATCTATGCAGGGGGTATCATCACGAGTCTAATCTTGTGGGGTTTGGGATTCTGCTGGTATTTGTTTGCGACCACGTCGCTGATCGACCACTGGTGGCATGAGGATAGGTCCTACTTTGGCCGACAATCGTTCAGCGTTGGCTTTACGGCATTGACATTCCCCATCGGAGTGTGGGCGGTACGTCTACCCGTCATTATAGCGCGATATGAGCTTACGCTGGTATAGACTGCTTCGACGGCGCTCGCGATAGAGCTCGACTCTTGGGCTTTCAAGATCATCGGTGCGGTCGTTTCGCTGCAAGTGGTCTTCAACTGGAGCTATGTCATGGTGTACACGCTCTACAAAGCGTACGACGGGACGATCTTTGTCGCCCCTGAACTGGCACGGTTTGCCGACAAGACACCGCCATTGAGATGGGAGTCTCGCAGTGAGAGGGACAAAGAGATTGCAAGGGATCAGCGGGATATTGGGTCGTACCGCGTATAATGGTGTTTGAGATATGGCATGTTGTATGTACATCTTAGGGGGTGGAAGGAGATTGCTCCCTGGTCGCGACGGTGGGGGACAATAACGAGACGGAAGATTGAAGGGGGTGCCTGGCCAAGATGTGTGTGGGCGTGATGTGCACTGTTTTCAGCAGGCGCCTCTCGCCGCAGCCTACTTAGTGTATATACATATTATATACAGCTGGGTGGGGCATCTGAAGCTGACCTGCAACCTCCCATCCATTCTTGAGTGTCCATCCCCGCTGACCCCCAAGCCAGTCTCCTTTCACGCCTATCCATTCTTGAGTGTCCGTCATCCCACAGGCAGGTCCTGTATCAATCACGACCCATACGTATAAAACAAGTCCGTCCCCTGGCTTCCGATCCCCCGGACCACTTGCTCACTCTCTTCTTTCACAGCGAACAAGAACACGGCCCTTTCACGCAACATCACATCTGCCTGACTGGCAGCCCGACACTCATTTGACCCCCTACTCTCCTACTCCCTTCATCCCTGTCACTGCACATCATGTCGCTGCTGGTTAGCAACTCGAGTGCCGCAGCCACTGCTCACAGTGTTGCGAGCAACATGGTGATGACCGCCACCTTGGCCTCTGCTTCTGCCACTGCGACGGCAGTCAACCAAACAAAGATCATCGCCTTGGAAAATGCCGATCAGGCCTCTACAAACAGTACGTGTACACATCTTGCAAAACTGCATTCTGACCATACATGCAGTGGCCATGCCAGGCGTCATCTATCTCGCAGCTGGTGGACTTCTCATCTTTTGCATGCTTCTTGGCCACACCCGTTTCCTTGCTCGCCTTTTCGCCTCATTCCCCAAGTCCAAGTCTTGGCCCTCACCAAAGTCATCTGGCGATTTACAAGTCACGACCACTCCCGACCTCAGCGCGCGCGCAGTAGGCGGAGGCGACCTCAAAACCGGATGGCTGCTATCCAAAGGCCCCGAAAGGAATATCGAAATCTTCTCTCCCTGTACGCCTGCCACTGCACAGACGTCTGGACCCTTCTCTCCCTACCACGATGCAAGGCAGCACGGCTATTTCCCCTCGGTAGCCCGACCTCGCTTGCAGCCTCCTCCTCATATTGTGCCCCTCCTTCACTATGTCCCTTGGTCGTCGTCTCTCATTTCGATGCCCTTTTACCGTCTTCCCAGCCACCTCAAGTCTCTCGCCAGCATGCCTGCACTGTACGTCGTGCTTGGCTACCTTTTGTGTTCTGCCTTTGCGCTGGTATGGAAGTCAAAGCTCGCTGTGGCGTCCGCCGACTCGGGCTACGGGTCAGACTTTAAGCGCTCAGGCATTGTTGGAGTCGCACAGCTTCCGCTTGTGATTGCTCTAGGTGTGCGAGGCAATGTGGTCGGATTGTGTGTTGGCCAGGGCTACGAAAAGCTCAAGCTTTACCACAAGGTAGTCGGCCGGGTCTTTTTCGCGGCTTCCACGGTACACTCTGTCGGATATAGTGAGTCCACCTTATACATGAGATCTATCTAATCCTGTCGCAGTGTACACCTGGGCCAGCGCTGGTATTCTTCAAACGCATTCTGCCAAGCCTTTTGCCATCTATGGCTATGTCGCTTTTGGTGCTCTGATTTTGGTTACTCTCTCGTCATTGCCATTCATCCGGAAAGGTTACTTCAGATTGTTCAAGTTCTGTCACTTCATTGGCATGGTAGCCACTCTTGTTGGCCTTGCCTGGCACATTGACTCTGCAGTTCCCTACTGGTATGTCCACCTACAAATGTCGTACTCGGCTGACACCATGACAGTATCGCGGCTATGGTCTTCTACTTTGTCTCTGCGCTCTGCAGTCTCACCAAGACCCGTCTGGCTACTGCCCAGCTTCACGCCGTCCCTTCCTCCGATATGACCATCATCACCATCCCAGAGCTCCGATCTGGCTGGCGAGCAGGCCAACACGTTCGCATCCGCGTCCCCAACCTCGGTCTCCGCCAAGGCCTCGAAGGCCATCCCTTTACAATCGCCTCGGCGCCCAACGGGGAAGGTCTCGTTTTGATGTGCAAGCGTGCTGGAGACTGGACCACCAGCTTGTTCAATTTGGCTCAGAACCTGCAAACTCCTGATGCCGAGGCCCAGCAAGGACAAGGTGTGACCATCGTGCTCGAAGGTCCTTATGGCGGTCTCGGAAACACGATGCCTTCATCATTCTCTTCCGTCGTCCTCGTCTCCGGCGGCTCTGCCATCACCCACGCCCTTTCCATTGCCCACGACCTCGTCCTTCGCGCCCCGACCGGCTCTGTACGAGCGAGAACAGTTGACTTGATCTGGATGGTCCGTACAGAGCAAGAAGCCAAACCTCTGATCTCTACGTTGACTGAACTCGTGGACGATGCCCGTGCGTGGGAGACGACGTGCATCGAAAACATGAAGTGGGGCGACGCGTATATCCCACCCACAGCTCTGCGAGTTAAGATCTTCGTCACTCGTTGCCCTGCTTCTTCCCCCATCACCCTCTTGTCTGACATCCAAACCGGCGAAAAGGTGAATGTCGATTTGTCGCCAGCGGACCAAGAAAAGATGTCATACCTCGCCCGAAACCCATCTGCGGCATCTACAATGACCTGCAAATCCCGCAGAAACCTGCCCTTCTCTAGTATCGCCGCCAACCCCGCTCGACCCAATCTCGGTATTCTCATGTCGAGTATTGCCGACGAGACGATAGCACACCACGGCCGGTCGTTGACCAACCCCAGCGGGATGTTTGTCTCGACTTGTGGGCCGGATGGGCTAATGTATGATTCAATGTTGGCGGTGATGAAGATGGAAGAATATCGCGCTACGGGGGTGGGTGGAGTGGAGTTTGAAGAGGAGCGGTTTAGCTTTTAAGCAGCCGCAAGTCACGCTCGAAAAGTCGGGGTGGAGAGTCTTTCGACTTGAGCCTGTGTGAAATGACCCGCAGGTACGGGTGGGCTGGAGATCTATGTATCATCCCTAGTGGAGGATTGTGTGTTACTTGGGTTTATAAGTCATGCAGGCTATGGCTATGTTCACGGCACCCCTTCTTGTTCATCTCTTCCAGCTCGCTGAGTTCGCCTACTACATAATTTCCTCCAGAGATTTGAATATCTACGACGCAACTCATCACTGATGCTCATAGCTCGTCAGTTGCTATCCACAGCTGGCCGGCATTCCCTGGCAAAAGGCGAGCCAAGACGTTTGCGATCATAGATAAACCCCTGTGTACGCGGAGAAGACGGTGAATAACCAGGAACAGGCACAAGGCACAGAATAGTCACAGATTCCGAAATCAATTGATCTCCTGAGGAAAAAAGCGAGCGCGATCATGCCATCTTGACAAAAATCAACAATTTTCACGGCGGGCCCCCACTTTTTGCGCGAGTGGCGCCACATCGACATCCTCAAGCGAGTCTCTCCCCGAGCACGCCATCCTGCAGAGTCGCAGCTCACAGCTGCACATAAATCTCCTTGGAGCAAACTTTTCTTAACTCCACTTCTTCTTCCCTCCATCTGCTCATCTGCTCCTCCACATCCACCAGGATGGCCACTATCACGCCCCCCATCCACCCCGAACAGGAAGAGCCTGGCCACCAGCTCACCGATGACAGCGCACCCATCAAAAAGTATCCCTGTAAGTTCATCGCGTGCAGGGGAGAGAACGAGACTTACGCGATGCATAGTTTACAGGAGTGTTGGTTTCCAAGTGAGTGCGCTATACAGATTGGCTGAACTTCATACTGACCTCGAAATTAGGTCTTGATTTGCTCGTTGATTTCGTTCACCGCCCCGGGCATGTGGGATGCTTTGTAGGTCGGCGTGTGCTACATGTGTCTAGCTACTGACGCTCTCTGTAGAGGTGGTCTAGGTGCTGGAGGTGCCGCAGATGTCACGGCGGTGTCTATTGCGTGAGTATCTTTCTTTGGTTTGGGGCACGCGACTTGATGCCAACTTTTCCTCTAGCAACGCTCTCGTTTACGGTGTACGTGGACATATGTTGACGTACAGCAGAGACTTGGAACTAATACGCCGTATATAGTTGTTTGCAGTCGTGTGTGTAGCCGCCGGTGCGATTAACAACCGGATTGGTCTCAAGTGGGGTCTTGCTCTTGGGTTTGTCTTCGTTCTTGTCATTCCTCCCTCTGCTAACATGCTCCCGCAGAGCCGTTGGATACCCCCTCTACGGTGCTGGTTTGTACGTCAACAACACTACCACCCACACCGCCTTCATGCTCTGGGCTAGTGCTATGTGCGGTATCTCTGCCGGTTTCTTTTGGGCTGCGTAAGTTCAGACTCTTCGAAATGAGAAGGCAGGAGCTCATACTACACCCAGTGAGGCCGCTGTCATCATCGGATATCCCAGTCCTAAAGACCGTGGATTCTACCTCGCCATCTGGCAAACTGCCAAGGCCGCTGGCCCCATCGTCGGTGGAGCTATCAACCTCGCATTGAACGCCGGTAGAAGCACTGCTGGATCTGTCTCTTCCGCCACCTACATTGTCTTTATCGCTATCATGTGCCTTGGTAAGTCTGAGAATGTGGCCTGTTGGGCGTGTCCTCACTAGTATCCAGGTCTGCCCATTGCTACATGTCTCAGTGATGCTCAGAAAGGTCAGCAAAATCACTCATGAAAGTGGGCTATCATACTGATCGTATCTCATAGTCCACCGTAGGGATGGTACTCGCATTGTGGTCAGCAAGCAAGAAACTTGGGGTAAAGAGTTCAAGGCCGTCCTCGACCTCGCCCTGTCTCGCCGTATCCTTCTTCTCTTGCCGGCCTTCTTCATCAGTTATTTCTACAACGGCTTCTTGAGTACATTTTTGACCGAGTACTTTGTAAGTCGCTGAACCTGCATTTCCTTGACATTGCGCTTATGTTTCTCAGACTGTGCGATCTAGGGCCTTCTCCAGTTTCTTCACCAACTTTGCTGGTATCTTCAGCTCTTTCATCATTGGCACCCTCCTCGATCGACAATCCATCCCCATCAAGATCAGGGCCAAGGTTGCTTTTGTATGTTGCGCTTTGCCACCTGTCGTTCACATCTGACAATATATCTGCAGGGCTCCATCGTCACTATCCTTATCGGCACCTGGATCTGGGCTATCATCTTGCAGAACCAATTCTACAATGCCGACACTGCGCCTGTTTGGGACTGGTTCACGGCCGGCTTCAACAAGTCGTATGCTTTGGTGTTCTTCGTCAGTCCTTTCTCATTGTTTGGTGTCCTTGAGCTGACTCGAGTGCAGTGGACTTTTGCCGGTCAAGCTTTCCAGCAATTCCTCTACTGGTTGGTCGGCCAGTACACCACGGACCTTTCTTCCCTCTCTCACCACACTGGTATTCTCCGAGGTGTTGAGGCTGCTGGACAAACCGTCGCTTGGGCGTAAGTCTTCCTTTAATTCTCTCTAGTCATTCTGCTGACCATCTGGCAGGATGCAATCTGAAGGCAATGCCAATCACTTTGTCAGCATCGGCATCAACTTTGGTATCCTCCTCATCTGCATCGTTCCCACCTGGATCGTCTTGTCCGAGCTCGAGGGTAGCCACGAGGTTGTCGTAGTTGAGGGAACTGACACGCAATCCGTCAAGGATGGAAGCGTGGAGTCGGCAAAGTCAAGCGAAAAGGACCTCGCGTTGGCGTAAATCGTTCATTCTCTCATTCTTGGGTCCCGGTATAGACATAGATATTCAAGTAGTCACCGGACGTCTATAATGCGCTGCTATGCAAAGTGTCTGTACTTTTCAGGTTTTCATCCATCATCATACACTCTGTACTTATTTGGTCCTCGACTCAGAAGATTTCGGTACGCTAAAACGCGCGGACGAATTGCGGATTTCGCTAAAGATAAAGTTCGGCGGGAATGGCCGCACACTTAGATTACGCGAGCTGGTTTCAGTAGTATGTAAGCCGTAAAATTCTTCGAGTGAATCAGCGTTCACAAGAAGTGGCAAATGATGACGCATCCCTTCTCCTCATACGTCTCGCACGACACGGGTCTATAACCCATAGTTCCGTCGCTAGCAGGCTCTAGATTTTCGTGGCTCGGCCAAAAGGATGCGTCAGCCACCCACGTCTTTCGTCAGCACCGTCATGCAATTTCCACCATGAGACCCGCTATATAACCTCCAGACCGAAGCTTTTTCCTTTCATTCTCCAATCCGATTATTCTCTACCAACCAAAGCACATCCCACAGACTTTCACAATGCCCTCTCCCGCCCCTTCTGTACACGGTGAGTGAGACCTTATTGCAATAGGATGTGGCTGACGACATGTTGAAGACGGTGCTGCTGCTCCCGCTGCCAAGAAGTCTTTCCTGCCCAAATTGCCCCCTGCCCGACTTCTCTTCGGTACCACCCGCCACATCTTTTACATTGTCTTCTTTACCCTCTGGTTGTGTATCGACATTGCCCTACTCGGACTTGTTTCTGAACAGATCCACAAGCACGGCCGAGACTACAACAATTATCCCGATGGCCAATACTATCATGCCCTTGGCCTCCTCCTTTTCTCCACCATCATCGGTCTCATCTTTGGCATCTTCCACTTCAAGTTGGGTCTCACCATGTACCTTCCCATCTTCCTTGCTTTCGCTGCTTGGTTCGGTACCAGTGCTGGTATCCTCGAGGCTACCCCCTTCGGCCACGGTCTCCAGTGCAAGCACACCTGGGATCTTAGCAGGTTCCCTGTAAAGTACCAGCCGTTCGTGAGCGAGTGTTCTCGTATTACTGCTATCAGTGGTTTGGCTTGGGCTTTGTGTAAGTCATTTTTTTTTGCGGTTTGCGGACGAGATTCAGAACCTGACCGCTCTTGTACACAGTCGCTCTTTCTGTCATCGGTCTCTTCTGGGTCTTCCATGACAAGTTTGCCTTGACCAGCAAGCGAAACAACACTTATGATGTCGCCGAGCAGGGCGAGTCTGCTCCTCTCAAGCACTAGAACCTCCGACCATAATAGGCTGTCAGATAGTTACATACGTTCTCATCTACCATATAATTCTGTGTCTATAATTGCTAGAGGGATGCAACATCATCATACTCATTGCCGAAGAGTGTCCAGGTGCAGTTTAGCTGATTCAGCTTTCTTGATTGTACAAAAGCCTGATGACTGCAGACTTTGAGCGGTCAGTGGGATACAATTGGTCGCATCAAGAGGTGAACCTTATCTATAGTACAAAGCCAGTCACTTTCGAAACTTCAGGTACATTGTTCCAAGCACTCTCTCGTTCTCGGCTTGTCTCCCAGGTCGGCTTACCAAACACAGCAGTAGCCAGCCAAGTCTCGCCCTGGTCAATCTCACCCACAAGACTGGGTAGCACGCCCCTCGGGAATATGACATTGGTGTTGGGGTCAATCTGGACGAGTTTTCCCAGACGCTTGCCCAAAGAGCCCTTGAATGATAGGTCTTTCAACCCGACAGCGCCACCAGAAGTCACCGCTCGAGCCCATCCTTCTTCTTCGTCTCCGCCCTCGCTCTTGACGCCGGAGAAGTCCTGCACCAGAGCTCGGCCATCCGGTCCTTGTCCATACGTCGCCCATCCGCCTTCCACCGACCTGAGCTTTCTCCCCGAGGTGATCTTGTGAACGCGCAGGTACCAGCTGGAAGAGGGGCTGGTGGGAGGGAACAGCCAAGTTTCAACCTCGACATCATGCCAGGGCTTCCACTTTGCTCGAAGATGCACTCCGTCCGTCCCCCTTCGCTCAAGCCTCGTCTCGATAGGTTTCCTTCGTACCCTCCACGTCTCACCATCTCCTTCATCCACCCCGTCAGACACGTCCCGGAGAGCAAGCATCGAGTCGGGCGCAACTTGAGCGATATCCATATCGCCGCTCGGGCAAGAAAAGCCAAAGGCAGAAGAATACCCAAACTTGCAATACTTGGCTGGGCCGGCACGCATGGCGTAATGAGGAGATTGGCCCGAGGATAGGAGGAAGGTATGGCCGCCTTGACGACACATGATGTGAGATGGGTCGGGGAGAGCCTTCACCTTGGGAAAGAGATCGCTAGGCCAGGGCAGCTCTTCGCTGGCCCAGAAAGGGTGGTCGGAGGAAGCACCGAGACATGAGAACGCTTTCATACACCAGTACGGCGAGCCTGTTTGCCCATCAGCATCCATTGATGGCAAGAGAGGAAGTAGCATACCAGGAGCATTATAGTTTTCAGTCATGTTCATACAGTCATAACGGTAGCCAATGTTGAGAGTGCCGTCGCTTCGAAAGATGTCTTGAGCATCATTCCAAGAGCGGAGATGGCGCAGCACCAAGCCCTTGATATGACCCCAAGAAAGGGGTGCAGGAGGCTCAATATCCGCCATAGGTAGGACAGAGGCGGTAGCAATTACAGCGAAGCGATAGACCATCGAGCGACCGAACGGGATAGCAGAGCCTGATAACCATGTCAACAATCGCTCACAACGTCGTATGAGACTTACCGTCTTCGGCAAAGTAATAGAAGAAGTCTTTGACGAAATCTTGGGCTCGCTGCTTGTATTTATCGCACCTCACAGGATCTTCCGTGGCAGCGAGCTGCTTTACAATCAGCGGCGCTCTACTTCCGACGGCATACTCGTACTGACCTTACTGTAGAGCATCTGGGCCACCTGTATAGCAAAGCTCGAGCTATAGTAGTCCAGTTGTTGAACGTCCTCTGGCCCATCCCGACTCCAACCTGCAGAACCACTATCGTCCCCGCTCGGGGCATGCCCGTCCAGTTGGAACTCTTCCAGTCGAGACAAATCTCGCTGCATTTGTTCTCCTTTATGGAAGTCGGACTGGACGGTTCGCAGAGCGATATTGGCGAATACACGAAACCAAAGCCAATTTGCTGTCCAAGAGGTCAATATACGAGGTCACTCGTCGCAGATGAAGACTCACTGTCAGGCATATGCTTGCCTATACAGCTCTGCAAGAACAGGCATATGTTTTGCTGAACTTGCGGTGTTTGGTTCTGATTGTGGACAATCAGCCCATGTCATGATGCCTCACCAAAATCTCATCGACTCACATGATAAAACTTATCCGGACAAAGCGCGATAGCATAGCTCAGCGGGCTCATCTCCACCATCCTCTGATCCTTGTCCGCCGATGGACCCCAATATCCCTCGCTTTCAGGGTCTGTCCCACTAGCCAGCCCCTCAACCCAAAGCTTTGCACCATCGTATTGCTCCCCGCCAGCTAGGAGAGAAGCCAAACCCCATAGTGGTCTTGCGAAAGCTTCCAGAGCGACGGCCTTCTCGTCGTAGTGGGTTGCGGTGCTTCCAATCTTGATCACAGCGCCCCCATGTGATGCTTTGCTATGCAGAGGATCCAGTACTGTAGCACAATCAGTACCGACGTATGAAGATATCCATGTCGCACTTACAAGCTATACAAGCTCTCTTGACATCCTCTCGCGTTCGGAATGGGTTTCCCAAGAAGTCGCCGTCGGCCGCGGCTCTAGTTGAGCTGTTCGCCATCCTATCGTGGAAATTCTTGGATCAGGAAAGGCTACGACGTCGAGTAAATATAGCTGAGTGCATGACTTCCCTATATACATATCGCTGCCCATCACTGCATGCTTCCTAGATGCCATAGATCACATGCCGCCCGGCATAGCCCGGAGTTACGGCGCGGGCGGACCGAAGGGCGGACGAATTTCCGACATACTCAGCCTGCAAATGTCTTCTTGTGTATCAATCGCAGTGCTCAAAGTGGTCCTAAACCCAGATGCATATACTAGAACACGAAAACCGGAATATTAAAGATACAGATATGACTCTTTTTAATGTTGTTGTGACTTCTTTCAGACTCTTTTTCCCCTTTCAACTCTCTATTCCATCGCTTAGTCGACCTCCTCGACAGAGGGACCGTCCTCGTGAGAGTCACCGGCACCGCCAGCGCCGGGGAAGCCACCGGGAGCACCTCCGGGAGCGCCACCGGGCGCACCACCCTGAGCACCGTAGAACTTGGTCATGATGGGGTTGGCAACAGCCTCGAGCTCCTTTTGCAAAGACTCGAATTCCTCCTTGGAGGCAGACTGCATGGTGTCGAGGTTGCTGATGACCTCGTCGACCTTGGCGGTGAGGGTCTTGTGGTCCTCGGCGTCAAACTTGTCGGCGTTGTCGGACAAGGTGGTCTTGAGAGAGTAAGAGTAGGACTCGAGACCGTTCTTGGCCTGGACAGTGGCGGCGGCGGCCTCGTCTTCAGCCTTGAACTTTTCGGCGTCGGCAAGCATCTAGTGAAAGTCAGCATGAATTCGTTAGAGTGAAAAGAAAAGTACTCACAGCCTCAATGTCCTCCTTGGACAATCGACCCTTGTCGTTGGTGATGGTAATCTTGTTGCTCTTACCGGTAGACTTGTCGGCAGCGTTGACGTTCAAGATACCGTTGGCGTCAACGTCGAAGGAGACCTCGATCTGAGGAACACCTCGAGGAGCAGGGGGGATACCAGAGAGCTCGAACTTTCCGAGCAAGTTGCAGTCCTTCGTCTTGGCACGCTCACCCTCAAAGACCTGGATCAAAACACCGGGCTGGTTGTCAGAGTAGGTAGAGAAGGTCTCGGACTTCTTGGTGGGGACAGTGGTGTTTCGCTTGATCAAAGGAGTCATGATACCACCAGCGGTCTCGATACCCATGGAGAGAGGGGCAACATCGAGCAAGAGCAAGTCCTGGGTAGCCTCGGAGGTGTCACCGGTAAGGATAGCGGCCTGGACGGCGGCACCGTAGGCGACGGCCTCATCGGGGTTGATGGACCTGTTGGGCTCACGGCCAGAGAACATGTCGGAGACGAGCTTCTGGATCTTGGGGATACGGGTGGAACCACCGACGAGGACGATCTCGTTGACGTTGGACTTGTCAATCTTCGAGTCTCGGAGGACCTTCTCGACGGGGTCCATAGTAGATCGGAAGAGGTCCTGACAAAGCTCTTCGAATCGGGCACGGGTGATGGAAGTGTAGAAGTCGATACCGTCAAAGAGAGAGTCGATCTCGATGGTGGTCTGGGCGGCAGAAGAGAGGGTCCTCTTGGCACGCTCACAGGCGGTTCGGAGACGTCGGAGGGCACGGGCGTTGGAGGAAAGGTCTAAAGTAGATGTCAGTGGAGTCCCAAGTGTGTGGACGACAGACTTACCCTTCTTGTTCTTCCTCTTGAACTCCTGGACAAAGTGGTTGACGAGACGGTTGTCAAAGTCTTCACCACCCAAGTGAGTGTCACCAGCAGTAGCCTTGACCTCAAAGATACCCTCCTCGATGGTAAGGAGAGAGACATCGAAAGTACCACCACCCAAGTCGAAGATGAGAACGTTCTTCTCACCCTCAGACTTCTTGTCGAGACCGTAGGCGATGGCAGCGGCGGTGGGCTCGTTGATGATACGGAGGACATCAAGACCGGCAATGGTACCGGCGTCCTTGGTGGCCTGACGTTGAGAGTCGTTAAAGTAGGCGGGGACGGTGACGACAGCCTTGGTCACGTTGCCACCGAGGTAAGCCTCGGCGACCTCCTTCATCTTGATGAGAACCATTGAAGAGATTTCTTCGGGAGTCTGTGGCTATGGTCAGCAGATGCGCGAATCATGGGACAGGTAGTACGTACGAAAGTCTTCTCCTCGCCCCTGTACTCGACCTGGATGACGGGCTTGCCAGCCTTGTCGATGATCTTGTACGGCCAGTGCTTCATGTCGGCCTGCACTTCCGAGTCGGCAAACTTGCGGCCAATCAGACGCTTGGCGTCAAAGACAGTGTTGTAGGGGTTCATGGCGACCTGGTTCTTGGCGGCATCACCAATCAGACGCTCAGAGTCATTGAAGGCAACATATGATGGTGTTGTTCTGTTACCCTGGTCGTTGGCTAGGAGAGTGTTAGCTAGGTCGAAGGCAGGAAGGAAGAGGGTGCTCACCGATGATCTCGACACGGTCGTTCTGCCATACGGCAACACAGGAGTAGGTGGTACCCAAGTCGATACCGATAGCTTTAGTCTGGGCCATTGTGGATGTGGTGTGGGGAGTAGGAATGCAGTAGTAGAAGTGGCGTTGAAATGTGTTTTCTTTGGGGGGAAGAGAGATGAGATGGAATTGGGACGCCCTTATATGTGCGAGTGCGTGCGAACATGCCAGAACACGGCGAACCCCGCACCGACGTCACCGCGTAATTAACTGTAATTACCCACAGCTAGCGTCCTCCAGAACGTTCGTCCTTATGTGGGGGGCTACATGGGGCGGGATCAAATACCCCGCCGGCCGCCGGGGCTGTTTACACTTGACCTCTATACTACGATTCGCTGCCACGCGCCACCATATGATGTCGGACGACGGGCACCACGTATGCCAGCGATGCAGCCAGGTGAGTGCCCCCCCGGCGTGCCCCGCTCACCCCCAGCCCCTCCAACTCGCCCCCCTCTCCCCCGCCCACTACAGCCTCATCTCCTCCTCCCTCCCCGACTCCCCCGCATCCTCCATCGACGACTGGCCCCCCTTCGAGAAACTCGCAGCGCTACCTCCCTCATCTAGGCAGTCCGCAAAGGTATGGGCAGACGCTAATCTGTCTACGCCCGGGGCGGGGTCTAGTAGGCATGGCGGGCGGAGCGTCGCGGAGAGCTTTATCCTCTTATCCGACTCGGCCCTATATCCCAAGCCTTCTCCAAGTCCGTCTATCCAGAACCCACCGCACGCATCGCATTTGTCTGCACAGCTGCACTCCATTCTCTCTGGTAATACGCCAATATCCCACCCGCTGTGCACAGAGTGTACCGCCTCTCTGACCGCCGAGTTTCAGAAGAAAGCGGAAGAGCTGGGCAAAGAGCGGGACGCCTATATAGGCTTCGAACAGGGGATATTGCGGAACCGTGAAAAGCTAAAGAGCAAGGTGCCGAGCAAGGCTAAACCCGGTCTGGGCGGGCACGACGTCGAAGGCACAGATGCAGAATGGGCCGCCCTCACCCGGCGCAAGAAGGAGCTGCAAGACGAGGAGGAACAGCTAAAGGCCATTCTCGAAGGCAAGGAGAAGGAGCTCGATGTTGCCGAACACGAAGAAGAGCTCGCCAAGGCAGAAGAAGAAGAAGTCGAGAGGGAAGAGAACGACTTCCTCCTCTCCCACTCTGCCCTCTCGACCCATCTCTCTCATCTCACCTCATCCCTCAATACCGCCCAAACATCCCTCCTCCTCTCTCGTACCCTCCTAGCGCACCTGGAGTCGACCAACGTCTACAACGACGCGTTCCAGATAGGCCACGTGCCTCTATCACCGTCTTCGTCGTCGAATGTGACGGTGGGGACCATCAATGGGCTTCGTCTAGGCGGCAGGCCGGTGGTAGAGTGGGAAGAGATCAATGCGGCTTGGGGTCTCGTTGCTCTGTGCTTGCATAGGATCGCCGACAAGGTCGGGTGTGTTTTTGATACGTGAGTCGTCCCTCACCTCTAGGACTCAGCTCACTCGTAAGTAGATACAAAGTAGTGCCACTCGGATCATACTCTCGTATAGAAGAACTCCCCCCTTCCAAATCTTCCTATGAGCTCTATGCGTCCTCCGACATTACTCCCGCTCGTATTCTCCAGAACCGCCGATTCAACCACGCCATGATGGCTTTCCTGGACTGCCTCAGGCAGTTGATAGAGTTTGGCAAGAAGGAGGACAAGGCCTGGGCGATGGGTAATATCGAGTACGTATAAACGCCTTTCACGATTGCAAGCTAACAATAAACAGGATCCACAAGGACAAGATATCCAACCACTCTATCCGCCTACCTGGAATATCATCCATGCCCCTCGGCCTTCCGTCCATGTCCATCATGGGTCTTGGAGTAGGCGATACGTCTGCCAAAGACAAGAGCTCTGCTAGCGACGCCACAGCTGAAGAAGCCTGGACACGCGCGTGCCGCACAGTCTTGGGCGTACTGAAACGAATCCTGGTCATGGAGAGCGAAGCGGATAGAGGCGCCATTGGAGCGTAACCTTTGTATTTGTACATGCAATGGGTGTATGAGATAGTAATGCAAAAACCGTCCTTCCTATTGTTCCCCCTTCTCTACTTCTACCAGCTTTTCTCCCAATCCCTCTTCTTCAACCAGCTCCTTCCACTCGCCCAGCTTCATCTCACACTGTCTCAGATACTCCAACAACGTCGGTAGATTCTCTGGCGTCAACGCCACCACCAACTCTTCATCCCCTGTTTCGCCGCCGCCCGTCGTCGCGCTATTCATCGTCGACGTACTCGCCGCGTGCGGCCGTCCGCGCAAAGGCGACGTGGGACTCCGAGCCAAACCAGCTTCTTCCGCCCTCTTCTCTGGCCACCCCAATCCAAGACCCAAAGGCGTCGCCCGGCCCTTCCTCCTCGGCTTTAAAGTCTGATCGCCTTCGCCCTGGCTCTCACCCTTGACCCTCGCGCCCATCTCTGTTACAGATCTCACTTGGGGATGGGGAAGAGGATCACTGACGGATATCGAGCTGCGGGCTACTCCAGGTACGCGGCCAGTCAACGACCCCATCGTCTGCGCCTGAGCATGTGCCCTCTCTCTCTCCTTATCCTCCCTTTGCTGGGGACTTTTCCCCATCGTCTCGTTGATTTGCCCCAGGATCTGGACACTGCCCCTCTTTCTCAGCCCCGGGGAGCCGTTCGATGGGTTCGGAGTTGAGTTGGCAGCAAGCTCACTCCAGTTGCCCGAGCTTGTCCGGAAGATATTTCGCAGACTAGGTCTCTTTGGGTTTGGCTGGGAAGAAGCTTGGGAAGCAGAGGGCTGGGCTTGCCAGGAGATGCGAGAGGACGATTGCGATTGGGGTGTGCCTGATACGGAGCCGGTGGTGGGAAGAGGCGATGGGCCCTGAGGCCCAAAGACGGAGAAGGAACTTCGTGATGTCTCGTAAGGACCTCTCGTGGTCGTCTGCGTCGGAGGCGCTGTCTGGGGCATCCTAGACCACTGTTTTGTGGTGGGAGAGGACGGTGAAGAAGGCGGCGACATGCTTGACTTTCCCCGATAATCTATTTTATCCGAAGGGCTCGTCACCGGGGCATCACGCAGAGCTTTGGAATGCGACTTCATCCTCCTCGGCGTAGGTTTCTTCTCCCCGCCTCCATCCTTCTTCAAAAAGCGCAAAAACTCTTTCAGCCCCGCCAAGCCAGCTTTACTCATACGACGTTGGTCGAGATTGGCTGTAGCAGTCGGAGGCTCTACCACGAGACCTTGCGGTGAAGTAGTGTCGATACGAAGCGGAGTGTGCGTGCGAGGCATGGGAGGTGCAGCAACGGTAGCCGTCCCCGGCCCATGCACCGCATCGAATCTCTCGGCCAAAGAGCTCCCCGTCCTCATCGATATCGTGCTCGCCCCTCTGCTCATCCCGGGCCTTTCCAAGCTGCTGACACTACCGCTAGGCATCGGCGTTTTCAGCATGGTGCGAAGCACTTCGAGTTGTCGTTTGGAAAGATCTTGACGGCCAGTAGACGCGCGCCATTGTTCGGGAAGTGGCGAGGCTCGAGGAGGGCCATGGAAAGTGGACTGACTCGTTTCGGAAGGGTCGGGTAGCGAAATCTTCTTTTGGCTCGGGCCCACGATTTGAGAGTGGGTCTCGTAGTTCCATTGCACCGGCGAGTTATACGGGCTCTTGAATGATCCCCCAGAAGCCTGTCTGAGAGCATCTCCAGCAGCCCGGGCCTCCTCGCTCGCAAGAGTCACCCTTCGCTCACGTCTAGGGCTTTCGACTGAAGCTTGCGAACCGCTTTCTTTGCCCGTGGACCCCACTTCAATGAGGACGATGGCCATCTCCCACCATTGCGCAAACTCTGTCTCGAGGGCAGAAAACTTGTTGGCGTCTGTCTCGGACCCATCTTCAATGATGCGTTTCCTCAGACCAGCATGTGTAGCTGACAGCGTTTTGAGAGCTATCTCACGTCAGCCCAATCTTTGATCTCACGCCGACTCACTGTTGACGCCTCTCGCAAACAGTTTGACAGCACCAATCCCTTCCTTCAGCTCCTTTTGTTTCTCCAACACATTCCTGGGAATCACGAAATCATTCCAGCTCTGTCTTCTCTTTTGTTTATCCTCCATCCTCTTCTTGTCTGCTTCTGCCAACAACAATTTCTCCTGCGTCGCCGACTTTTCGACTTTATCCAGTCTTGCGAGGGTGGTCGATGACTGATTCGCGTTCGGGGCAGAAAAGGAGGGAAAGTCTTGATCCCATTGATCGGAGGGGCGGGGGCGGTGTTTGGGTTTGGATTTGGTATCGGGGGTTAGAGGGTGTTGTACGACCACTGGCGAATCGACGAGGTCATCATCTCGCCTGTCCTTGACTGGCGATCCCACAACCGTCTCCAGCACTGCCCTTTCATCCCCCGGCTGTCCAAATACCGACCCAGCAAATGCTACCCCTCCGCCAGAATTTGAGGACGAGTTGGACGACTGTGTGCCAAATTTCCAACCCCCAGACAAGCGACGCCCGTGTTTCTTTGAGATTGATCCCAGCCTCCTAACAGTCGACGCAAAGCCGCTCCCATTACCGCTCGCCCCGGTATGCCCGCTGCTGATACTTTCATTCTCTCCCCCACCTCCAGACGGTACAAGCGGCATAGGATTGACACGCGTCTTTGTGGGGGAGCCCAAGCTGGGCCAGGGGCTGGTAGATGATGACCGGGGAAGACCGGGAATGGATGCAGATGCGGGGGAACCATGCTCGTAAGACTCTCCATGCCCCTTCTTTCCCGGAGAAGTTTGCAGCGAAGCCAGGGGCACCTTTTTCCTTCGGCGGGGCGTCTTGTCCCCTTCCTCATCACTATCATCCGCATCGATTGACATTGTATTGAGAGAAGGTGGTTTACCCGAGAGTAAAGAAACAGATGAGGTGTGATGTGGAAGGGGTGGTCGGCCCAGAGGTAGTGGCATACGCGGTTTACTGTGATATGGTGAATGAGGAGAAGGGGACGGGAGGTGAAAGCCGCGCGAAAACGATTGTGGTTGTTCCGGTGTCGTCCTTCCGTCTGTCTTTTCCGGTATGGGTATACCAACGCTCACACTTGATCTACTACGTCCTCCATCGCCGCCCGGGTACGCATAAGGGTATGCCGATGGGGGTTCTTTTGATCCTCGACTGCTTTTCGACAGACTGCTCGATGAACGACGGAGCATTGAAGTAAAGACAGAAGTGACGCCTTGCGCGCGGTTGTGTGAATGGGAAGACGATGAAGTGGATGTGGAAGTGGCTGATGGGGAGCGAAGATTCGAGGGAAGAGGAGGCATGGGAGGTTGTGGAGAGTCGGGCTTGGCAAGAGTAGCCCCGACTGAGGATGATCTTCGCCGTCTATGTGAATGCACTCCATCTGAGACTCGTTAGCTCAGCGATTACCTCGTCGCCTTGTACTCACCTGCTTCTGTGGGTTCACCAGACAATCTATTCCAGAATCCTTTTCTCTGCTCCTTGCCCTCTCCCAAAAAGGATTTCTCCTTTGACGGCGAGGGACGCGCCCCTTGCTTCTTCGATTTGCTCTTCCGTCTCATCAAAGCACTAACGCCACTCTCGCCCCTTCCAGGTACAGGCGGTGGCGGCATCTGCTCTCCTGACGTACTCCTCGGCATATTGGCCGGTAATGGCGGTACCGGAAACTCTTCGACTGGCGAAACAATGTTGTGCGAAGACGAGATGGAAGTTGAAGATGCGCTCGAAGGAAGGTGGCTGGCAGACCTGTTGCCGGGCATTGAAATGAAAGAAGTCGAAGGGTGCCTCTTGACCAGCTTTCTGCGCACTGTGCCGCTCCCTGTCGTCGCTACAGAGCCAGCTCTGGAGCGGGGTTTTGGATCCTGTCCAATGGAGAGGGACGAGTTCGAGCGCGACGCGAGTAGAGGCTGATGTGGATTGCTCGAGCTGAGCAGCATTGGCGACGGCGAGGGTATTGATAGGTCTGCTGTGAGACCAGGCGAGATCCTTGACTGATCATACCCATGATTGGGGATGTTGAGGGGTGCAGGGACTTTTGAGATAGGTCTGGACTGAGACAGGCCATGCCGCGAAGGGGAGGACACCACGGGCTTGGGGGGCGACTCATCCCAGTCTTCATCCCAGTCATCACCCAGAGACTTGCGGGACTTTTCGTCCTTGGTGACCGAGATGGAGCTCTTCTTCTGCACGGGAAACTCAAAGTCGTCGTCCCAGACCTCTTCCTCGAGTTGTTTCGAGCGTCTCTTTGAGGGGGACACCGTGCTGCTCATTGTCGCGGGCGGGCTGGAGGCATGAGGGAGGGCGGCGGGGGGACGGCGGGAGCAGATGACAGCTGTTGACAGAACCCTTTACAACCCAAGAAGAGAGAACAAACGCGTCGCGCTCGGACCCTCGGAGCCACGTGCACAGCGGCCACCGCCGCCCCGGCCTGAAAAGTCTGTCGAGTGCATCACTTGCATGATCTATAGCACAAGAAACACCGCCAGGATGCCGATCCCTATGCCTGCTTCGATGCCCCTCCTGCCCCCCATATACCTCCCTGGACAGGAGCCCTTCCCGGCCGGCACCACCGACTGGGAGAAGGAGGAGATGCAGACGGCTCTGAAATACCAAAGATGGATGGGTATGGCTGCTGAGAGTTGTCCGTTCAAGGTCGGTATCGCTGGTACTGGTGGTGCGTATTCGAGTTATATCAAGTTTTAGATTCACTAATGTATTGCAGGTCTCGTACTGGGTGGCTTCTTTTCCCTCATGTCGGCCACATTTGCCTACGAAGACCCTCTTTCCCGGGCGTCTGAAAAGCACGCATCGACAAGAGCTCAGACGTGGTTTGTCATGAAGGACATGGGAAGGAGTATGTGGTCGAGCGGTAAAGGTTTCGCCAAGGTCGGTATGGTGTATTCAGGTGTAGAATGCTGTATTGAGGGTGTAAGTGCATTTGACGAGCCTGTAAACTGGGCTGATGATTCTCTAGTATCGAGCCAAGAATGACATTTACAATGGTGTCTCTGCTGGTTTCTTGACGGGTGCGATTCTCGCTCGTAATGCTGGCCCGAGTGCCATGTTGGGTGGTGGTGCCGCCTTTGCCGTATTCTCCGGCGCCATCGACTTGTGGTTACGAAGCGCCCCGGCCGAGTAAGTTTCTTACTTTTGAGCGCAGTGCAAAAGCTGATTGGACTGTAGGGAGATCTAGAAGAAGTATAGAATGCTTAATCCCAGCTCATTGTTGTATCTTAATAGACCATGCATCTATATACCTCAAAGTCACACCATCTAAGCAGTCTTCCGCTTCTTGTTCTCCGCCGCATCGAACAAATCATCAATATCATCCCTCTGCTCCTTTCTCTTCTTCTCCTTGACCTCACTCTTGACCTCCTCAGCAGGCTCTTTTTGGTGGGCAAAGTGGTGTTTGAGAGCCAGGATCTTTTCGCGCCATTCTTCGGGACGGCGGTTGAGAAGGACGATATCGGCTCGGCGGACAAAGTATTTGCCGTATTGCGAGCCACCGAGAGAGGTGAGGTGTGGTATGAGCGATCGAGCGATTTTTTCCTGTCCTCTTGTCAGCCGTGCACAAACAGGATACGAAAGACTCACCTTCATGAAACCATCCGCCCTGTCCCAAATAGTATCCACAACCCTACTTCCCAACTTGTCTTCCACAAGCTGCTTGTAATGGTCCATAAACACCATCATGAGCTTCTTCCTATACTTGATAGGCGCCGCGGGGTCAATAAAGACCTTGTCGAGGAGACGGGAGGCGATGGGGGATTTGGCATAGGTGATGAGAGCGTCCACGGGCAACGAAGTCAAACTTGACAATGTCAGCCTACACTCGGCAGTGTCATTGAGCCACTTACGAATCCAAAACAGAAGCGTTGGCCTGGCCCATCCCCACCATCGCCTGCAAAATCAAACACCCCTGTATATTGGGCGCCAGATCATCCTTCGGTCTCGCCGTCCTCCTATTCTGCCACGCCGACAACCTCGCAGCAGCGGCAGCAGCCTTCTCCGCGTCATCATCCGCCCCTTCCTCCGCCGGGGGGGCAGGCTCATCTGACGGTAAAGGCTCGCCGGTGATGAGAGCTTGGTACATGGGGAATGTCTTGAGGGTCATCAGACAGGGGACAAGGGTGTTTTGGGAGGTGGCGGGGAGTTCGAGGCAGGAGAATATCAGTTGGAGGACGGGTTTTTGGATTTCGGGGATGGTGAGAGAGCGGTCGACGAGAGCTTGGATGACGCTCGTTCTGGCGGCCTCTGTAGATATGTCAGCAAACTTCAAGATATAAAGATATGATACGTACTGATGAGACCTCGACCACCGCTGTTTCCCTTGACCTCCTTGATGAGTTCCTCAACCTGGTCCTTGCCCAACCTCGACACGCCCTTGGCAACGACAAAGTTGGCATATGGATGGCCCGCAAGCTTACCCAGCTTGCCCTCAAAGTACGTCTTCCACAACGCACCAAATACGGGTGCCGGGGAAAGCTGCAAAAGGCTCTCGAAGGGTCGAGTACCGGTTTGAGAAGCGAGGAGAGACAGGAGGAAAGGCTGGGCCTCGAATTCCGTCTTGCCGGAAGCAAGCTGCGAGACGAGTCCCTCAGTGAGAGTGTCAAACAACGAACCCTCCTTCTCCACCTCCTTGTCGTCCACCTCGAATTCGAGCACGAGCTGTACTGTCGGGCACCCAACCGCATTGGCCGCCATCGCCTTCCACTCTGCCGCCTCGAGATTCTCCATCAAAGCCACTCGAATCTCCTTTCTCGTCGATTTGAGCTCTTTGGGAAGCTTGCGCTTTGACTTGTCCTTGGGAACATCCTCACCCAGGATACTCTTGCCCTTGACATCCTGTCCCTTTCTCCACTTTCCAGACCTCTTACTCCTGATGATACCACTCTCGTCACCTTGGCCCTCGCCCAAAGCTGGCAGGGCCCGTTTGGGGGTGAGGACAAGCATGAGGAGACGGATAGGGGGGGAAGCGTATGGGGATGAGACTAGTTGAGGGATAGAGGGGAGGAGGAGGGAGACGATGGAGGTGATGAGGTCGGACATGGTGGGGAGTTGGCCGCTTGAAATGTCTTGCGAAGCTTGCTGGGGCGGCCAAACGTCGCGAGCCTATACATTGTCAGCATTAGTATCGAAACGTCATAGACTCACCTCTCGGTCGAGAGTGTCGGCAGCAAGGGTAATCCAAGTCTGCACAACGTGACTGGAGAATCTGTGTCTCAGCAGGACATCCCATTTGTCTCCAAACGAATCTCCAATAACTCTTCTTCCCCAGTCGTTGAGCGAGGGCAGCAGCCTCTCGAGAATGATGGACGTCTCGGGGTCGGTAGAGGCTGACAGCTCGTGGCCTCGCAGTTCGGAAAGCACAGAGGAGAGGAATATTTGTCGGTCTGCTAATTGTCAGCTCTTGTGCCACCCTGGAGTAAAGTAGACACACCTTCCCTCTCTTCTCCAGCAGAAGATACACCCTCCCAATCCTTAATCTGATCCTCGATACTCCTAAAGTACGCCTTCACATCCGGGTCCAAAATACCGAACGGAAATTCAGACTCTGTCCTAGGTCCCCTCGTCCAGTCGGCCTGGCCATCAATTCCATCGCCTTCAGCAAGCTCAGCGCCCTCGGCACCTTCTTCGCCTTCTTGTCGGGGCGCCTCGGGAGCAGGTGCCTGCCTGGGCATGGGACGTCCAGCGAGCATGGCAGCTCGAGCAGGGTGCAGTCCAGTCGAAGTCGAGGGTTCTGGGTCCGCCACATGCGTTGTGGGAGCGACCACGGGAGCAGGAGCCTCCTCCTCCTGGGCCTTTGTCTTTCTCTTTCCTCTCTTGCGGACTTGTTCTTTGGGCATGGTGGTGGTGGTTAGAATAAGAAAAGTTAAAGTTCAGTTGAAGATCTTTCGTTGATGATTTATTTTGATGGGTGCCTGGCTGAAATCTTAAGCGGGGGCCGGTTAAGAAAGATAGCTTGACGCGTCTTGTCACTTGTTGCTGCTGCTCGTTCTTGCAACAACAGCCATGCCGGACACTTTTCTCGGTGAGTCGCAGGGGGCGGGGCAGCGCTGACGGGGGCAGAGCTGACGGGGGCAGACCACAAGCCATTCCTCTCAGACGCATTCGACGTCCACGCCTACACAAACGCCATCCTCCAGGGCCGCCAGTACAGACCAGACGACGAGGAGAATGATGCTGCGACAGAGAAGGAGAAGGGCGACTCGGACGTTGGCTCGGAGCTTGCCAGGCTCAACTTTGGAATAGTGCGTCCACCATCTACACCTAGAGGCGAGCTGACACGATATGCAGGAGGATGTCACAAAACAGCTCAGACAAGAAGTTGGTATTCCATACCCTCTGCGGCTCTAGCTAACCCCCCTAGATCACCAGCTCTCACCACCTACTGCTAAACCATCTCACAACATCACTATCACTATCCTCACATCTGACACCTATACGAACATCCCTCACCTCTCTATCCACGTCCATCGACCGCCTCCACTCCAAAATACACACACCATATACCAACCTCTCCACCCTAGTCAAGCGTCAAGAAACACTGCGCCAAGTATCCGAAGTCTCCAGGCGTGCCAGTCGCTTTGTCATTCTCGCCCGGCGGCTAGAGCGCCAGCTGGATCAAATGAACAATGTCAAGGAGGAAGAGGGCAAAGAAGAGTCGGACGAGTCGGAGAAGAGGAGGGAGCTCGCCAAGGCTGCGTTGAGCTGCGCAGAGCTGGATGCGCTGTTGAAAGAGCCGGCGACGGAGGAAGATGATGGGGAGGTGCAGATATCGTTGATGGAGATTGATTTCGTGCGGGCGTATGCCCCGTTAGTGGATCAAGCGAGGGATACGATTATCGAAGAAATGGAGAGTATGGTCGTGGCAGGTCTGCAAGATCTTGTGAGTCCTTTTCTATATACGATGATCAGCCAGCTCAGATTGTACAGAACCAAAGCCTTCTCTCTTCGGCTCTCCAAACAGCCCACAACCTCCGCCTTCTCCCCGACCTCGTGTCCAACCTCCTGGCCGATCTAAACGATGCAGTCACCCTTCGCGTGACCAAAGCTTTCGACTCGGCTGCTATCGGTAAAGAAGTAGCTGCCAAGGAGGGTGCTGCTTCTCAGAGCGCTATCAAGTTTGCGCGTAGTCGTCCTGCTACCGAACCTACGTCTTCGACAGCACCTCAGTGGATCAACGTTCTATGGAAGAGGCTTGAGCGGGTGATCGAGGACGTTGCTAATTGCTGCGTCAAGGTGTACACTTTGGAAAAGATCCTGAAGGTCAAGAGGGATACTGTGACGCAGGTCGAGTTCTTGGATGAGGTTATGAAAGTGCGTACTATATATCAGTAGAAGACCTTTGCTGATTGTGGTGCAGAGATTGGAAGAAAAGCCCAGCTTTACATTCTGGACGACTCTTGCCAAGGCATTCGAGACACAATCCAAAGAGTCTTCTCGTTGTAAGTCTCGAGTCAAATGATAGACCAAATCTGATGGCTCGCAGCGACATGGATTCAGCTGGCTCTCAGCACAGGCTACCCCCGTCTACTCCGCCTCTTCCACGACTTTTTCGCCAAGATCGCCGTCCACACCGATACTGTCTACACCCGCGAACACCAATCCCCCGAAGCAGTCCTCGTTCTTCGCTCCGTCTCCACCTTTGAAACGCTCTACCTCTCGCGCTCGACGGAGCGCATGAACAATGCGGTGACTACGGGGGTCGGGCAGTACTTGTCGGGCAGGGGACATCCGCCAGGACCAGGGGAGGGAGTGAACATTGCGAGAACGATGACGAATGAGCTGGATTCGGCGAGGTTCGATCCGTTGTTGGTGCGGACTGTAGCCAGAAACGCTTCGAAAGTGTTGGATGGGTTCGTCAAGAAGATTGATGGGATGGTGAGCAAAGGCCTAACCATAAGGTTTCAGAGCTAATCAATGTCTAGTTGGTGAAAGACTTTACAGCAAACAGCATGATAGGGCCCAATGCTACTCCTTCCCAGCAGATCAATGCTCAGCTCGTGGGCTGTCTGTATCATTGCTGGCTCAATTTTGTCTATGTCAAGCAAGACTACATTGGCAAGGTCTGGGATATCCTCACCCCTTCAGTCAACGTAAGTCCGGTTAGCGCTTTTGTATCATGCTGACCTGAACAGTCTGTCGAAACCACCTTCAAACGCATCACCGACGCTCTCGACGCCGCTCTGCGCAAAGAAATCACCTCCATCCTCTCCCGCATCCACCGCGTCGACTTTGCCAAGCCCGTCGATCCCATGTCCATGGGCATGGACACTGGCGGCGGAAGCCCCTACATGCAAGACCTCGTCGACAAACTCTCCTTTGCCAAGCGCGAGATCCTCAGCCGTATGGGCTTGGGCGAGTACATGAAGGAGTGGGTGCTGGAATTGAGCAAGTTTATCATTAGGACATTCTTGTTGCATGGGAGTATCGCGAGGCCGATGGGAGAGAGCGGGGCGTTGAAATTGACGGGGGATATGACAGAGCTGGAGATGAGTGTTACCAATCTGTTGAATACAGGCAGGGTGCAGGGCTCGAGGGGCGGAGCAAGAGTTGAGAGCGTTGGAGAAGAGTATCAGGCTCTGCGGTCTTTCCGGTGCGTCCTTGAGCCGGTGTATGATTCCTGGCTGACGTCGAGTAGAACAATATTGTTTGCAGACCTAGATACGCTGGCCGACCCTGTCGAGACTGTCCACATCCCACCTCTCATCGTCCTCCACCACATCATCGTCCGCTCCCCTCTCCGCCTACCGCACGAAGTACACGGCTGGTCAGAAGCCGAATATATCCTCTGGGTAGGCAAGCACGATGATGAGAAGCCGCAGCTGGAGCTGGTGGAAAAGGCGGTGGACGCGCAGATAGAAAGCGGCGGACAGGATGGGGAGGAAGAGGGGGTGTACGTCAAGTTGATCCGGGAGGTGTTGGTGCATGCCAGACACGAGGACGAGACATAGAGTAAAGTAGATGGCCGCTGTCTGCTGCGAGATAAAGACGGATGACGTACTCGGCAGTTATTGCGTCCATGTCCTCTTTCTCTCTCCTTTCGCTGCACAAACACACTCCGGGATCAATTAATTTAGGATGCATCAACTTTTAGCACGGGCAGCAATCAATTTCCCGCCCAATTGATATCCAGGGCGACGAGTGAGAGAGACAGAGGCCGGATGATGTCATAATGGCGTAAGACTCACTAGATTCGTTCTCACGGGTTATATAAAGCAGCCATTCCATCTATCTTTCTTTCCCATGACACTCAACTCTCTCCCCACCACACCAACCAACACACATATCAATTACAATGTCTGACCAGCAAGCCACCGGACAGCAGGACGGTCTCGGTATGTCTCTCTCCTCCTCTACGCCCACTTGTCGCTGACATTCCCACAGACAAGGGTGTTGATGCCGCTCTCAAGAAGGCCGGCCACGGCCAGAACGCCTCCACCACCGAGAAGATCTCTGACGGTGTCCGATCTGTCTTCAAAAAGGCTACCGGCAAGGGTAAGTGCTTGTCTACGACATGAGATCCGTTCACAAACTGACTCTTTTCTTTAGACGTCCCCATCCAGGACAAGCAATAAGATGCCCTCGGGTTATCAAGAGGCGAATAGGTCAGAAGCATAGTCGTAGACGCGATGAATAATATTCAAACAAACATCTCTTCACGTGTCACATGATGCCATCCATTCACGTGTCGTGTACTGCCCCCTTTCCGCTGGCTGTGCTGGCTTATCTGTGACTTGTTGACATGTTATAGGACTGGCCAATAGGGGCGTAAGTGCCTTTGGCAGTGTGCACCTAGACTGATGATTGTGCTTGTACCTCATCACAATGTTTGCATGTTGACAAGTCAATGTCATCTACTAGTAGTGGGTGCGGTAATCCTGGGAAGGCGATCAGAGTTCCAAAGGTGATTGACAGCGGGACGGTAAGGACCATTGGGTCAAGATGCTGATACCGACACGAGCTTCTAGGCTTCATGTCCGGAGCGATGAGCTGCGGCTTGACTAATTCTTGCATTGATACAATGATGCTAATGATGGCACTTCTCCTTTCCACCCTCCTGCTGAACATACCGCCGTCCATCCCCGTCCTCTTATCCCACAGGCCCGACCTTTGGCTGTTCCACCCTCTTGGGCATCTTGACCTTGCTCGCCGATCCAAGCAACTGGTCAATCTCACCCTTGCTAAAGTAATGCGGCGCGACTACAATGTCATGTCAGCTTTGTTCCTAGTTCACAAGAAGAAAAAGACTCACGTTCAGACAGCCAGCTTCCTTCAATAGGCATACACTGACGCATATACTCTTTCGAAGTAAGGACGAGCTCATAGTACAAGATGAACCTCGGCGGGGGCTGCATGCCGACCAGACATGAGGATGGATGAACGTAAACAGAGTGGTTGTTTTTGGTGGTCCTGTAACCGCCTCCACGGTCGATACGAGCCTGCAACAAATCAGCACTGCGCATCCCAATAAGAACACTACCCACAGTGTTGTAGAAGTACCCGGCGGTGATGGCCTTTTGCACCGGCACAACATCATTCGGCGTACTCTCAATGACAACCTCCACCCTATCACAAAGCTGCGCCAATTGATCCCTGATATCTCTCACCCTACTCAAACTCTTGAACTGGATAAAGTTCTCATAGCACCATTGCTGGGAGTAGTTGCTTTCAGCCCACTGTTCGAATATGTTGAGCAGGGTAAAGTGGTCGCCGCCGGGTTTGATAAAGTTCTTGTGGGCCTTGTCGGCATGGACACGCTTGTCCTTGGGACGGAAGAGGAGGGAAGCGGATTCTTGGAGCATAGAGATGATTGTCAAGACCTATCATCTTGTCAGCGGGCACCGCGAAACGAAAGCGAAGAAACGTACCTCTTGAGTACAGTGGAACGTCTCACTGTTGATAATAGCCTTGGACAACATCGGGTCCACCGGGAACTCTGCCATCCTCCTCCCCAACCGCGTCAACTCTCCCTTGTGGTTCAACGCCCCCAGCGCGTATAGCAGCTCGAACGATCTGATGATTGTCTCCGCCGGCGGCTTGTCCAAGAAGTCGAAATTCAGGACATCATTGATACCCAGCGACTTGAGCATCAAGACAACCATGGACAGATTGGTACGTTGAATTTCAGGGATGGTATCCTCCAAAAGCTCATTCTTGAATGCCCATTTGGTGTAGAGACGGAAAGCTTTGCCGGGACCGACACGACCTGCTCGGCCGGCACGTTGTTGGGCAGAAGCACGCGAGATGGGCTCGACAACGAGGGAGGACATGCCGGTCTTGGGGTTGTAGTTGTTTTGCTTGACAAACCCGGGATCGATCACATAGACCACACCGTCGATTGTGATTGACGTTTCGGCAATATTGGTAGCCAACACAACCTACAAGACGTCAGCTCTATTCCACCTCACAAGCGTAAAAGACTCACCTTTCTCGCACCCTCCGGTGTCGGTTCGAATATCTTGCTCTGCATCTCACTCGGCAGATTCGCATAAATCGGCGCCACGATCAATTCTGGCACCTTGTCCCCCAACGCATACATTGTCTCTTTCAGACTCTCCTCTGCCGCTTCAATCTCATCCTGACCTGTTAGGAATAGCAGGATATCGCCCTTGGGCTGGGTAGTGTGGATTTGGAGAATGGTGGTGACAGCGGCGTGCATGTAATTCGCTTCGGGTTGTTGGGTGTAGAACATGTCGACGGGGAAACGACGGCCGGGGACGTCAAAGATGGGAGCTTGGTCGAAAAAGTCGGCAAACTTTTGGGCGTTGAGGGTGGCACTCGAGATCAGTAGACGGAGGTCTGGACGGAAACGCGCAATATCCTGATATCGTCAGCATGACACTTACTTTTTGTAGTATTAGTATAAAACTCACCTTGACAAGACCAAACAATATATCCGTACTCAGGGTCCTCTCGTGCGCTTCGTCAATGACCAACGCCGAGTAACCAGACAGCTCTGGGTCCGTCAAGAACTCTCGTAGCAGCATACCGTCCGTCATATACTTTAAAGCTGTCTTATCACTCGTCATGTCTTCGAATCGGATCGAGTAGCCCACTTCCTGCCCTAGCCTCACACCCATCTCCTCTGCCACACGCGCCGCAACACTCATAGCCGCGACACGACGCGGCTGGGTGCAGCCCACCTTCATACCGTTCTTGCAGTAGCCTGCTTCGTAGAGATACTGCGGCAGTTGGGTGGTCTTGCCTGAACCGGTTTCGGCGACGACGATGAGGACTTGGTGCTCGGCGATGGCTTCAAGAAGATCATCTCGGAATTCAAAGATGGGTAGTGAATCTCGAGTCTCTTGCATCGATTTTGCTGCGATCTGTCAGCTTAATCCTCTTGCAGCAATGCAGTCACTCACCCTGGTTCTGCAGCTGATCGACCTGGTCCAGCAACGCCTGCGCCTCTTTTGTCAACGTCCCATCGAGCTTGTCCTCCTCCAAGAACTTGATCTTTTGGGCTTCATCAAACACATAGTCGTAGTTTTCCACCAGCACCTCCTTGTCGAGAGCGCCGGTGATGAGATTGGTCCTGTCTTGCTGGGACGCCTCCCACTGATCAACGTCGGTGACAAACTGTCCTTCGACCAGTTTTCCTTCGTCATACCGCTTGTACAACGCATTCTTCTTCTTTTTCTGGTCTATCCGGCCTTGCTCCGTGATATAGTCGTCGGGAAGCATATAGCCATCTGTCCCGTCATCAATCTTCTTCCTCTCCTCCATAAGCCTGATGAGCTCCTTCTTGCGCTCCAGCTCTGCCTCCTCCTTCCTCGACATCTTTTGTCCTCTAAAGAGGATCTTTTCATCCTCCAGTTCCAATTTCAGCAGATCGAGCTGCTGGAGCTCTCGTTTTGAGAGATATTCTTGACGTGAACGATTTCGTAGATCGGCAATCGCAGCATTTCTCTGTTCTGGGTCATCCATAATGTCCCGCCGTCTCGCCGCTTCTATCCCCCCAACCGACTTTGACGTCCGGTCGGTGACGAGCGACTTTGTACGATCCTGGTCCTTGTCCTTCATTCTTTGAGCAAAGGCGTCTCGTTCCCGTAGATCTTCTTCGCGTTCACGTTCCAGACGCTCTTCTTCTGTTTCTTCGGGAGCGCGTGAAGGCGATCTGGAGGGAGATCGAGTGCGGGCACGTTTGGGTTCTTGTTCCTCCTCGTCCGAATCCCAAGCACCTTCCGTCTCCCTCTTGCGCACATGTTTCGCCTTGGTCACCCCAACCGTCTCGCCCCCGTCCTTTTCCTTCTTCTTCTTCTTCTTCTCCTTCTTGCTAGATGACCCAGCTTGATCGTCCGTCAGAAAGCTGTATTTATGATTCGAGGCGGAAGCCTTGTCGGCCTTCGGAGCTTTGGCCTTTGTCTTGCGGGGCACTAAGGAGTGGACTTGGGCAGCGAACGCCTGTGTTTCGGGGTTGGACTCCATGCCGGTAGATAGTAGGGAGTTGTACAAGTCTCCTGGTGTCTTGGAAGAAACGGCTATAGAAGTATTAGCTTATAATGACAAACGTAGAGGAAAGACGTACCGAGGGACTGTACAAAGTCGACTGTGGCACTGTCCGAGGACCCGAGAATCTGAGGATTGTCAGCGATACCCAGTATATACTATGGGCGACTTACCCTGACGACATTGTCGCTGATGAAGTTTGTGAGGTCCATGGCGCGTAGACAGACTTGAGCAAGAGTTGATACAAGTCAGAGGGTATAGAGGGCGGCGATGTCCGTGACGTGGCATTATTCTCCTCCTTCATCTCCTCTTTCTTTCCAACTCTGACCATATAACCCATACCCGTCGCCATGTTTCTCTGTGCCAGTACGTCCACCCCCTCCCCCATAGCCCGCTCACCCCCTGCAGTCTCGGGAGAAGCCCCCCAGAACCCAGTCGTGTCTCGCACAACCGGCGCTGTCTATGAAAAAGCCCTCATCGAGAGATATATCGGTAAGTACTCTTCATCTTCACAAGAACCATCTAACACTCTTCTAGATGAGAACGGCACCGACCCCCTCTCTGGTGAACCTCTGACAAGAGAAGACATCATCGATGTCAAGGCTAGTACGTGAAAACGCGTCTTCACTCGATCCTCCAACTGACCTCCCTCAAGAGCCATCCACCATCCCTCCCCGCCATGCCACCGACACATCCATCCCCTCTCTTCTCACTAAGCTCCAATCAGAGTACGACTCTATCATGCTCGAGTCTTTGGAGATCAAAAAGGCTTTCCAGAGCTCGAGACAGGAGTTGGCGAACGCTCTCTATCGGGAGGATGCTGCTACGAGGGTGATTGCGAGGTTGATCAAGGAGAGGGACACCGCCAGACAGTGCGTATCAGTGTGCTCAAGGTAGTCAAAAGCTAATTCCAAATAGAGCTTTGACTTCTATCCAGAGCGTCACCGGCTTCCAGGCTCCCGCTCAAGAGGAGCAGCCTGCTGAGGATGTCGAGATGGAGCAGGAAGGCGCCCTTCCCGCCGACGTCGAGACCAAGGTTATGGATACAAACAAGGCGTACGTCTACCTGCTACCCGCAAGGAGTTTGCTAATCATCGTACAGCCTTTCAAGCCAACGTAAGAAGAGAAAGCCCGCTCCTGGCTACAAGAAGGCCGACTCTGTCAAGACCTACACCCAGATCAACCACGTCCCCTCTCTCCACGCTACCAAGCCTGCCGGTATCTCTGCTCTCGACCTCGCTGCCGACGGCAACGTCGTCGCTACCGGCGGTCCCGACAAGACTGTCCAGATCTTCGACTTGGAGGCGAGCAAGGTGCTCGGTACTCTCAAGGGCCACACCAAGCCTGTCACACACGTCGCTTTCAGGGAGAGGGAGGGTGAGCCGAAGCTTGTTGTCAGTGGGTCTGCCGACAAGACTGTGCGTCTCTGGGGTGAGGATGACGGCAAGTGGGCCGCCAAGGGCAGCATCACCGGCCACAAGGGTGATATCACCGGCCTCGCCATCCACCCCTCTGGCTCTTACGCCGCTGCCGCTTCGTCCGACTCTACCTGGAGCTTGTATGACCTCGACACCGCCAAGGAGATCAGCAAGTACGCTGCTATCCCCGGCATCGATGGCTCTTTTGCCTACAACTCCTTCGCTGTTCACCCCGATGGTATCTTGCACGGTGGTGGTACCAAAGAAGGTACTGTCCGTGTCTGGGACGCCCGTCAATCGTCTTCCCTCGCCGCCACCCTCTCCTCCCACACTTCCCCTCTCACCTCTCTCTCATTCTCTGAAAACGGCTATTACCTCGCCACCTCTTCTTCCACTTCCCCTACCGTCAAGATCTTTGATCTCCGTAAACTCGACGTCCTCTCCGAATGGACTTTGCCAGAGGAGAACGTTGTCAAGGAGGTCAGATTTGACCCCTCGGCGCAGTTCTTGTCGGTGGTCGGTACGGATGCGAGAGTGTATGCCAACAAGACTTGGGAAGAGTTGCTCAAATTTGAGGAGAATGCGGGCGAGCTTGTGGGTGCGAGATTCGGCAAGCTCGGCAGCGAGATTGTGTTGGCGGGTATGGACAGGACGTTGAGGGTTTTGGGAAGTGCGTAGAAAAAGTACATGTCATGAATGTTTCCTATGCAAGATTATCGATCGCAAAGATGCTCTAGTCATACATTTCTTGTATTTACCCCGTTTCATGATTTCACCCGTCCAAAGGCAGCCCACAAATCTCACAGTCACTACCCCCGTGTTCGTTGACGAATGTACAATGCGGGCATATCCTCTCCCTGGTCCCCCCCGCATTGGCATCCCCTCCTGCAGAACCCGACGCTCCAGCACCAGAAGGCGAATCGATACCGAGGTTGTTGAATGACGACGTAGGAGGCGGCGCACTACGTACGTTGGCAGCGGCGTCGCTCTCAACGATAGTGAGAAGCGTCTGCCAGCCGGAGGAGGCAAAGAGCTCCTCGAGGGCAGTCTTGTCGTTGGGGTGAGCGTGGGCAGTAGCAGCGCGGCACAGGATCTGCTGCTCTTTCTGCTCATACTATTAGCAGTGTTCTCACCTCATGGGTCGGCACTTACAAGAGAAAAGAGTCCCTGCATACAAAGGAATGCCACCAGATGCCAATCGCTCAGCCACTTGGCCACATCCACCTTGATCCTCGCCGGCCAAGTACCGGTATCACCAATCTCGGCGTCGCTCGACTGCAAGATGGCAGCAAGCTGAGAGACGACAACAGTCATGGACTGGTCATGAAGACCGGGTCTATTCTCGGTGGGGAACGAGTTGCTCAAGAAGAGCGGGTTGGGGGAGACGGGGAACCCGTGGGTCAACTACCTTCTCATTAGCTCGTCCTACGATACGAATAACAACTTACGTTGACGTAGAGATACTCTACAGGGAAAGTCGGTCTCGCAGGGTTCTTCACCTGGATCCCATACTCATTCTTGTAACTATAGAACACTTCTGGCACATACTCGCCCTCTCCTGGTTTCCTCACCCTGACCACCCCAGGGTCGACACTAGCTTCCACGATGCCAGCCTTCACCATCGCTTCGGCGTGCTCGCTAGCCTGCCAGGCGAGGATATCGATACCACCTTCCTTGTCACCGGTAAGGCAACAAGTAACAAAGCGTGAGGAGAAATGACCGGTGGGAGATTGACGGGTAGGGAGAGGGTGGGAGATTTGGTATGCAGCAGACATGAGGAGCTCGAGAGAGGAAGCAGTGTAGGATTGGGCGTGGCGTTTGTAGACTGTCTTGGTGATATCCTCGGGGTCGCTACCATTCGTCAGTAAGGGGCAAAGAAAGTATAGACAAACTCACGGAGTCAGATCAGTGTAAACCATACCAACCACCTCCAGCCCCTTCTCACACCACTTTGCAACCTCTGCCACCCTCGCCTCGTCCTCCCACGGCGTCTCCACCGTCAAACCATCCACCTCTCCCTCCTGTTTCGGCTCCCAGACCGCTTCGACGACGACCTTGATACCCATGGGCACCTTTTCATACTTGTCTTCTCTGCCAAGGAGGAACGCAAGACGCTGAGTACCTGTACGTCTCCAGGCAGACAAAAGGTCATCAATCAGAGCGGGGGATGAAAACTCGACATGGTCGACCATCCTAAACGGCTGCGACGCGAGCGTGACAGCAGATGGCTGACACGTCGAACAGATACCGTCCGGGTAAGGTGCGTGGGATCCAGAAGGACAAGGCGTGATGACGGATAAGGAGGTAGGGGTAAGAGGGGGGAGGTTGTTTGCGGAAGAGGAAGAGGCAGGGCGGGAAGAGAGAAGTTTGCGGAGGTAGGAGTGGTAGGAGAGGTGCTTGATCTGTTGCTCCGTCTGGTACTTGCTGTCATACGGCTACAACATTGTGAGCAGTGTCCTGTAACTATCCGAATACGCACCTCGAGAGGCATGCAGTAGTCACACATTCCCTTCTCCCCATGCCGACAAAAGTCTGGATCCCTCTTCCTCTCAATCTTTCCATTCTGCGTCTCCCAGTACTTGTCCACAGGATGCTCTACAACGTGGCTCAAATCCTTGAGCGTAATGATGTTGGAAAGTGGCGCATCGGTATGGGTGTGCGGGTGGGATGGGTCCGGCTGGGCAGGATGGGAGGCGGAACTCGTGGCTTGGGTCGTAGGATGCGAGTCGAGGTCGGCGCCGCGAGGTTTGTACGACATGAATAAAAGGTCTCCGTGGCTGCGTCTGTCAGATTAATTCCACTGGATCTTGAATGGCTTACGAGAATCCCATGTCTCCCACTGATCTCCCCTGAAGAGCAGCGAACGGAACACTCTCTCCGCCTGCCCCCGGTTGATTGCTCAATTTGGCAGTGGCCAAGTCGGGTTGGGGATCCGACTTGGGGATGGTATCCAGCATGAGCTGGGCGAACTCTTCTCCAGGAGTCTCATTGGTGACTGTGATTCGGGCAGTCCCGGCCGGGGATCTGATACGGAGGAGCTGACGTTACTGTGAGCGAGGGCAGGAAAGGATCGCGGAATATTGACTTACCATGGCGGGTGGGCCTCTCAATCCGAGAGTTGTTCAGAACGGATACGCTGTTGATGAGGGTAGACCTGAGGGTAGTTTCCGCGATTTCGTTGCGTTAAAAGAAGCAAGATGTAGAGACTGAAGATGCAATTCCAGTTGAACTTGAGAGTCACAGACGTCAGCGCGGAAGAAGGCACGCTACACGTGACCCAGACGACTTGTCACCGTCTATGATATTCTTTCCATGCATGCTGGGCAATCAATTGCGCCGCTGACATGCTTCGAAGCCATGCAAAATGACTGTATCAATGTGCATCACTGGAAAGAGTGAAGAGCCGGAACGAAGCAGCTACACCAACTCCCGCGCAATCACTGACGTCTCCGCTAGCTGTCAGCCTGTCACACCTCGCCGACAAAGTAAGACCAGCTCATTCGCACTCATGAATCGGCAAGTCGAATGATATATACATTCTCTGACTTGCAGTGTCGTTGCATTCCCAGATTGATGACTGGCTGAAGCTGCTCGGCCGCCGAGCTGAACGCCGACGGGTGGCGATGGGCCAAAAATGTCGATGCTTGCAATATTCACAACTTTTTCTGTTTGACAGGTATATCTCTTCAAAACCAACGCTTCAGTGTCAACACGATGGCCTCTGAGGAATGTGATGCGCTCCAGAATGACGAACTCACCGTCCTTGAGGTATGTCCATCACCCCTCGACCCGTCGCTGACAAAGAGTAGTCCATCTATCCTACCCTTCTAACGACCCACCCCAATCCCCAAAGCAAGCCAGGTCGTCTTCTGACTCTCACCCTTCCTATAACACTCCCAGCATCCACACAGACACATCTCTCATCAACCTTCAAACCCCGGCAGAGCCATTCAGAGACGCCCACAGGTACTTTGACTCTCGACCACCTTCCTCCTCTAATACTTCGAGTTTTGCTACCCCCGATCTATCCTCTGTCTTCTCCGCCGCATTCAATATCCCTTCGTGCCCCTCTACCTCAGTCTGAATCGGTAGAGAATAAAGGGAATTGGTTGCCGAAGAGCGTACTAAAGTCGTTCGACAGTATGCTCGGACAAATGTGGCGGGAGGAAAAGGAAGCTATGGGAGAGGGTCAGGGAGTGATATGGAAGTGGATGGAGTGGATCGTCAACGGCGATTGTCTAGCTGAATCTGGAAAGATCGTAGACGGTGTGCTCAAGTACGTCTTGCATGCCCAGGAGGATTCCGGCTGACTCGCCTTAGTCTTGTTGTACCTCCAACTACAAATTCCTCGGCATTCCTTGCGTCACTCAAATCCTACGATGCTACACAGAAACACTCTGAGTTCGAAAGAACGGCCTTTTCCTGCTCGATTTGCTGGGAGAATAGAAAGGGTAACAAATGCGTTCAACTAGAATGCGGGTGTATCTTGTATGTGCTGTGCCCCTCCCGCGTCTTCCATACTGACCCTATCTCAGTTGCACACAATGTCTGAGCGATTGCTGGACGTTGGCCATCACAGAAGGCACCCTTGAATCCGTCGCATGCCCAAGTCCACTATGCGTCAAGCAACGCGCCTTGCGTGACAAGATGGACTCTTCCTCCGATGTCCCTTCAGACCTTCTTGAGAGTGTCGTTGGGCCGGAACTGAAAGAGAGATGGGCGAATTTGAAGGAAAGGAGAATGGCAGAAATCGATCCTTCGTATACCGTCTGTCCAAGACCGACTTGTCAGGCCGCCGTACCCCCTCCCGCCATGCCCGATACACCCACCTCAGCCGCCCCTTCCTCCTCCAAAGTCATCCGCCTAGCAGACATCTCATCCAACCCTGCTCCCTCCGATCCCGCCCCACCAGAAGCACCGATAGCTAAAGAAGACCGCTGGGCAGCATACCGATCCTGCCCCAAATGCCACTTTTCATTCTGCCTCTACTGTGCTTCCACCTGGCACGGCCCACATACCGCATGTTCCTTCCCCCAAGTATCCGGGATAGTGAAAGAGTACCTCAGTCATCCCGAGGGGAGTATGGAGAGGGCGAGGATCGAGAAACAGAAGGGCAAGGCGAATATCGATAGGCTGGTCAGGCAGTGGCAGGAAGATGAGATGAATAGGCAGTGGCTTGAAGGCCGAACGAGAGCGTGTGCTGGGTGTGGTGTGCGTGTGGAAAAGAGGTGAGTATCCGTCACCTTGATATGAGCAATAGCTGATGAAGAGCAGCCACGGCTGTAACCACATGACATGCGGTCGTTGTAACGCCCACTTCTGCTACCGCTGTGGCGACTCGATCTCTCCTTTGGACCCATATCAGCACTTCAACACCCCCGGCAGACCATGTTTCCAGAAACTGTTCGAAGTGGATAGTCTGGGGGAACCCATCAATGTTGTATTGCCTGAACCAGAAGTAGAAGGGACGGGAGATGATTTCGACGAGATGGACCAGTGGGATATGAGGTTGTTGGTAGAGTGGTAGTGAGGGACAAGATATCTGTAGCAATATGCATTGTACGCCATGTCTTGAGTAAACCGGTATGTCTTATGGTGGAGAGGGGGCGCTTGCCCCGCTTTCTGAGACCGTGGCGCTGGGCGTGACGACGGCCCAACGACCAGGTCGGCTGTGTTTGTAAGCCAGCTATCTATGCACTTTCGTTTCCTTCTTGCTCTTCCTCCTCTTCCTCCTCTTCAGCCTCTTCAGCCTCTTCGGCCTCTTGAGGAGGTGCAGGCTCTTCCCCGAACCCTTCCGGCCTTTACCGACACAAGTCAGTTTTGACACCATGACCAAATGAGCAGGGAACACACCAAGCACCGGCTTTCTTCCATTCTTTGATATCTGATCTATCCATGATGTGAACAATCTCGCCTACAAGCCTTGAGGTTTTCTCATCAGGCTGTATAGGGAAGAGATTGATGATTGCAAAGTCGCCTTTTCACCCATGAGCGCCCCTTCTCCACCATTGCAAAGACTAGAGGACATACCTCGCATAACGATCAGCCCCTTGTTTCTTCTCAACAGCTTTGAGACTTCTACCAATCTCTCTTCTCCAGCCGTGTCGAAAGAGAGAAAGTTGTTGGAACCCTGAGGAGCGCCGAGGTGGACGAGGTAATGAGAGGGAGGGAGGGGAGGGGAGAAGGATGTCTCTGGGGCTTGGTTCTTGCGACCCATGTTTGTGGAGTTCGTAGTTCGGTTTGGCGAATAGTGCGTATTGATACGAGGTGATGGAGAATAGTGCGCAGATCTCCAATGCGGTGGTTGTTGACAAAAATTGATTCCACCGTCGGCCTTGAAAACAACGAAATCGCGTCTCTCAATTCTGTTTCCTTCGTCCGTCCACAACCAGTCCACAACAGCTATTCTTGAAGGTCATACTGCCGCCCCTCTCTCAATAGCCATGACTCGGCTCCCATATCGACTGACCATACAATGCCCACCTGCGAGGAGCCGCAGCATCACTCCGCCGAATCAGCCCGTCCTACATCCCTCACCCCGAGGAGTGCCAGGGCTTTCCATATCCCCAACTTTCAACCAAGCTCAAAACTCTCGACAATGTTCTGACAGACTATACCTCCTACTCAGTCATCTTTTGTAGTTCAGGGAACGATGAAGTGGTGGTCGACTCGGTGCGAAGAGCTGCTTCCAACTGAAAGATGCCAGCTTACGGTCAAAATCCACGAACCACAGCCGCCCAGCTTCACCCTTGCAACGTGAGTCAACAAAGAGATGATCATGTATTAGATGCGTGCATAAGGTGCGTTCTTGGAGCTATGACATGATTACGAGATTCCCGTGTATATAATCCTTCAGCATGTATTTGCGTGTATGAAAACGCTTTCTACCTACGTGTATAAATGCTTTTCAAAACTGTACTGTGCGTGTATGTGAGACTGTCTATATACACTCTTTTGCTTGATGTTCGTGAATCTAAAATGATGGTAATGGGCGCCCGGCGCGTGTATATCCGATCTTTGACGGCGTGAAATGCTCGGGGCGGCGTAAGGGGACTGTTGTACAACACACATTGTCGTGTTTGCTGTCTCTCAGAGATATAGGGGCGGGAAGACTCTCAGAGACGCTTTATTTACAAACAAGGCGGCTCGTCTTACAGAGACCCAGCGGCACCCGTACTCGCCGAACCCTCCGACCCCTCGGAAGAAGACAGCGAAGCGGTCTTATTCCAAAGCATCTTTGCCTTTCCCCCAAAGCTGGAAGAAGGGCTCACAGGCTCAGCATCGCCTATGAGGGTGTGGGACGATAGGGCCGAATTGAGGATGGGACGGTGGTCCGCAGAACCGTCTTTGGGGTAGTGCGAAGCTGCGTCGGGGAGGAGGGTGGGAAGAATGGAGTGGCGTTGTTGGATACGCGCCCCTATGGCGTATGTGACATATGAGCCCCAGCTATGATCTTTATCAGTTGTGCTCTAAAAAGAAGGAGAGAAAGTAGGCTTACGCTTGAGTAAGGAGCAGCCCGACAGCGACGATAAACACGATACACGTCCAAGCTACGTCGATCGGTCGATAGTCGTAGTTTTGGTGCAGAGCCCAGTAAACGATCAAGCCTATCGCACTGGCAGACTAGGATTTGTCAGTTAAGAGTACGGGGAGCAGGAGGGGATGGCATACTTTGAGAATGAATGTCTGCACAGCAGCAAACTTCAACAACCTCGCCACCAACGTCCTACTCCATCCCAGTCGGTCTACTAGGCGTCAGCAGTCGAACTCAATCCCACACATCTGCTAGACTTACATCCCATGAGACCCAGGAAGGTGGGTTGCTCGGTGGTAGCTTGGAACAACCAGATGATGGCGGATACCATGTACGACATGGACATTGTATATTCAAACACGCTGACTGTAAAGGATATAGCGATGATTGTCAGGAAGTGGTGTGCAATTCTATACTTCTCGTCAGCTTGTCTTCTCTCTTTTCAAACAAGAGGGGGGCGTACAGAGGGAGGCGCATCTTGAGTCGGTAGACGAGCTCGAAAATGTACAACGCCGAGACGAGGACACCGCCCGTGCGGAGGCATTGGACTTCCCAGAGTCGGTAGTGTTTGCCGAGCGCGGGGGAGGCGGCGAGCTGGAGGGCAAGAGCGACGGTGGTGAAAATGATGTTCATTGCGTCTATACAAGTGTTAGATGGCTGGGGAGGGGAAGAGGAAGGGACGTACACATGACTACGTTCTTTTGGTGTTCGAGCTCCAGGCCGCGGAACTTTGTCGTAAAGCGCATGAAATACCTGGGAACTGTCAGCCAAATGCTACCTTGTGGATGGAAGCGACTTACTGCCAGAGCCCATGCGAGAAAATGTAATAGATGAGAAAGTAGCCTGCACTCATTTAGCTTGATCCACCACTGTAAACGGAATACTCACCCAGCAAAGCGGTGGCATACAGAGTCGGATCCCAAGAGTGCATATCGCCGGTGCTGAGTGCAATCTCGAGCAGCGGGTCGAGCGGGTATCCACTAGCAGCTTGGATGTGCCCCACCTCCTTCTCGTTCTCGGGTGTCACTTGTTTCGGTGCAAGGAAGCCAGCGGGGAAATGGGACGCGAGTACGACCTGCTCATAGTCTCTGCTCTTTCCATTAGCCCACATCTATACAGCGATAAGGGAGACTTGCCTGTCGATGCACATATCACCCCCACTCGGCCCGATATGGGGACAATGCGTAGTCGGCCTGAGCGACAACATCGGCACATGCAAATGCCTGCACACGAGGTTGTCTTCGCCCATGCGATACCACTCTCCCGTCTTTTTCGTATTCAAAAAGTCCATGCAAGAGTCATAGTCGTCGTATTGCTGGTCGTCGCCGGTACAGTAGGTGGCGGCGGTGTTGCAGATCTTGCGGGAGAGGTACTCGCGGAGGACGAGGGAGGTGTTTGTCACGGGGAGAGATAAGCGCTGGGCCATGTGGGGGAGGAGCTCGCTAGGAATGGAGTCAGCTTGAATCTGTGTGTTGCAGGGTGGACGTACGGAATGATGACATCGGTGGCCTGGTCTCGTCAGCGTACAAACAAGAGACGATGAAAGGACGTACCCAAGCCCATCGACGGAAGGAAGCATCGTATTGCTGAATCTCGCCCTTTTCATTGACCCTGATGAATGCGTCGATCTTGCAACAAGCATGTCAGCAGCCGCGCCACGTGGGGTGATGGACGACATACTTGGATGGGGTACGTCTTGTTCAAGACGGGGTAGTGGACTGCAGCAGAATGAGTCAAGCCTGCCAGGGATGCGTGGGACGTACACATAAACTTGATGGATGCAGCGATAAACTCGTGCTGGACGAGCAGAGAAGTGACCTGGGAACAACAGTCAAGGGGAAAGTCCGAAAGCTTGTTGGGCCGAGGCTTACGTTATACGATATCGGGATGCCGAAGGGGGACGGGTCGTCGGACTCTTCAGCGTTATTCACAAAGAGACCAAAGAGCTGGCGAGAGGTCAGCTGGGTATGTATCTGGGGCGAGTCGGAGACTGACATATTCGCTGGCAAACGTCAGCAATGCACAGCACGGAGACAGGGCGACTCACGTGGAAAGCTCGCGTCCGTCGAAACTAAGCATGATGGACCGGATCAGATGGGATCATCGCCGAGATTGGCACTTACTTTGTTGATACTGTTCATTTGTTAGCAATTTAACTACGGGCAGGGGGATGTACTCACGATCAGCTGTACCAGTGACATCTTCGGCAAAGAGGGTGCTGCCGGGCGTCAGCGCGAGCAAGAGGAGAACGGGTGGGCGCACCTGTTGATGGAGCGGACGACCTCGATGTTGTTGGGAGAGAGAAACGCGGTGGCGAACTGGTTGACGGTGGAGAGATAGTGGTACTCTGAGAGGGCGGCTGCGAGGGGCAGGGCGAAGAGGGCAGTGCAGAACCAGCGCATAATGAACAGTCGGCCAGCGAGGGGATCAGAGAGAACCAGGGATGTAAAGTAATATAGGTGATGGGTGATGGGGAGGGATGGGCGAGGGGAAAGGGGGGTATATATATGTCCATCACAGGGTCCTTTCCCAGCCGGAGCCAGGACTCCATTATGTATTAATGAGCAGCAAGCGCACACCTTCATCCCCCCGCCCAGTCCACCCCTGCGGGACCTCCTTTCCTTTCCTAAATTATTTGCCCGCCTGAGAATCTCGTCCGCCTGGCCATGCAGGGCGCATGGAGGGGGGCGAGGCGTAGCCTGAAGTGCTCCATTGGAGCCGTGGGAGGTTCACAGCGACCCCAAGATCCCATCCCACCGCGCGTGGACCAGCGGGAGAAGCACGTCGTACGCAGGTACGCAGATGCACACTGAAAAAGAAATCAAGCGGAATGTTCTCCCAGGCACGCACCAAATTTCCAAGGACCAAAATCTCCCGGCCGCACCAATTCTTTCGAAATTCACCACAATTACTTCGACCTGGTATTTTACGTCTTCCTGATGCACACCACGAACTTTCCTATTACCCGACATGCATATATAAAAGTCCGTTATCGCCCAATGCAAGAAACGTGATAGCGATCGAGAAGACCGCGGGACAGGATAGGGACAGGAAGAACATCTATGACACAAGATGTGGCTGAAAAGCCACGGGAAATACTGGCCCTGGGGCAGGGCCAGATGAGATACTTTTACAATGATGAGACACCGCGAGCTGCACAGGCAAACGGGGCAGTTGGTGCGCCGAGGACGATCTATTGGGCGACATCCTCCTCTTCCAAGGAACGAGTGGGACGCTCGACTAGCAGTCTCTGCACAAGAAGATCTGCCACCACCTTGCCGTCTATGAAATATCAGCACGGGCCCCAAAACAAGCCGTGAAACTCACTCAGAGGGATCTCGTTCCCCTGGAAGCCCTCGGGATACGCCACCTGAGGCGTATCAGGCGCGGTAAACGTTTGATCGTCCCACACCCCGTAGTGTGTCATGCCCAGCGCTCGAGAAGTAAACTCATAGTCCTCGGCAAAGCCACCAGGGTAGAAGAACTCGATGATCGTCGCCCGCGGGTTCTGGTTGTTCATCCATAGCAGGTGGGTCAGACCGTTGCCGTGCACACCCATCATGATTGTCGTGCGCGCCGAAAGCCGGATCTGCTCGTCTCGCGATAGCTTGTCCATCGACACGATGTTGACCTGCGATCGGGTCAGCACTGGTCTCAAAGGAGGATTATGACTCACCTCCCATCCATACTTTTTCTCCAGCTCGCCCAGCTCGTGCACAAGACTCTCGTGGCTTTCCTTCAACAACATTCTCCGGCCCCAGTCCTGTCTGCTGACATAGGTAATCACCGGCGTCCCCGCCTGCGCCTGCTTTTCCTTGATAATCTTTTCCCTCAACTCTTCCTTCTCCTCCTCCATCGCGCCTTCCTCCGCCTCGAGCGCCTCGATATCCTCTTCAATATCCGGCACCTCCACCCCAACCCCAAGACCGACATCGCCCATCTCGAGCTCCCCGCCTTGGCCGTTCCCCACGAATTCAATCAGGTTCCGCCTGACGGGCGCCCACCAAAACTTGCTGGCCTGCAGCGTCACCGCCTCGCTCGCTGTCCTCCACGTCTTCTTGAACTCTGGTCCTCTAAACGCAGCCGCGCGATCCGCAAAGACTACCCTCTCAAAGATGAATGCCCGCCCCGTATCGGCCCTGTCCAAAAAGTCGTTCTGGTATTCGTACGACATCGAAGGAAAGATGGCGCGTGAGAGGAACGAGTTCATCTTGGCGTAATCGTTCCATTTCCCAGCACCGACGTGGGGAAACATCATCCTTGTCGGTGAGGGGAGGTGGGTGACGCCCTGGGCAGAGATGGTGGGGTCAAGGGAGGCGTAGGTTCGCCAGAGGCCGAGAAGGAGTTCGGCAGCGAAATGGTAGTAGTGGTCCAAGAATTGCGAAGGGTCGTTGATGAGGAATGTGCTGCCGGATACCAATGACGCAGAGTGGCCCCAGAGACGTTTGGCCTCGGATGGAAACACGATTCGCATATCTTTTTCTGTCGGTTCACTGCGCCATCGTCAGCTCAGGCCGCCTCATCTTGATTCACTTACCGTCCACGGATAGACTCTTCATCATTCCAAATCTCATTCCCCGTACTCGACATCAACCGCAATAACGGAATACTTGATGGATTATCAGTCACGATGAACCACGTCCCGTTGAACAGATAGATATCATCAAAGATCGTCCACCCCGGCGCATGAGCGAGCACTTCTGTCCGGTGCGCCCCTTGCTCCCCCCACTTGACTTTCGCCTCTGCCATCCCAGCAATCTTGGCCGCCTTTGAGAACTCTACACCAGTTTCGACATCTTCCAGCCACCGTTCTCCTCCTCTACCTTTCCGCCCCTCATCTGAGAAGTTGATGTACCCAGGCGAAGAGTCCCTTAGACGGAGAGGCCCGTCGAGGTGTAAAAGGAGGCCGAAGAGGAGGGTGAGCACGAGGACGAGGATGAGCTCGCGCCGTGTGGGGTGGAAGGGCGCCATCGATGGGATGGGGTTGATGGACGCGTCGCGTAGGTGGGGTAGAGTGGAGGTGGAGCTCTGGCTGTCTAGTGTCGGGAGAGGGATTGGGGGGCGTAAAAGTAGCGTAGGGCGGGTGTGTCTATAGCTTTTTGATGGACAATAAATATAAAGTAATATGTAAGCAGAACGCGATTCTATCTTTCGAGCTGGGGAGCAAAAAGTGCAGTGAGATCGCCACCATCGCCGCGGAAGAGAACAACAGCTCCTCAGGGTCAAGTCCCGCCTTTCCTAATGCCCTCTAATGGTGGGTGGGCTTTCTTGTAATGGGGATTAGCCTCCGGTTGTGATCGATCGTAATCAATTCTATAATCAGCCCTGAGCGGTGACCGCCGGCAAGGGCCAGGCCCGCAGAATGTTGTGGTAGTAAGTGTAGATTTGTAGATTTGTAGATCTTGGGATGTAAATCCCCTGGCTCGACACAAGCCCCTCGTCCTGCGTACGTCAGCAGGTAGATCGGGGTAGATCCCGGGGCGTGAACTTGTACTTAGTAGTAGAAATAGGCGAAGAAGGGAAATAGGCGCGCGAGAGTTTCTTTCACGTGTTTGCATGTTGTTATCGCGCACACATAAATAGCTTTTCTCTTACGTATATGCAAACTAGATAGCCTAACAAAAAAAAAAACTAAGAAAAAAAGACTGTTGATGAAGGGTTAGGCTATCTAGTTTGCATATAAAGGAGAAAAGCTACACTACCACAACACAGAAAGGCCCGTGCGCCCTTTGTTTATCGGTTGGGTGCGTGGTGCTGCGTGGTCGTTCAACCTTGGGCTGTTGTCGACATACCTTGAGGAGGTGTGCCAGTGAAAACAAAGTTGCTGAATAGCTCGCTCAAGGCAGCTTGAGCGATGGTCTGGTGAGGATGAATGTCTTCCATGATACCCGATACTGCATCTCCGACTCCCTGATTTGCTCGCCAGAAAGTGCAGAATAGTTCTTCATGTATACCTCCTCCTTATCCGGTGCTTTGAGCAACGTTCAGTCTGCCGCAGGGGCTGATGAGACAGGTTAGAGGGATGACTGTGACTAGTTGACCGTACTCGCAACAACGTTCAACCCAGTACGAGTACGAGTACTCGTACTGTACAACTCACACGTAGCATCACTTATGTAGCATCCGCATTTCAACACGAGATGAATCACATTCAAGAATTACATTCGGAGATCAGATACTCAAAAGCACGTCACAAGGTCTTCGCTATTATACAGATTATCAAAGCAACAAGTATCGATTATCAAACCACGATAGGAAAAGTAACCGTCACAAAGGCTCCAATGAACATACCCAGCACACCTCCACCTTCCGCTTTCCTTCCAGCACTAGAGGCACTTTCAGAGGGCTGGGAAGCAAGCACAGTATTGGAGGCAGTATCATTCGCGGTCGACGCCGGACCAATACCGTCACCTCCGCCCCTCGCAGCTGCGGCCTTGTACAAGGCTTGGATGTCGGACTTCCACTGTGACTCGACCGTTCGCTTGACACGACGATCACTACGTGTCGCGTCAGTAAGAGAGTTTGAAATGGCGAAGCAGGTGGAAGCTTACTAAGTCATCAGACCGTTGATTTCTCCTTCAACATCCGTCGTCTGTGTCCAGACACCACCCGAGCAAGCATAGTCCTTGATCTGAGATTCGAGAATCCCGAGGACAGTGTGCTGCAGTATTGTCAGCTTCTAGGTTCCGGCGAAAGGCAAAACTGACGGCTCGAGAGTTCCATTCGTCGATAGTCTTGTCAATCTCGTACGTCTCGTTGATTGCGGCAATAGCTTCAGGTACATTCCACAGACTATGCGAGATACACCTGGTCAGAGCGAGATTGCGGCATAAACGTAGAATCGGACTCACTGATCGATGGAGACGTTGTGCCCAAGACCACCAAACTCGCCTTGGAAACCGATCCTGTCTGGGTCGTATGGCGACGAAGGTCCCGAGGCATTAGCCATTCCACACTGGGGCTCGACATACTACCCGTCCTGTCAGCAGCCTACTCTGTGTGTATGATGAGTCGTAGACGTACATGGTGGTCATCCAAAAAGTCGCCAGCTCCATGATCATGCCACCCTGTCACAGAGTTGACCAATCGCGTGGGATCCCAAGACTGCAGCCTCGGGGTGATCTCCACTTCGGGTCCACGGTCCAGCTGTCCCCAGCCTTCGTTGTAGATCACCCAGGCGTAGATGGAGGGGAATGATTTGTGAAGCTGGACCATCTCTTCGAGCTGGGATTCGAATTGCGCTTGTTCTAGGACATGTCAGCAAGTGGGGTATCTAAAAGCGATGGGACCTCACGTTCATCATTTGGAAGTAGGTCTTCGTTGAATGAAGGCATATCTTGCATGACCAACAATCCGATCTCGTCGCACGCTCGGTAGAAGAGATCGGTTTCGACCTTGATATGTTTTCGGACCATGTTGAAACCAAGGTCTTTGAGGAACTGGAGGTCGTAAACCATAGCTTCGTGGTTAGGAGGGGTATAAAGACCGTCGGGCCAGAAGCCTTGGCTGATGAGATGGTCAGATCGATCTCAGTCAAAGCTCAAGCGACTCACTCGAGAGGACCAAAGGCAAAGAAGAAGTCACCGTTCAACAAAGGCCTGGTGACAGCTTGTACTGTACCACGCTCCACAGTCCTAAAGCCAATATACGTGTCAACCGAGTCATCACCCAGTGCGACAGTCACGTTGTATAGCTTTGGGGACGAAGGCGACCACAAAGAGACATTTGGGACGGTAAAGGTAAAGGCAGTATCGGATGTACCATTGCCTTCATACAATGTCGAAGCGTTCTCGTCAAGGACGGAGACTTTGACGGATAGGAAAGAGTTGTCGGAAGAGTGGACGGTGATGTTGCCGACGCCCCACATACCGCCTGACAGGTCAATCTTGTCGATATAAGTCTTGGGAACCGGCTCGATAAAGACAGACTGCCAGATACCGCTGCAAGGCGTGTAGAAGATGTGTGACGGAATGTTTGTCTGTTTGCCAACTGGAGTATCGTTAGTCGGCTATCAACATTCTCAGATGATGACTTGCCTGGTACAACATATCCGTTACCATCTGTAGGGTCATGCACAAACACCAATAGCTCATTGTCCTCTCCAAAGTTGACATGCTCGCTGATCTCGACCCAGAATCGATTGTAGCCACCGGTGTGCGCGGTCACATTGTTCCCATTGACAATGACTGTCGCTTGGTAGTCGACGGCTCCAAAGTTGATGACTACATTATCACCTTGCCAGTCGGATGGCACGTTGAAAGTGGTTTGGAACCAAGAAAGGTTGGCACTGCCGACCTCAGCCATGACACCTGCTTTCTATCAGCCGCTGATTCGCGTTCTGGGTATATGACTCACCACTCAGAGCACTCTCCAGACAGCTAGGAATCATGACAGGTGCCCCAAAACTTTCTCCCTTGCCGGTAGGCGGGCTATGGACGTCGTCCAGACTGGACGCCGCTTCATGATTGTGACTTGTGACCAGCCTGTGTAGGCGTGATAGGGTGGCACATGTGACTTGCGGACTCCGAGGCGGACCGAACTCGGACGCATCTCATCATTTCTGCTGTGGACGGAAGGACAACGCGCCTGTCTTACCAAATCGCCTGAAGTGACCCATGTGCTCAAACTATACATGCGCGCTAGGCACCTCAATCTGGTACACCCGCCGACAGACTACTCCCTCGTCTTCTTGCCCCCTCGACCCTTGCCCTCGCTCATCTCGTCCCTCTTCCTCTTCAATCCCTCCTGCCTGAATCGCTCCCGTCGCTCCTCCTTGATCCTGCTCTCCCTCTTCTCATCCTTCTCCCCGACCTTCTTGCGGTACTCGCCCTTCCTCTCATCCTGCTTCTCCTTTCTTCTCGCCGCCTTGTCCTTCTTCAGCGTCTGGATCTGCTGAAGCATGGTCACGGCCTTCTTCTCGTCGTCGCTCAGCACCACAGCACGAGACTGCATATACGTGGGCTTGCTTTGCTTGGAGAGTTGCGGCGTCTTGGAGGCGTAAGGGAGGGAAGCTGCGAGCTTGCGAGGCACCTTGAGAGGGTTGAATCGACGAGTGGTTCGCTCAATAGTCTATATAGCGTGTCAGCTAGATCACCTTCATGTATTCAAAACGTACCCTGTAAGCAGAATTGGGATCCAGAGGAGTCTTCATACCCTCTTCTCGTCGAATCTGACCAGTCAACCTCATTCCTTGCCACGAGTCTTTATCGGCCAGTAGCAAAGAGCAGACAGGGTTGTACAGCTTCTTGGGCTCGATAGAGTACCAAGCTCGAAGGAACACAATGTCTGGAACATGTCAGTAATGCACATGTAGTCGTATGCAAACTCACCCTTCATCAAGATCTTGTCCTCGAACGTGGCTCTGTAGGCACCCTCGGGCTTGTTCAGAGCCTTTTTGACTTGACCTCGGATACCAGACACCGTCTTGATATTCGCGCCCTCAAACTTGGCAACTTCCAACCCAGAGTTGAACATGTCTTTGATAAAGGCAGTGTTCTTGAAGATCTTGTACGGGGTACCGGTCAACTTGAGCTTTTTCACAATCCTGGTCGATCGATCGACATCGAGCACGACACCGGTGGCAGACACTCGGAAGCCTGGCGCATCGCCTTGGAGTGAGTTGAACGCACAGAAACCAGTGTTGGGCGCCGATACTGGCCCGTAGAAAGTAGCGGCACAGTGCATGTGCTCGGGAGTGTACTTGAGGTATCGATTTCGGATCGAGTGATCGTCGAGGTGATAGAGCGGCATGGCCTGGAAACGTCTCCAACCGAGGGAGAATACGAGCGGATCGTTGGCTTTGAGAGTCTTGGTGAACCATCTGTGTCGCTTGATACGCACAGTGATGAAACCAAACCTCTCTTCCGCAGCGAGCAGACCTCCTACAATGATGGGGAAACGAGGGTCAAAGTTTTCGACGAGCTCGCAGGGAACATCATTGATCTCCAAACGAACGTAAGAGCCCGAGCGGTAACCTTCAATCTGAGCTCGCGCATTGAGGTCGAGACCTTCAAATTCGTCCTGGTTGAGCTGCCTCTGACGGGCCATCTCGGCCTTTTGCTGGTCGTAGTAGTCCATCTTGTCGCCCTCGTCATCCGAATCATCGTATTGCTCGTCAAACTTGTTTCGGAGAGCCTCCTTCTTTTTGGCCGCTGCCGCAGCTCGTTGGTCTTCGTAGCTCGGTTGGTTGGGTTTGACGCCGACATACGGCACACCGTCATCGCCCACTTCTTCCTCCCCGAGGTCCTCAAAGTCTCCAGCTTCATCTTCGTAGGCTTCGCCATTCTCGTCCACCTCACCACCATTGCCAACGGGACCAGAGATGAACAATTCTTTGAGAGAATCGAGCATCTCATCGCCCTCCCATTTTTGTCTCAGCTGGTCCCTGTCAAGCTCTTGCTTGACCTGGTCACCTTCATCACCCTTGTTCTCCTCGCGGCTAACCTTGTAGAAGCCTTGGTCGGTATAGGCGTCCCCAGTATGAGAAGACCCAGCATCGGCAGAGGAAGCTTTCGTCTTGCCTGCAGAGATTTCCTCGGGAGAGAGGGGCGAGTCGTAGATAAGAGACATGAGGTTGCGTCGACGGCCGAGACGGCTGGCGAGCGCATCAGCAGCACGGCCAGACAGATTCTTCTTCCAACCAGGCACATCCTCGTCTTCATCTCCCTCCTCGTCATCTTCCTCGTCAGATGGGAACGCATCATCCTCGAAATTGATCCGCTTGCCGTCTTGTTGGAAACCCGTGGCAAAGGCAAGATCGTCATGATCAGAATCCGAGTCGGCATACGCCACATCCCTCTCATCTCCCTCAGACTCGTCATCCCCGAATCTCGGTTCGCCCTCTCCATCAAAGTCGTCCTCGTCGCTGTCGTCGTCAAACTCGTCATCGTCCGCCTTGCCGAGCATTGGTCCACCAGCGCGGGGCTCGGCACGTCGACGGACGCGCTGAACAGGGGCTTGAAGAGGAGCGGAAGAGTGGCCGAAGAGACGAATTTCAGAGTTTTGAATGTTGTCGGCAAACGTGTTCTGGGCGTCTTGCATCTCCATCACCATCTTTTCGCCTTCTCCTTGCAGAGCTGCGATATCATTAGCTTATACCAAACACGGCCGAGGAAAGACTCACTTTCACCACCCTTGGTAAAGTTACCCGGGACATTAATGTACACTGCATCCTTGTCGTACATGACGCCACCAACATCACTCATGGGCGCATGAATCAACTTGGCCTTCTCGCCCATCTTTCGCCTTCTCTCGCTCTCCAGAGTCGGTAACGGGCATGGGTCGGCAAGTCTTTCGACCTCCTTGATCTCCAAATCACCCGCACCAGGGATATGAATCTTGGCATTCCTCGGGGGAAGGTTGGGACCACGGACATAGCCGTACAGAGTGATGTTTCGGTCCATCTTAGGGTTCTCACGCACGGCCTCTCGAGGAGTGAGATCTTGGATTCGGTCGGCAAGGAGGTATGGGTGCTGGTTTCGGAAGACGAGCGGACGAAATTTCATGACAGAGATGAACCTGGAGAGCAGGTTGATCTCGGCATCAGGATATCGTCCGTTCAAGACACCAGACAAGCTAAACAGCTTGGCACCTTGGTAGATTTCTGTCCAAAATCGGTGCTTGAGACGCTTTTTGGTGTCTTTGAGGGTGGAAGCCTTCTTGATGAGGTCGACGTGGGTTAGGACACCGAGAACTTTGGGGAAACCGTGGGATTGGAGGATGTTTAGGAACTCGAACGTTTCCTGTAGATTAATCAGATTTGCTCTTTTGCAGTAGGATGGAGCTTACCATTTCAAATCCAAAACTCCCGTCAATCATCAAGAGAACCAAATCGACGACCTTGCCCAGATCAATCATACTGTTGAGGTCGTTGCCACATTCAACAAAAGTTATTCTCCTAGTCTTGCCAGAAACGACAGTGACGGGTCCTTGAGGCTGACTCAAGTTGTGCTTGGTAAACCTCCTGACAAGAGACCTCATCAAAGTTGTTTTTCCAACACCGGGTGGGCCGACGATACCAACGACAATAGGTGGAGGGGGCAGTGACCCCTCGTCCATGCCCTTGCCCTTCTCATTGGTGACCTTCCGCTCGTCTGGGTTTCGGTTGACGAGGGGGACGTGCAGACGCCTTTGATCCTTCTCGGCGGTTCTCCTCGCAGACTTCTCGGCAGCTCGGAAGGAAGAGTTTGTGAAGGCCTATACAAGAGTCAGAACATGAAAGCAAATATTTGGACTGCACTTTCCTTGGGGTTGTAGCTGTTACCGCCAGACCTGTCTATGCCCTTTGCGGCATCCTTTTTGGCATGCTTTGTGCCGGATGAGGAGGCGTGATGGGCCTTGTGGGGAGCCTCCATTCTGCTATTCGTATAGCTTCGACACTCTTACCTTGAAGAACTTCAGAAATCTGAACTTGAGAGGTGGAGGGACGGAAGCAAATGGCGGGAGTATTTTGCTGCAGCCTGATACATTTTATTTGTGCGTGACTTGCTTTCTTTACCTCCACCTGCCGTGTCCACTCTCCCCGCCGCCCAGCCCACCATGCCCAGCCGCGACCCCCCAAAGATACCCCCTATCAAGCTCAAGTTGACCCTCGGCTCCGCCCCCGCCCCCGCCACTCCCGCCCCACCGCCACCCGTGCCGACCAGCCATGGATCCAACGGCTCCGTCTCCACTCCCCTGCCCAAGATCAAGCTGAGCACGGGCAATGTCGCGGGCCCTTCGTCTTTACGTATAAATCTGCCGGAACCAGGTGGCTCTGACTCGCCATTACCAGCGCCACCAGGTACTGCCTCGCCCGCAGCGCTCATGACCCCGACACAACCCCAGCGCCAAAAGACGGCATCGACGAAAAAGGTTGGCAGGCCGTCGACAAAGAAGAAGGCTACCGTCGCCAAGCGGCCGTCTGCCATCCCTCCAAGGCTACTGGCGACATCGTCTGCAACACCGTCGAGGCAGATGGCCCCCACGATGCCCGAGACGCCTACCCAGGACGGCACATCGACTTCGCCTGACGTGCTGTCACTTCCTTTGAGTCCATCCTCGCAAGGGTTGGAGTCTGGATCCCCGCAGCAGTTTGAGGAAGAGACACCGAGTAGACGGGCTGTAAAGTGGACCAGGACAAAGAAGCCTCTCAAGGAGTTGCTGCAGAAGATCATGATTGAGCTTCGGAAAAAGGACGAGTACGCTTTGTTTGAAGAGCCTGGTGAGTATTCTGTAGTCCCTTCAGCAATCAAGCTCATCATGTACTAGTCGATACACAGGCGTATCCCGATTATCTCGAGAGAATAGGTGGTGAAGACAAGGCGATGGACATGGGCACAATGCAGGCAAAGGTGGACAATAACGAATATCGAAGCCTGGACCAAGTCGAGGTATGTCTACGAATCTAGCATTGTTTGGAATGAGCTGACCTTTGCAGGCCGACTTGCGCAAACTGGTAGAAGCAGCCCACAAGTTTAATGCCGAACACACGACTCCACATAAATCTGCGTCCAACATCCTATCACACGGACTCAAACACATCGAGCGCGCCCGTCCCATCGCAATCACCCCACCGCCCTCACCTGTCCGTGTATCCGCCACTCCTGTCTGTGCGACATCTGTCGTGTCCACTCGTGACCGTGAACAGCGCGAGACGACCGTAGTGCAGGAAGAGCGAGTCCGAGATCATGTGCCTCCCCTCCACTACATTCCCGAGGAGATGCTCAACTTTCCTCCCAACTCTGCCATGGCCCGTGCTGTGGGTTGGAACTTGAATGGCGGAAAACGCGTGTATAACAAGCGTATCTCGCGGGCACGTGAAAAGTTTTCCGGCAAGTGGAGGAACTGGCTGGTGGATGGGAGTCGGGATATAGCAGAGGCCGAGGAGATTCATCAGCTCTTTGAGCCTTGGAGGTTGAGGAGTGGTGACCAGTGGAGAGAGTTTATCGATTGGCAAGCGATGCGAAACAAGGATGGGTGGTGGGAGCTCGAGATGGCCCAGCCTCCTCCCCACTCTGCCGCCCAACAAGCTCCCTTGCCTTTCAACCCAGCAACCCCGCGACATGATCAGGTCTCTCACAAGACCCTGTCGCCCTGGGAGTATGGCCAGTATCCCTCTGTGGCGTCTGAAGTCGCGTTCCTCCGCCAACGTATTCCGAGCATCACCGATGACGACGAGATCTTGGCCGAACATATACGTCCAATGTACACCAGAGCCAGGCGAGGTGATCCTCCGGCCCCCACCAACTTGGTCAACGTATTCGACGGTCCTCTGAAACGGTCGCCTGGTGATTGGGTGAGGGATCTGGTTACGGGTGATGTGGTAGGTGAAGCATACCTGGACAGTCTGGATAGATTCGTCAAGGGTGCCATGGAGAGTGTCGAGGGCGAGGAAACGCCAGACTATCCTCTCGATGAGTATGTGTTTGATCACTACCACGAGCCCCTCCTCCAGTCTTCCACGCGAAAGCTGGTGCATGACACCCTACGTGACTTGTCCGCTCCAGACACAAGAGCATCATACAGTGCCCTGGGTGAAGCCGCGTACTCTCGAGTGGCTCTTCGCTACCTGACGAGACCTGCCAACCCGATGGATATCCAGCCTTTGCTGCGGGAGGAGGGCGATTTCATGTATCAAGGTGTGGGAGGGAAGAGTGGAGTGAACGTGGGGCTGGAATGGACCGGCAAGGAAATGTCGAGGCTGCTTGAGAAACAGAGACGTCTCAGAGGAGTCAACTCGAGTGTGGGCGACAAGAGAAAGAGAGAGGTTGAAGACGAGACGGAAATCAAGAGGGTCAAGACGGAAGATGACGCGGCTGTGTCAAAGGATACTGAGACCAGGGCAGAGCCATCTGAAAGCGAAGAGGTGGCGGCTGAAGAGCTTAAACAATTGAGGTTGGAGCTGGTGGCGCTGAGCAAGTTCTACCCCTTGCCTGCGTTAAAGAAGATGAGCAAAGAGGATGCGGCGCTGCTTCCTGTGAATGTCAGGGGACTGATGTGTCGCCAGTAGACGCATAGTAGTGCCAGACTTTATAGTCATGTATTACATTGCATTGCCGGGTATTTTGCAGCAGAGTCATGGTGATAGCACAGCCAATTTGATCCCGCTCTCGCGCCGTTGTTCACCCTGGCAGTTGCTGTATCTTGCATCGACCACCACCATGGACCCCGCCACCCCCCCCAACCCCTTCGCATCCTCCCCAGCATCCATCCCCGTCCCCGCCTCCCCTCCCGAGTCCCCCGTCCCCTCCCTGCCGCTGCCCGCCGTCTCGCCGCCGCCCCTCCCATACTCTGTACCCGTCCCCCAGCCCAAGAAGACATCCTCGCTCATATCGGCTGCCTCTGGCTCTCCCCCACCAACCCATCGGGCAAGCTTCCCGGATCCTTCCAAGCAGCCCAAATCGATGGCTGCCCTGGGCGGGCCAAAGCCCAAAAGCGACTTTTGCTGTGGCATCGACAAGGACATCTCGCTCGGGGAGCAGGTGCATATCATCGATGCCATCAAGACGAACGAGGGTGGGACGGCAAGCTATATCACTTATATCATAAGAGTCGGGGTGAGTGACTGGACATCCCATGTGATCACAGGCTAAACGATTGCAGACGCACACCACGCGCCGACGCTATTCCGCCTTCTCGTCATTACACCAAGCTTTGACAGGTCTCTACCCTGTCCTGATAATACCGCCCATCCCGTCCAAGCAGTCGTTGACAGATTATGCTGTCAAAGGCCAGAGTAAGGCAAAGGAGGACGCTACTGTGATTGCGCGAAGGAAGCGTCTCTTGGAGGACTTTCTCAGGCGGCTGCTGAAGCACCCCATCTTGGGCGGTGAACATGTCCTCCATCGTTTCTTGGAGGAAGGAGTCAGCTGGGTAGGTGGTTCCGCCGCGTCCGAGTGCCCCTGCTGATCAATGGACTCAGTCCGAAGTCATCCACTCTCCTCCAGTGTCGCTTCTCCCCAAGAACCCTCTCCACGCTCCCTCCCATAACCCCACCTTCCAACCCTCTACGCCCACTACAGGAGAGACTCCGCCTACAACAGCCTACATTGCTCATCATCTACTCCCCACCCCATCCCCCAACCATCCTCTCCGCCAACCTGACCCTCGCTTTATTGACTCTGAAGCCTTCACCGAGAAATTCCAGACCCACTTCTCTGGCAATATGGAGAAGGTCAACAGACGGACTACCAAGCGATGGGGAGAGAGAGCGCATGATTTATCGGAGCTCGGCGGTATATGGAATGGCTTTAGTCTGATCGAACAGGGCAAGCTTGGAGAGGCGGTCGAGAAGGTCGGGCAAGCCGTGGACGCCGAATACCTGGCAACAGCAGCTCTGCTGCAGTCATGGGAGAAGACTGCTACTGAACCGCTTCACATCTACTCTCAATTTGCGGCTCTTATCCGATCCCGATTGTCGTTCCGCCACCAAAAGCATGTCCAATTTGAGCTTGTCCAAGAGGCTCTTGACACCCAGCGCGACAAGCTTGAACTACTCGAGAATGCGGAGCGTGAAGCAAAGCGCCTGGAAGAGGCTCTTGAAAGGGGTGGTAGCGTCCTCGGAAGTGCGAGCCCTACACCCCAGGTGTCGAGGGAAGAACGAGAAGAGCGGGACCGAGCAGTCAGACGAGCTAGAGGACAAGGATTCGGTCTGTTGTCTGCAGTCAAGCATAGCTTGAGTGGGATGATGGACATGGACCCCGAGGCTACGAGGAGATCAAACATCGCGAAGACGAGGGACAATATCAGTCAAGTAGGTCATCTCATTTCTGGCGGAGCGACGACTGACCTATAATCAGCTCGAGGACTCCTACCACGCAGCTGCGCAGGATCTGAAATACGCCTCCATGACTCTCCAGGCAGACCTCGATCGATTCCAGCGCCAAAAGGTATCTGACATGCGCCAACTCGCAATCAACCTGTCTACCGTCCACAGAGACTGGTGCAAACAGAACCTTGAAGCGTGGAAGGCGGCTCAAGCAGCCATCCGCGAGATCGACGCGCACCCCAACCAGCCTCCAACTTCCTTCCCCTCTCAACCTCAGCCGGAAGCCGGTCCTTCGCGCACACAGGCTGAACCGTCCGAGGAGCATACGTATAAAGTTGCCGAGATGAGAGACGGGATTGAGAGGATGGAGGTCGCCGACAAGCCGCTGCCTGTGCCCAAGGATGAGCCTCCAGTGGCATTGAAGCCCGAGGAGGAGCCTACTATGGGCTTCCAGATCAACTCTGGGTTCAACTCGGAGCCTTTGGGGGGCCTCGAGACTAGTCAGTACGATGCAACACGGGAGCGGGAAAAGAAGGTGGAGGAGAAGAAGGAACAGAAGACGGACGATAGTGTGGGACCTCTTGGACCGTTGTAATTATCATTAAACATTGTGTATAAACCAAATGAAATAGCTGTGTTAATCGTTCTTGCATCATGAACGAATGAATGCCTCCTAAAAACCTTCTGAAAATTGGATGTATCTCAGCAGCAAAAAAGTCATGACCGGATGTTGGACGCGACGCGTCTCTCGCCGGAACGCGTATTCTCATCCTGATGTTGAATCTCATTCGTGCCGATGAGCGTAGTACGGTCAAAACAACATAACCATTAGGTATCCTGTGTCAGGTTTCTTGTATCATGAGCGGCACTATCAAGGGTGAGTGGCTATACATAGCCAGCTGATACTTACAAGCCGTAGCCATCGACAAGGCCTCCATCCACCATATTCACTCCGGCCAGGTCATTCAGAATTTGCAGGGGGCCATCAAGGAACTAGTAGAGAACAGCTTGGACGCAGGGGCTACTTCTGTTGGTAAGCCCCCTTCATTGTGCAAATATCTTCAGCAAGCTGATACGTTTCTCAGATGTCAAGATCAAGGACAATGGGCTGGATACCATCGAGGTCTGGGACAATGGCTCGGGTATAGCGGAGGCGGACTGGGAGAGCATTGGTAGGTATTTCGATTTGCGATTGTGTATAAAACTCATGTGTTCTTGCAGGTATGCGACACCATACATCCAAACTGCCATCCCTGGAAGAGCTGTACAAGGTCACCACATTCGGCTTTCGTGGAGAGGCTTTGTCCGCGCTCTGTTCTATTTGCTCCTCGGTCGATATCATCACAGCCACCAAAGAGCTCTTGCCTATGGCGGCCGTTCTCAAGCTGGGCAAGGATGGCAAGGTAGTGGATCATTCAGGACGGACGGCTCGGACGGTCAGTGCTCGTCCGTCTTCAGTCGGAAGCAAGCTGAATGTGCTTCTGTAGCGTGGCACGACTGTTATTCTCACTGGTCTTCTCACACCTCTAGCGGTCCGCAGAAAAGAATTTGAGAGGAACGTCAAGAAGGAAGTGGCCAAAGCGCTCACGCTGTTGACTGCCTACGCCCTCGTCCCAGCTTCCGTTTCTCTGAAGGATGGGAGGACAGGCGTCCGTTTGAAGGTCGAGATGATTGGAGGTGGTCGTTCATCGTGAGTGGCAGCGTCCGTCAAGTACATCCTCTAAACGTTTATAGCAAACGCAACACGCAACTGGCCACCGACGGGAAAGGGTCTTTACGGTCAGCTGTGGGGGCGGTATGGGGACCGAGGGCATTGGAGGGAGTGAACGACGTGGATCTTGACCTGGAGGTCGAAATAGACAAGAACATGGCTCGGCGGGAGGGTATCACTGAAAAGTACGGGATACCTGATGCGCTGCAACGCTTGCTGACTCTGGCTTAGATCGCAGACGGTCAAGGTCCGAGGTTTGATATCCTCGGCCCAATGGGGTCAAGGTCGGTCCAGTGCGGATCGGCAATTCTATTACATCAATGGTCGGCCATGTAACCTCAACTCTGTGGCCAAGGCCGTCAATGAAGTTTACAAGAGCTTCAATACAAACCAGCTGCCCCTGGTCATTCTCGATTTCCAGATCCCACCCCGTATGTTCTTGCAAAGCCGTTTTCGACGTATACTGATATCACACAGAAAGCGTCGACATCAACGTATCACCTGACAAAAGGACGATCTTTGTGCACAGTGAGGATAGGCTCATTGAGTCGCTCAAGGTATGTGGTGATAGATTTATGGGTGGCAGGGGCTGAAATGTATACCAGGCGGCTCTCGATGTCTTCTTCCAACCCGCTAGAAACACCTTTACTGTAGAAGGTGCGACACAAACGGTGAAGAGCATTCGACACGTCCAATCGCAACTCTCCCTGGGCAAGACGCAGGCTCCGGTCGCCGCAGAGGAGGAAAGCCAGGACAAGGACAACGAGGATCAGTCTCGCTCGCAAACACCGGTCGACGAGGATCAGGGCGAATCGGAGGAAGTGACGCAAAAGCAGGCGTCTGCTTCGATACCATCAAGTCGCCGAGCTTCCCGATCTGTCGTGAATGCGGCACCCGACACCGAGGCTGACGAAGACGACTCTATGGAGATCACCATGACTCCGATTGCAACTTCACCAACACTCGTTTCATCATCATCTCGCCGAGCCCCCACTTCGTCCTCCACTCCTTCACGGGCTTCAAGAGTCGTCCAGCAAACTCTGAACACATCGCAAGCGTCGTGGAGTCCCGAGAAGAAGGCGTCTCAGACCACAAGCGCTGGTAAAGGTAGACGGTTGGACGCAAAAGAGACGAGATTGAACTTGAGGGAAAAGTTGACGGCCTATGCCAGTCAAAGGCCAGTCGTCAGAGCTGCGAGCGAAGAGGAGGCAGATGAGGGCGGCGCCGACGATGACCATGAGGAAGGGATCGCCGGCGAAGGAAACGTGTCTGAAGCGGATGATGCCGAGGAGCAAGAAGATCGTATCGAAGTTGAAGACGAGGATGAGGTAATGCCAAAAGAGAGTGAGGGCGAGCCAGAAGTGCTGACCGCCGAGGACCAGGAAGAGGAACTGCCAGCGGTAGATGTAGAAGAAGACGAGCCTCAGGCGATCGAGGTGGATAGTGAAACCGAGATCTCACAACCAAAAGACACTTCTAGGAGGAGAAGTCAACCTGTGTTTGAAGACGAAAGCCCCGTGGCGAGTACCTCTGCTCTTCCTTCTCGGCGATCGTCCAAACGTATATCACCCGTTCCAATGCCACCTCCTCAGCAAAAGCCCTCCTCGCGTCGCCGAAGACGCGAGTCCGAATCCGAATCATCCCCACAGCTGTCCAAAAAGATGATAGAAACACAAGCCTCTGACGACGAGGCAGACTCAACGCAACCCTTGAGGGAATCGCCTCGACCATCATCCACGTCCAGACCCAGCCTGGCCAAAAGTCAAAAGTCAAGTGGCGCATATCGAGACGAGATCATCTCTACGGCTCCGCAAGGCGAAGTCACCATGCGCTTCGATGTCTCCCGTCTTCGTGCTCGAATCAACGCCAAACGCCAAAGTAGAGACACCGTCAAAGCGTCACGCGATGCTTTCACAGCAGTCACGCAAGGCGGCCTGGCCAATGCTGCTGGTATAGCCAACAAGGATGCCGAGCTCGCAGAAGAAGCACTCTCCAGAGTCATCTCCAAAGAAGACTTTGAAAAGATGCAGGTGTTGGGGCAGTACAACAAGGGTTTCATCATCGCGCGCCTGATAGGGAAGCATGGGAAGGGGAAGCGGACCGACGACTTGTTCATCATTGACCAGCACGCATCGGACGAAAAGTACAACTTTGAGACTCTGCAGCAGACTACCAAGATCAAGGGCCAGGCTCTGATCAGGTGAGTCCACAGATATCGCTCGGGACAATCGCTGATATCTGTAGACCTCGACCATTGCAGCTTACGGCTAGCGACGAGATCGTGGCCATGGAAAACATGCCTATACTCAACGCTAATGGCTTCGATGTACTCGTTGACGAAGATAAACCCGCAGGCCGCGGAGAGCGAATCAGTCTGAAGGCTATGCCGGTGAGCAAGGACACCACATTCGACTTTAGAGGTATGTACGCTCTACTCGGAAGGACTGGAAGCTGACTGTATCCAGATCTGGAGCAACTTTTGCACCTGCTCTCCGACAATTCCAGACCTTCCGGTCAGATGGTCAGATGCAGCAAAGCGCGAGCCATGTTTGCAAGCCGAGCTTGCCGAAAGAGTGTAATGATCGGCAAGGCTCTCACCAAGAACCAAATGTCGCAACTGTTGCGCAACATGGCCACTATCGATCAACCATGGGTAACTTGTCATATTGGCCATTGTGGAGACAATGCTAACGACGGATAGAATTGTCCACATGGCCGGCCCACCATGAGGCATCTGTTCAAGCTCGACCCGCCCGCCAAGCCCAGAAGCGGGAGAGGAAGGATCGACTGGCTGTCATGGAAAGAGCATTTAGCTTAGTGTACCTCTCCTTGAACAGTAGTAGCCGTTTCCACGCCACCGTGCTCCGCATATGCAAGTAGCACTAGACATGAGTACAACAGCAGGGTATGATTATAAAACATGACATGATTACGACTCGAGGCATTATGTACGTGAATGGTTTATGATGATATTGGCAAGTATGTGTAGACAACAAGACTACTCTTCGAATGCAAATGCTCCAGCTCCCGCCATCCCCTCCTCCCTCCCCATCATCCCAAACCCTCTGACAACCTCCATCTTTTTCGCATGCCACCCGATCGTACTCCCAACCCTCCCAGTGGCATCACTCAGCTTTGTGAGCCAATCCCTATGCTCTTGACCCTTGGGCAGGTGCCTCACAAACTGCATCTCCATCTCGGTCTCGTTGCTTGAGGCTTGCTCAAAGCCCGTCTCTGATGTAGGCGACGCAGGCATACGGGGTACAGGCCGCCAGCCTGCCGAGACATCGACATACCAGCCCCTCCCGCCTTTACTCTTGATCACCTTCCACTCTCTCTTGCCGTCCGGCGCGATACTTCGCCTGATGGGGCCCATGAGCTCGACCACCCTCAGCCTGGTAGGCCCCGGGTTGTAGTCGGTCGCCGAGCTGCCTGGGGTGAGGTACAAGCTGGCGAGGGAGAAGGGGAGGGTGGTGAGTGGGTTGATGAGCCGGGCATGGAGCTCGAGTGTGATTTGAAGGGAAGAGCGAGATGGGTCGAGGGAGGACGTGGTGGCGGTGCCAACGAGGGTGAGAATTTCGACATTGGGCGCGACGTTCAGCAAAAAGTCGGCGATGAGAGGTAGAGCCAGGGTGGGTACGTGCGACAGACCGAGCGAGACAAGACTGGTCTGGTATGGGAATACGTCCGCCGCCAGGTGCGCCGGGGTAAACTTGGCCGAGGAAAGGTCCAAGTATCTCAGCCTGCCGGTACGCATACAAGGCGCCTCGGTGATGAGCCGCATGAGGGCATCCGACTCGAGCGCATTCCCCTGAGTCGGGTTGACGTACAAGTTCAAGTCGACCAAGTCGCGTACTGCAGGCGACCTGCACAAAAAGTCTGCGACCGCATACGAGTTGAGCTTTGGGCAACGGGCCAAGCTCAATGATGTGAGGCGGAAGGAGCGCGGGCAGTGGTCGGTGAGGTGACTGAGCAGCTCGTCGGGGACTTTGGTGTTGGACAGATCGAGGTGGGTCAAGCAAGGGAACGACCATACAAGAGACGCCACGATCTGCGAGTCGAGGGATGTACACATGCGAAGGCAGAGACGGCGCATGTGCCTAAACCTCGGCGGACGCCTATAGTTGTGCCTCTCTCCATGCCTGTCTCGAGAAACCGAGTGACTGTGGTGGTCGCTCTCATCCTCTGTAGCATCCGGTGAATGCCCCGGCCTTCCCCTCCTACTCCCCTTCCACCTCCCCCTACCGCGCTCCTCTTCCTCGTCATCCGACTCGTCATCCAACGCCAACCACGTATCGTAAAACTTTTGCATCCCCTGCGTAAAGTTGACACTGACACAGCCCGTCAGGTCGAGCGCTTCGAGGGGCGTAAACATTTCGCGCCGTTTCCACTTTTGGTCCTCCGTCTCGTCTTCGTATGGGACATACTCGGGACGTGGCGGGTCGAGCTGGTCGTGTGTGGTGGACGCCACGGACGGGGTGGGGCCGATAGAGAGGGAACGGGCGCGGTTGATGGTGGGAGAGTGGTAGCGTGGCTTGCGGGACCCACGGAAAAAGATCTCTTCGAGGACCGGGTAGGATAGAGATGAATCGACATACTCTGTCATGCAGAGTGTCACCAGATTTGGCGCATTCTAGAAACGTCAGTAAAGTTGAGTATGACATTTAAAACATACCTTGATGACACCCTCGAGTCGCCCTGCTGTCACGAATCTATACTTGACCGCCTCCTCCTGGCTCCTCCTCGCGCCGATGGTCCGAAAGTTGGTAAAGCTGAGATGCCTGATGTACGGCCCCGGGGGCGGCAGCAGCTCTGAATTCGCATTCTCCCCGTTCTCCGGCTTTACTCTAGGCGTAATGACACCCGTCTTGGGCTTGACTGTCGGCGTCACCAGCGGCATAATCTCGTCATCCTCTTCTTCGTCTGCATCATCTCCCGGCGAGTCGTGCCACGTACGCGACCTGGACAGACTGGTACGGCGGTGCAAAGACCCGCGCGTGATGCCTCCTGGCGGACGCTGCGAGCCGTCCGAGGCTGAACGGCTTCGCTCGAGGACGGCGTGGATACCTTGCGTGTGGAATCCTACCGTTCGCCGTGGAGAGCGCGAACGTCCACGGAGCTTTGTCCTCGTCGCTGACGAAATACCCGACGGTCCCGGGCTTGGACTATGCTCCGCCCGATCAGAGCCAGAGACGGAGACTGCTGGACTGTTTGGCTGCTGCCCCGGGGCAGGGGACGACGTGCGCGACGTTGGCGGGGTGAGCAGCTGGTGGATATGCGACGGCTGAGGCGGGCTCGACGAAAAGCCCGAGGCCATAATCGGCCCTGCCAAGCTGTTGACAGGGAAAGGCATGATTGACGAGCCGGGTGGCGACGCATACGCCTGCATGCTCTGAGCTGCGATAGCGACAGGAGGGTGTCTTGGTGCTTCAGGCCCCGTGACCGGTGTCTGCCCGCCACTGCCTGTACCATCTGACCCCCCGCCCACGGACCCGCCCAGCGGCGTGAGCTGCTCCACATCCTGCTCGATGATCTCCTCCGTCAGCGCATTGACAATGGCGAGCCAGCCCCGGCCGCCTTTGACATCGACGTGCTCCCAGAGCCACGGACGGGCGGCTTCGAGCAGGCGGGACGAAGCGCGGGTGAGGGCAGAGATACACTGGCCGTCTGTTTGGGCGGGGTGCTGGGATGGGTCGAGGTTGGCGATGAGCTCGTTCGGGGGGATGGGAGAGGGCTCGAGGGGCGGGTGCTCGGGGTAGAAGGGGGGTGGGACGAGGGCGACGACGTTGCAGAGGACGTCGAGGGGGAGGTCTGGGTCGTAGCGGCGGATGTCTGGGGCACAGGGGGTGTCCATGGCCTCGTCGCTGAGATGCAGAAAGTGGCGAGGAGTAAGAGATGCACAAATCAAAAGATGACAGTCCATGAATCAACAAACACAAAAAAAATCTAATCAGATTCATTTCAGGCTAATCAAATCATCCTCCATTACAAGTGTCATTCGTTGCCATGATGAAAAGAGTCGCATTCCAGTGGTCGTACCGCACTTGCTATGGATAATTCGACAAGAGAAAAGAACAATGCTACGTAAAGAGACGTTTGTGCTTGACAATAATGAGGGGAAAATGTTTTTTGTTTTTGTATTTATTGGGGGGTAATCTATGGAAACTCTATTCGATTGTCTAATGGCTGCACGTCCCGTTGAACCGGGTGGGAGTTTAAATGGCTACACAGTGATTCTCCAACTTTTCCAACTTTTTACACGCAGCCATCTTAGAGACCCACGACGAGGTTCTTGGGGGGCATGCCCTCAAAGGCAATCTTGTAGACCTTTTCAAACAAGGGGTAGGCGTGCGCACGCTTTCGGGCGACGAGGAAGGCGTTGACTTCCTCGGCGGTGGCGGTACCCTGGAGCTTCTGGCCGTTGAGGAGCTTCTTCTCGATGTAGTCGAAGGGAGCGCCAGTCTTGGCAAACTCTTCGGCACACTTGCGGTTTCGGCCAGAGTAGCAGGTGACGGTAAGGTCGGCGACACCGGCAGACTCGTTGGAGAAGCTACCCAATGTTAGTAGAGTCCGAATTAAAAAATCAAGACTCTCACGTCTCTCGCTTGGAACCCTCAAAGAATTCCAAACAGAACTCAGTCATCTCCTTCAGACCGATTCGCATAATGGCAGCCTTGGTGTTGCCGCCATAGCCGAGACCGTCGACGATACCCGCAGCCAGGGCGACAATGTTTTTGAGCGCACCAGCAAGCGAGACACCGCTGACATCTTCAACGGCCGCCACTCGGAAAGTAGGGGCGTTGAAGACGGCGTGCCAGAGCAAGACCTCCTCGTGGGTAGGGCATCCGATGGTGGTTTCACAGAATTGGCCCAAGGCAACTGACAAGTGACGTCAGAATTTGTCCAAAAAAAAATATCACGTGCCAAAATTCAAACACATACCTTCAAGAGCAATGTTGGCACCGCTCAAAGCAGAGCAGGGGAGGCCGACCTTGGCACTGATCAAGCTGGCAAAGGTCTGGATGTCGGTACCATTAACCTCGACACCCTTGATGGCGCTGACGGCCTTGGCGCCGGGGGTGAGGATACCGGGCCTGGAGAGCTCGTTGAGCACAGTGTGAAGGAACTGGTGGGGGACGACAAAGACGATGAGGGTGGCATCCTTGACGACATCCTTCAAGTGAGGCACGGCGACGAGGTTGCGGGGAAGAGGGACGTCGGGGAGGTATCGCGAGTTGAGGTGGGTTCGGTTGATGACCTGGGTGAGGGGCTTGCCGTCGACCTAGCGTATGGTTAGTGGGCGGGTTATGTGTTGTAGCAGTAGAGTATACGCACAATCTTTTCACGGACCCACATGCGGACTTCGGAGTGGAAATCGTCCTTGTGTTTCCAGGCATTCTCGGCAGCGATCTTGGCGAGGGCGGTTCCCCAGGAGCCAGAACCGATGACGGCAATCTTGTGCTTGCCGGTGGGAAGGGGAGAGCGGGGCAGGCTGGGGGGAGCGGGGGAGGAGGGGCGGGTGACGGCTGGGTGGGGTTAGCGGGGCAGATAGAGCAGTGGGGGCAGGGCATACCAGGGGTGGTGAGGGTGGAGGCGATGTCGAGGTCGTCGAGCTGCTGGGTGACTTGGGCGGGGGACATGGTGAGTATGGTGTATGGTGTATAGAATAGAAAGAGAAGAGAGATGATATAAGGCGGGTTAGCGACGTGCATGCGTCATTGCATCTGCTTCCGTGATGCCATTCTGGGGTCGTCCTCGATAGGGTCTTTATCCGGACACCCTGAGCGAAACGGGGGTTGTTTGTCGCCCAAGGGGAGGGGAGGGGCTCTCCTCCATGCATGCATACATACATACAGCCCATCCCCCCCTCCATGCATACAACCCATGCATCCCCCACCCCCCATGCATCCCCCCCGTGATGTCATCCCTGGGAATGTGGTATCGGGCTTTCTCGCCCAGCTCGGCTGCCTCGCGTGGGCGGGTGAAGTGGGCGGGAAAAGGCCCCGTGCGTCATATTGGGCGTTATAATCCTCGCTCTCTTTTCCCGCTTCCTCATCCACATCTCCATCTGCCCACGATGTCTGTCTTCACCAAGGATGCCTTCACCATGTCTGCCCTCCCCTCCCCCTCCCCCTCCCAGCCCCCCTCCACCGCCCCCTCCCGCCGCGGCTCCTTCGCCAACCCCTCCCTCGCCTCCGGCCAGATGACCCCTTCCACCGACCCCCACATCGTCTCCATCAACGTCGAGTCCGTCCTCTTCGACATGGACGGTACCCTCATCAACTCGTCCGGTGCCGTCGTCAAGGCGTGGAACCTCTTTGCCGAGACCTACACCCTCGACCTCGACGACATTCTCAGGTGTACGTGGCTCCGTTTCACTCCATGCTCTGAAACTGACCCCGCCCAGCCGCCCACGGTATGCGAACCATCGATGTCCTCAAAAAGTGGTGCAAGATCACAGACCCCGAGCTCCTTGCCTCGGAAGTCATCCGATTCGAGACTGCCATCCTCAACGCCGCCGAAGAGCTCGCCAAGAGCGGCACCGGCGGTACCGGTATCGAGGTCCTCCCCGGCGTCAAGAACCTCCTTACCCAGCTCAGCGCCGATAACGACAAGCGCGACGGCGAGGAAAAGTGGGCCATCTGCACCTCATGTATGTGACGTCAAAAAAAAAATGATCCCGGCACCATCACGTACTAACCCGCGCGCCCCCCTAGCAACCTACTTTTACGCCGGTAAGGCTATCCCCATCGCTGGCTTGACCACCCCCAAGGTCTTTGTCACTGCCGACTCTGTCACCCGAGGAAAGCCCTTCCCCGACCCCTACCTCCTCGGTGCTTCTGGCTGCAACGCCTCTCCTTTCGAGTGTAAGTGCTCCACACCCTTTTTCGACTGTTGCTGACGTCGCCCAGCCCTCGTCGTCGAGGACGCCCCCACCGGTATCCGATCCGGTAAGGCTTCCGGTGCCCTCGTCCTCGCTACGTGCACTTCCCACGAGCGCCACGAGCTCGAAAAGGAAAACCCCGACTTCCTCGTCGACGACCTCTCCCACGTCAAGGCCACCTGGGACACCGCCACCAACACCTTCAACCTCATCATTGAGCAGCCCGTCGACCGATACGCGCCCCGCGCCACCCCTGACGTGACCCCCGTCATCACCCCCGCCATGTCGAGGGCCAACTCGTTCTCGGGTGTCGGCCAGGACCGCCCCAACTTTAAGAACAACCAGACCATCTCCAAGGCTAGCGATGAGCTTACGGGCAACGACTCTGTCGTTGGGTCGCCTGCTGCCTCCAGGCCCGGGTCTCCCGATGCCGATGGAGAGAAGCGAGCAGAGCTCGAGTTCCACCGAAGAGCCTCTCAGTCTGGCTCTGGTGGTGTCACCCTCGACAACTTTAGAAAGGCCCTCGCTGGTAACGCTGCCAAGAGGAGAGCCCAGGGTGACGAATAGATCTGTCATTAGGGTCTAGTTTTGTATCGATAGGATATCATTGTTTCTCTTTTTTCCTTTCACGCTGTTTGCTTTTGGTCGTTTTGTTTAGGTTTTGGCATCATAGATCATAGACGACGAAAAAACCCACAAAAACATAAGTCTCCCATTAGCAAAACCAACGCATGTCGTGCATTATGAAACTTTCGTTTATGAAATGTCTAGACCTCTCAAAAGTATTGGTTTCGCTATGCAAGGATTGAGTTTTGCACGGCTATGATTGGTCAAATGCGCAAGGTTATCCACTTGTTGACGTAGATATCTGCCAGATCTTGCATCTTGCCCGACATTCTTCTTGTCCGACTCCCGACCCGCACACCGCCAAGCTTATCAATAGACTTAAAGAGATTGCCCGGGATGTGGTTTTCCGTGAGATATTTGCCCGACACGGCGAGTCGCAGCGACACACCCCGAGGCCCAAAACGAACAATCGGGTCTGCCAAGTACATGCTGATCTGGGAGATTATGTACTGTACAAACAAAAAAAAGAACCAAGATTCAAGAATCGCCGAGGAACGCAGTCAGTCTCATGGAATATAGATCCTGCTGTAGCCTTCCACCCTGCAAAGAAATCAGCGCGTTGTCCATTGGGGCCAAAGACGGGGTACTCACTTCTTTCGACAACAGCTATTATACACAAGAGCGCGTCAGCGAAATGCTTGATGATACAACAGCATACTTACGGGCACATCTGGTCATCTGCAGTCAGCCGACTGGCCAGACTCTCCCTGCAATCATTACAAAGCGCCAGACATCTACTCGCCTATCAGCACACGTCCCAATCTTACGCACAAGACTTACCGGCAAGGCCACAGGATCGTATCCCTAGTACTGACCATGCACACCACACACGCCATCCTCGTCTCTTCCTCCTCCTCATCCCGCTTCCCATCCATCATCTCCCTCCTCTCCGCCGCTACGCCCCTAAAGCTCATAGCTCCCTCATAGCTCATCTCGGGTCTTCCCCCACGCGTTGGGGACGTGGGATTGTTGAACAATGCCGAGTATTGACGCCGGGTAAGGGGCGTGCCGTTGCGCGATGTGAGATGCGCGAGGAGGACGGGTTGGAGTTTGGCGTGAGACTCGTCATCGTCTTCCAGCTCGGTGATGATGAGGTCGCGATAGATTGCGCTCTTTCTCGACTCCTCCACCTCTGTTTCGTCGCCAGAGTCGTCCTCGCCCCACTCGCTGCTGGAAGCTTGACTGGCAGTCTCCGACTCGTCATCCGACGCTTCCGCTTGTTGCGTCCACTCGCCATCATCTTCAATCTCATCTTCCACATCTTCCAAGAGATACTGCCCATACGGCATCATCTCCCTCTTCCCTGCACCTCTCCTCTCCACGCTCGAGCCCCCAGGCCGCACATTCGCACCCGTAGCCCGCGCCCGGATCTCCTCATCCCCCTTCACCTGCTCCTTGAACGTACCCAGCATAGTCACCATCGACCTCAGTTCTCGACTCGCCTGATCATTCTCATCCAGCCTCTCGCGGACGCGCCGCAATTCGGCATACTGGGGCGGTTCTGTCCATGATTCGCGGCGCCAGAAGCGCCAAGAACGAGGTCCATAGTACCATCTCGCCCGCCAGGCCTTCTTGTACACCCTCAGCGCTTTACGGCCGAACCGCGTAGATAACAGAAGAGCGATGGTGGACGAGAGGATGGCATTGCGGCACGTCTTGACAAACTTGGCGAGCGCGCGAGAGTGAGGACTGGCATCGCTATTGGGATCTTCAATCTCGGATACCTTGATATCTGTAATCTCGGTGCTGAATCCCGGGGAGTCGATACCGCGAAGCATGGCACGGTGGAAATCGCTGCCAGAAGTCATGATTTCTACCCAGGGCGCCCTGGGCTCGTCGACTGCGGCAAGCTCGTTGCGAAGACCAGTCATTGCGGTAGCCTCGATGCAGGCAGTGCCGATCTTGAGCAGAGCGACACCAAAGTCATCTTCGCGCTGGGGCACGACTCCTTCGTGAGGAAACAAGGCGCCGAGAGATGGGATCTTGCCGACAGTAAAGAGCAAGGTGATGGCTTTGAGGACGGCAGTAAAGACAATAATGATGGAGAGGAAGAGGGCGAGCTGAGGGGGAGATGAGTATTCATCAGATTAGGATCTGGTATACGTACGAATGACCAGCTCGGACTCACCATATGAGTCAGGAATGTAAAACTCGGGAATCGTAACGGGGCGCGGGCCAAAACGTAGATGAAATGTCCCAGACCTAGTATACCACAGACCGAGGTGGGGAGGAGGACGTTGCTTCGCATGGTCCTGGACAATTCAAACGTCTGCAGCCAAGTCAACTGTAGATTGTCAGCAGCGTTTTCAGTGATTTGCACATTACGTACCTCGCCAAGACTGAGCCACATTTGAAAAAGAGCATGAACATCCGGGCGACCTTGGGAATGGGGCCCGGGGGTGTGCTTGTGGGTGAAGGGAGACGAATAGAGATGCAACAAGAAACTGTAGCCAAAGAGGTTGAAACCTGCAGCTACATCCCTTCTTCTCCTACAGAATGTCAGGACGTGATCCGAGCTGAGAGGAACACACGTACACAGTGTCCAGGCCATTCGCTATACCACTGCACACCAGGCCGATGCAGACGCCGACAAATACCTGCCAGCACACCACCTCCATCTCCATATTCCCTGCCCATCTTCCCACTCCCCCGACAGCACTCCTCCAGATCGCAGTCTTTCCAGGCTGCTCTACATTTGGCCAATAGCCCCCGACTTGCAGCAAGAGAATGGTGAACAAGAGCCAAGACCGAAGGAGGGCGATAACGCCGGGGACACGAATATACAGTGGGGTATCGGGGTGGGTAAGGGCTATTTGGACACGGCGGCGCAGCTGTTGATAGCGAGACCCGCCTTGACTCCGCTGTATGACTGGCGTCTGCCGAGGTCTGCGGACGATATGGTGAATGCGGTTGAGGAGGATCATCTACGCGCCGAGCTTAGCAACGCATGTCCGATGCGGCATACAACTTACCATGAGGATGAGGGTGATACCGTAGCCACTCCCAGCAAATCTAAGCGGCCCCATGCTCTCCTGCAACGCCTGGTTCTCGCCCGAGTCTTCATAGTCGGATGCCCTGATGGTAGGGAGGCCGTCGGTGGCGTCATCGGTGTGGGGGTGGGCGGGCTGCTTGGAGGGGAAGGAGTAGACGAAATGGTGGAGGAGGAGGGATGCCCTGTTGCCTAGGCGGGCGAGGAGGGGCATCGTGAACAGTGGGGCATGGGCGAGGAGGACAAAAGAGACAGCGTGATGCGCGCCGGGAAAGAGAAAGGCGGCGACGGCCACAGCCCGAGGTTGAGCGATGGGTTACATCCTGGTCGATACATTACTATAATACATCTACATAGATACATGACAGATATCACCCCACTACATCCCTCACCCATCCTCTTTCTGCATCGTTGTCGTCTTGCTCGCAAGTGTGGTAGATATACCACTGGTCTTTCGTACCTGTACCGAGTCAGCCATCACTCAAGACGTTCTCGCACACATACCTGGCACCTTTCTAACCCCACACGGCTCCTTTTCACTCTTGCACGCCCCCATCTCTCCACTCATATCCCACCTCCACTTTCCCTTGCCCTTGATCCTATCTTGGTTGATCTGCTGCCCAAAGGCGTTCGACACGAACCTGACGCGTTCTCGCAAATGGGAGATGACGGAGGGTTCGATCAAGTTGCAGTGGTCTATATTGAGCCACGTGATACGGGGAAGGTCTTTTGGAACCTGAGCCATTTTTGGTGGAGCGGAGGGAGTAGGAGTCGAGGCAGGAGCTCGGGTGGTTGGACGTCCAAAGACGGATTTCGCAGGCTTGAAGGCCGACCCCATGGACTTTGCCTGCTGAGATCCTCCATCCTTTCCTGTATCTTCACCCGGATACCTACTCCTCACCAGACGCAACACAGGCCCTCCGGTGATCTGGTCATTCCTCGCGATGCTCAAAGCAGTCAATTTCGGCAAGACTGTTTCCTTCTCCTTGTCTCCTGTCTTTCTCACAAGACCTTCTATAAAGGTGTTGGAAAGGGGACAGCCGGTCACGTTCAAGAACTCGAGCGCGGGTAGACAGGCAAGAGCCTTGAGCAGATCTTGGTTTGTAGCTGGGGACTCGCTAATGTCCAGAGCACGAATGGAGGACAGCGCCGAGGCCAGACCCGGCGTCTGCAAGAATCTCAGCAATGGCGGGAGACGGTGAGATGGGAGAGATAGATCACGCAGAGCTGGTGTACTGATGTTGGCCCAGATGTTGGCGGACGTATTGTTGATCGTGTATGATCGAAGGAAGGGAAGCTCTGGGGTGTAGGGTTCCCAGTCAGGTGCTGGCATGGCTAGATCTTGCAAGCCCGACAGCTCGACCGTTTCCACTTTGGGAAAGTGCCCGAGAAGCATTTCGAGATGCATGACGCCCCCCGAGCCCGCACTGTTAAATGCACAGTCACGCAGAATGAGGATCTTGACGTTGGTCAAAACATTCTGCTTGCCGGACGGCTTCAGCAACCCAGTTTGAAGGGACTCGAAATGATACCCAGGACATATCGCACTAGCGTATCGATAGCCCGTGATCTCGATACGAGTGAGAGAAGTTGCACGAGGGGGCACCAGCCCATGGACGATGCTCTCTTCGTGACCTATACCGTCGGTATTTTCTAATTGGAGATGTTGAAGGTTCTCCATGCAACCCGTCCACCGGTGATTCAGATGTGCGATTGTGTGGCCGGTGGAGATGATGATGAGCCGGTGGAGATGAGACAAATGCGGTCGGAGTAGGCCAGATATCTTGCCAGCGAGCTGACTGTCGAGAATAGCGCTGATCCTGATCTCTCGAATTCTCCCTCCCGATCTCTCAATGTAGACCTCCGTCTTTTTATCCATTCTCTTCTTTCCCAATACAAGAGTACCCCACAGTCCTTGTTGCCCGACCAAGATGTCGCGCCACTGCCTACACACTCCTGCCATGCGCAAGATGAAATTGGGGTTCTCGACCATGCCAGATTCGGCAATCGTCAATACGATATCCCGTGACAACAAATGTGTATAGTTGATTCTTGCTTTGCGAGTAGCACGCCGTTCGGCGGCCTGCTTGGCGGCTTCTGCCTTGTCGTTGGCAGCTCTGGAGCGGTCATGTTCAGACTTTTCGATGGTGATGGAGGCTCGGAGTTCTTGGACCGCTCGGAACTGGCGGTCATTCTGCGTCTGGGTAGGACCGAGCTCGACGGCCTTCTTGACAGCTACCAGCGCTGGATCGTAGGCTTTCATCGTATGCAAGACGGAAGCTTGGCGATAATATCCCTAAACCTGTCAGAGTCGATCTCGTGCGCATTGCAGAGTGCCCACCTTGAAATCTTTGGGCCACTTGGATATCATCTCTTTCGTGACTTGCAGAGCGTTCTGCCTCCATTCGGGAAGCTTTGACATGGCAGCGGCTTTGCAGTCTAGAATGACAAGGCTTTTACCTCCAAAATTGATCGCCTTTGACCAGTGATAAGTGCAGGAGGGGGCAAGTATTTAAATGGCGTACCTTGTCAAAGTTCTTCCATGCCTCCTCATAGTCGCCCTTGGACATATACTTGTGGCCCAAGTCATAGTGTTGTTTCACGAGCTGTTGATTTTTCATGGCGCCTAAGTCGGTGGTCCCACGCGCAGCACAGAGAGACGGTGTTTGCTGGCGCTAGTTGTGGGCCAGGTGGGAGTCAAGGCAAGCAGGTCAGTCCACTGATAATGTCAGAACAAGATCTTCGCGTCCAATTCGCGTCTTTCGTTGTTGTATTTGACGCGCTTCATCGGCCACCTCCGCGCCCGGGGCCACCGACCCGGCCAACTGAACTCTTTTCATTTTTGCATTCTTTCTCTAGTGTCAACTTCACTTCTCAACGGTAACCACAATGCCGAGACTACAAATCCTCCAGTGAGTTTCGCGCCGTAATCTCGCTCCTCGTTGACACTGACGCCTGCCGCCTGACAGACACAAGTCGTATCATCCTTACCTCGAGAAGAACAAGCAACGAGTTCGTGAAGACGAAGCTCGGGCCAGGGAGGAAGAACAAGAACGGGAGCAGAATCGAGTGGACGCTGTAAGCATCGAGCATGCGAAGATGACGACAAATATTGACATCTCTCAGGAATCCCAACAACGATTGACGGCTCTCCGTCGCCGAGCCGGTTCTCCTACGGTCCCCCAAGAAGAAGATCTACCTTCCACCTCGTCAAGGAAATCTAATGAGGCATCCTCATCACTTCTAGAACGACACAAGGAAAAGAAGGCAAAGGAAGAGAAGCGAGAGCGCAAGAAGAAGGAGAGGCTGGATTTCGACTTTCCGAGCGAGACCGCCAGACGTTCCAAGGGGAAAGAACGGCAAGAAGAGGAAGATGAGGTGCAGTGGGAGAAAAATGGCCATTTCAATCTGTTTGCGGATGTGGAGAGAGATGTGAGTCCTCAACCACGTCGCATGAATATGTTGCTGATGGTCTCGCAGGAAGCGAATGGGCGTCCAGCTCCCACATTGGCGGAAATTGCAAAGAAGAAGAAGGACCAAGAGAAGGATCCTTTTACTGTTTATCTTGCTCGACCCGACAAGGAGACAAAACCGTGGTACACGGACAGGGACATGAAACGGTACGACGAAAAGGAAGTGGGGGAGGATGCCGAGTTCAGACGGGCAAGAGATCGGTATGCCACCCGTTCATAGGTCCTAGTCCGCAAGCTGACTTTCATATAGACGAAAGGACGCTCGATCCAAGAACCGCAACGACCCCCTGACATCTATCAACTCTCTGCTATCCTCCCATCCACACTCTCAGCCCTCACATCACAAATCATCAAATTCGATCAACAAGACAAAGGGCATGTCGGAACGTGAAAGAGCTCTGGCGTTGCTTTCGAAGGACAAGCCGACACCCAGCTACTCTGAATGGGGTGATACCCCCAGCACTGTCTCTGGCGGCACATGGGCAGATGATTTTGAGAGGCAAAAGGAAAGAGCAGGGCGGCGATATAATGGCTCACGGTGATGTTGTCTCTATGGCGATATGGCCTGGGGTATCAGTAGTTCATAATGTGGCAGATTGCATATATCATTACGCAGCTGCTGATTTACTGATGTGGCACATAGGTCCATAAGAGATACAATCCGTATATGAAAGCTCGTGCACTGGTTATATCGTTCGTTCAGGCGAGCATTTCGAAGTACTGACTGCAGTAACGGGGGTAGCCTGGGTGAGAGAGTCGCTGCCCTGTATGTACTCTACCTGTGCATGAAGTGGTCACCACCTCGATACTCGCATGCTTGACCGACTGTCATCAGGTCAAACTCGGTCAAGTTGGTATGAAACGAGGCGGTTCCCGCCGCGAGGGGCTTCTTTGTTGATCTGTTATTGATGATCCGCTGGAATCTGCTGTCTACCTTACAATACTCCTCTAGCTGGCTGGTCTTGGGATCCCTCAGAACTTCGTCACAGTAGCATAGACATCAATCAATATGCGCCTCGTTGATTTCTGCCAACAACGGCGCTGCATGACGCCCCATTACAACACCGAAATACCCTCCCATCTCATGCGTGGCTACCGACCAATGTCTCCCACCCATATCGCTCTTTACAACAAGCTCCGGTCACAGTTTCTGTTGAGTATCATTAGCCAGTACGACTTCTTCGACGATGTCTGTAATCAGGAAGTCTCAAGCTATCTAGCCGCCCCTGCGACCGAGGCATTCAAGAAGTATGCACAATCCCGAGATGTCCTTCCTCGCGATAAGATCATCAAGTGCTTCTGGAGCTTCTTAAACTTCGTCCATCTGCAAGTCTTTGACCTCCTCAGCTCATTGGTATGTTCCACTACCTTCAGATTCTCCGGAAGCCTACTCGTTCTGGGGTTCCCTGCCGAATGAGCGCGGCGTCTCAGGGGTAGGAGATGGCGGATTTTTTCTCAACGATGAGATTAGTTGGCTCTACACTTGAGGATGCCTGCTAAATTATCTGTAGATGCGCTTCTTTACACATACGAAAAAGCAAAGGACGACCTCGGGCTGCAAGATGGAAGGCCATGATCCTTCCGCTACTCGAAGACAAGTGCACAGTGCTGTCCTCAGCGTGAGTGACGTCTGAAAGACCGTCTTTCCAGGTTTTGACTTTGACAGCTTCTCGTGGATATGGTCCTCTACGATGTCCAATGGGGCGTGCTTACAAATTATGAAGCATGGCTGTTCTTCTCCCGATCTTCTGACACCAATATATTTTACTGCTCTCCTGTCGTATTCCGCATGGTGGGTAATCAAGAAGGACGAGGAGAGGCCCAAGAACATCGAACGGGAGAAGAGAAGGCATCTGAGCCGTCGATAGAAGTGAGGGGCGCATGGTGGGCGGACGAACCTCTGAGAGCTCTCCTCGGGTTATGCCTTCACATAACAAGGGATCGCTTGGACATTAATGAGGCGCCAGGGGAGAACGTGGACAGTGAAGCACCCGAGATTGTGTGCGTTAGCACATCAGCCAACATCTTGGCTATCACTTGAAATGTATGTTTCAATCATCACCATCGATTCTATGAATGTGGCTGATGTATGCCATTCACAGAGTGTAAAGGCTGCGGGTGCTATCAGGGCTGTTGATCGTTCGGTGAGTGTTGTTGATCCTGGCCTTTGCGGCGGGCGAGAACTAAAGAGACGTATAGCTCTGCGACCATCTAGTTTCTCGCAAAGACAATGCGCAAGAGCCACTTATCCCATCAACATACCCCTCGAGCACGGTGTACTTCCCAACAGTGCTTTCTATGTCCGCGTAAGGCTCTTCTGACTCTCTTCATAGACTTGCCCTACTCATATCAGACTCTACCCGACCGACGCCGACTGTACCGTGTACAGACCCACCATCTTTGTCGGCCCTCTGACTTTCTCCTCGTCCTCATGTTTATCATCATCCTCTTGTCTGCAAGAAGAGGAGTCTATCAGCATCAAATGGCTTTCGGACAATATCGATACTTGGGCACAAACTAGGAAGATGCTTCCTCGCTTTCAGCCCCTCCCTCTCGCCACACTCCAAGATTTGCTCCGAAACAGCAATGAAGAAAAGATTGCTTTGGGCGGGTTCCGCAATCAAGGTGCATGCTGGCAAACATTTGATGTGGCGGAGTCGGACAAGGTTGCCAAACTTGTCAGGCTGATTGACTTTCCAGTAGAAGAGGACGTCAAAGGGAGTTTATCGCAAGGCGAGATTCGACATGGAGTCTATCGCGAGATTAGTATCATTGAAGGACCTCTCAAGAATCTGCAAGGTGTGTCCATGCCCAAGCCCAATCGTACGAGCACTGACAACGATCATTCATTAGGCAAGGTCATTCCAAGATGCCATGGACCATATGCGGGTACAAGGACACATGTCAGATATCTTGATGATACGGATTATGAGGAGTGGTGGTTGTTCATGGTGGAGAATGCCGGAGAATGTCTACATGGCACGTTGCTTTCCGATGAAGACTGGTACGTCTATCCTTTCATGCACATGCTCTCACTACAACGTCATCCTGCAGCAAACGAATCACATCAAAATACCATGCTCTGCACAAAGCTGGTGTGTTACACTGCGACGTCGAGATCAGGCATTGGTTCCGGACGCCTTCGGGCGACATACGCCTGATAAATTTTGATCGGGCAAAGAGTGTTGGATTCCTTTTTATCATCGGAAGAGTTTCAGGATGAGGCGGAGAGCGAGATGAGATTGGTCAGTAGGGGATTCAAGGATAACAGGAGGGAGAACTCAGGAAGAGAGGCGTAAACTCATGCAGCAGTAGATGATAGGCTGCAGCAGTCAGCAGTGGAACAGCTAGACAACTACTAGGCGCCCCAGCTCTGTCTTTGGCGGCATGGGCAGATGGTTATGAGAGGCAAAAGGAAAAAGCTGGGCGGCACTATAATGGCCCACGGTGATGATATTGTTGACTCTGTGGCTTAGGATATCACAATGTCACAAATTGTATATTATAACGCGTCTGCTGATTCACTGATGAGGTACATATTCCGTATATGAAAGCTCGTGTACTGATTATATCGATCCCTGTATATTAACCCATGTCCCGCCGAAGAAGATAAGAAAAGTGTCATGCCGTGGTTGATGTCGATGATAATTCGTGATTGATGTCGTGATGATGGTGTCGCTGTACTCTATCTACACAGGTGATGTCTCCACACCTGAACGCCTGGTCTCGACGAGCTGCGCCAAGAGCTTCTCGATCTTCTCCAGCCTAGCGTTCATCCTGCCTGGGTACTGGTTCAAGTCGTGCAGCTGTGGATTGATCAGCCTTCTTGGTCTAGTTCGAGAGCACTATCGACTCACGTTCTCCCTGGTTCCGTCGGTCTCGAGATCGCCCAAACCAGGTCCAGTCACCTTCATCTCCCCAGGACCCTTGGTAGCCCATTGGACAGCCACGTTGTGGGATACTGCATCCTGTTCGCTCTTGGTTGTGACAGGGCTGCTGGGCGCTTGAGACGCGGAGGGAGACAAGAGAGGTCGCTGCTCAACCGGGTCCTCGGGACCAAGGACAGTCTCGTATTCGAGCCACTTGAGGAAACGGTAGAAGCCTGCAGCGAGGGAAGCGCCGAGGCAGGGTCCGACCCAGTAGATCCAGTGATAACCGGGAAAGTCGTGAGTGACAACGGCGGGGCCAAATGAACGGGCTGGGTTGAGAGAGCCACCGGTAAAGTAGACACCGACAATTTCGGCAATCTGTGGTAAACGTCAGCTTGGAAAAAGAGCGTTCGTGTTGTAGACACTTACAAAGAGGGCCATTCCGATACCCAGAGGGGCCATGAAAGTAGCCTTGTGCTTTTCGGCAGCCAAGAAAAAGATGGTGAGCATTAGCCTGTGATGACATCAGCGGGACTTTTTTCATCGCCAGAATGATACTGACAATGCTGTAAGGAAGACTTCAATGAAAAGACCTTGGGCAATGGAGGCCCCACCACCCAGAGCAGTGCCCGCGTTAAGATGCCCAGGGACCAACGCGTCGGCAATGGCAGCTCCCTTTCGTGTCCATCAGCTTTCCATCCTCAAAGGGCGTCAGCCTCCTTCCACTCACAGTCATACCACCCAAGATTTGCGCCACAGCCAGCAAAGCACCTCGCAAGGGCGGCAAGCAGCCAGCGAGGGTCATGCCGAGAGAGACGGCAGGGTTGAACAATCCACCACTGACACGGAAGAAGATCCATACGTTGACGGTAAGGGAAAGGCCGAAAGAGAGGGCGATGTAGAAACTGGCAGGGTCTTAGTGATGGGTCTGACAACATCGTATCGACTTACAGCGAAGAGGTATTGAGGGGCGCGTCAGCGTCGCCAGTGATGGAAGTCGCAGATAGCAGAGCAACGCTGCATCACTGATTAGCGTCTGCCATGGATCAAAGGAATAGGCCCGGATCGACAGGGGATCGCGTCAAGAAGAAAACAAGACGAAAGTCGAAGTGACGAGAACCTGCCGGCAACCAAGAAAGGTGGCGCGCAGCGTTACAGCCATCAAAATTGCCACTACCTTGGTCTTCGCTCTCAAGCTGCACGACACGATATACGGACTTACTGTGTGCCGCCGAGACAGAACAGGATAAATAGAGTGGTTCCCACAAATTCACCAATCATGGCGACAAAATCTACTATCTCGTCAACGTCTTCGTCCTTTTGGCAAGCCAGGTATCTTACGGTTCTTGATAGCGAGACGCTTGGGACCGTAAGCCGGTCGAAGGAGACCCCATTTAGAAGTAGCCTGCATGGGGTCAGACGCCTCGTGAAGCGCCGTGGGGAGGGTGGAAGACATGGTAGTGGTAAGGACGCAGAGGCTGCTGGGCAAAGGAGAGCGAAGTCACAGCTGTCTAGTCGAGTTGGATTAACAGGATGACTATACGGTGCGCTCGAGGGATCTTCTGGCGGATGCGAACTGGAAAAGAATTCTGGCGGGAAGATGTTCGTCTCTACCTGGTCATCTTTATATACTTTTTCTGTGGTTAAATTTCACCAGTTTGCTTCCTCCTGTGCCATGTGCTCGTAGTCGTATATCTCGTGCATTCACACGCGTACGTACGACACTGACGAGGCTGTGCTGCCAATAATTTCAGTGACTTGCCGCAACGCTGGCTCAAGCTTTCAAGGAGGAGAGCAGAAGAAGTTAAGGGACTGGTGACCGGAAGAAGGTGAAAAGCGTACAAAAACAAGGAAGATCAGGCAGCCAACCTACACAAGAACGCAGATCTCGGTACGAGGCACTGCGACCCCAGGTCCAGATTGCCGTAAAAGCCGTTATGCGCATGTGAGAGACGAGAGGGAGGCGAGAAATGCGGCGCGCCAAATTTGAAAATTAGACGTCAGAGGCGGCGTACCCAAGAAGGATCTCGCCAGTCATAGCCAAACTATATCTGTACCAAATTCGCAGATCCCGCCGCGCTAGAGAACTGTAGATTGGAGGCATGCCGGCAGGCAGATCATGTAGATCAAAATAATCCTCATTCGCGCAGTCGACTTTTATTAGATGGGACTCTTATCTTTCTATGGAGGACCTATATGTGGCCTATAGAGTCATAGACGGCCCATGGCCCCCATGGGCGACAGTACCCTTGCGTCAATTCGAGGCTCCCAGACAATGTCCTACGCACAGTCATATCTGCTGTCTTCTGGACTCAATCAAAGTTCACCTTATTAGTCTCGACTTCATCATCCCTGTTGGTCAAGTGTAAACCACGTACATGCATCTGGAACATCTGATTACATCTCTCATGAAGAGAGGGGGTAGCCGCTTGACACCTAGCTGACATCATGCCAATCCAGTGCCCATCACACCCCCCCATCTTTCGTGGCCAGTTGAACCAAGAGCACCATTGATTGATTGCTATCATTAGGTTGTGTGCTATGCTGTTTGTTTTTCTGGTGACCGCACTGCTACTGCCATGATCCCCGCTGCTGTTGAACCTCACGATAGAGCAATGCGGTTCCAAGGGCTATGCTGTATCACTCGAGAGGCAGCTAGAACGTCACTATTAGCTGACTACTACTACTGCACCATGTGGACCATTCGGTATAGGGTTATCAGTACTTCGGGTGTCCGCACCTCTGCGAGCGTTTGCGACAGAAAGCAAGACCGGGATGACTGTGGCAGTACCCTATTTCCATAGCTCATCAAGGGCACAGTGCATGGGGGCATAATCACCACATTCATCAGGAATTCAGGACCAAATAAGAGATAAAAAAGCCGAACAATGGAAGGGATCAAAAAATGGACTGCAATATTCTTGGGGTATATGTGACGCGCGCCCTGAGCTTGTGTTGCCGTATCTCGATCTTACTACGTACCGTCCTCGAGTATATGTAGCGCCGCCTTTCACGTATCCCCTCTTCTCTTCTCCTCACTACCAACATCATCACCAGCACAATGGACGCCAACGAGAACCAGCACGTTACCGAGAACCCCCAGGCTGCCCCCTCCAGCAACGACAACGCTCAGCAGGTCGGCACCCAGCAGGACGCCCTTGGTGAGTGGACACATAGGCTCTGAGGCCTCTGACTGGATCATCGGCTCACCACGACGACAGACAAGGGTGTCTCTGCCGCTTTCAAGCAGTTCGGCTACAACAACGTGGACAACAGCACCGTTGAGAAGGCCAGCGACGCTATCCGAAGCGGGTTCAAGTCGGTATGTCTGAGCGTCTTGTCTGCGTTGCATAGTGACATACTGATGGTAATACCAGTTCACCGGCAAGGACTTCCCTATCGCCGACAAGGAGTAAGAAGAGGCTCATAGAAGGATATACAAGGTTATCCAGAGTCATCTAGGGGGAGCGTGAGAAGACGACACATGCATAGCATCCAATGCCTCAGCTTTGAGTTAGACCCACGATGTCTTGGAGCAACAGTTATGTGGCATGTGGCTCCCTGTCCTTGTCAACATCTCACGTGTCTCGCCGAGCTTGTCTTCAACGGTTGTTCCTCGACCAAACAGCGAACTTTGATCCGGTACCTTGACCGACCTGTGTAACTGTATATTGGAACGGGTAACGGGTCACATCTCGTGCTAGGGACAAATGTATGAATGGACATTAGAACGGGCCATGCTAATATATATACCGCCTTCCCTAATCAGGAGACGACAGATCTTCTGAAAGTCTTATGGTAAAGAGGACGGTATCTGTGGCGATCAGGATGAGGGTATAGAGGTCAAAGAGTGCTGTGTACAGACATGAGAGCTAAGGGAGGCATTATTTAAACATTTTTCAGACAACGTGTGGTATGTGGGAGGCATCGTGAATGATCGTGACGACTGCAGCATCGGGGGTTAAAGCTAGTCTTTCTTCAAAGACTGAGCCCAACTTCGGAGATCATCCTGGGTCACCTTTGAATTGGCTACCCAGTCCATTGCCTATCAGGCATCGTCAGCAGTCTGTCATAATCATGTGCGAGACAAGTACTCACCAACAGCTCTTTGGGCCCAGGTCGGAAATCGGGGTCTTTGATCAGACAATCATCAACCCACTCCACTGCCTCCTCCGGAAACTTGAACCGACGACTAGCAAGTTTCGGGGCAGGTTCGTTGACGATATATTGCAGCAAGTCGAGAATTGACATGTTGTATGCCGGAGCCACACTGACACGCTCCTTCTTGTCGACTTGAGGTCTTTGAGCAGAGCGGGGGAGAGTTGGGTCAGGGTCGAAGTCAGAGGCAGTCGGTGAGAGATCATCCGCATCTGGATTGTCTGAGAAGGGGAATCGGCCCGTGGCGAGCTCGATGATGGAAATGGCGAGCGACCAGATGTCTGATTTGATGGTATAGTTTGTCCCTTGGATACGTTCGGGCTACAACAAAGTTAGTAAGGCCACATCCGAGTATACGAGATCACTAACGCTCATGTAGGTACTGGTGCCGACAAAGGTGTTGGCGATAGAGTTGATCAATTCACCCGACACACCAAAGTCACAGATCTTGACCTCGCCTTTGGTGTTGACCAATATGTTGGAAGGTTTGATGTCTGTTCAGGCTCGGCATTGGTATCGAGACTGGACCTTATAACGACTCACCTCGATGAATGATACGATGCTCATCGTACAGGTACATTAAACCACGAACCACAGCTTCCGCACACTTGCCCACGATACCAATGTCGATGGGACCATTCTTCCTGTAGATGTGGTCCAGCGACCTGTGCAATGTTAGCATCCGGCTGCAGGGGCCTTAAGCGACAACTCACCCAGCGTCCATAAACTCCATGACGATACCGACGTGGACGTCCACGGGAAAGCACCCATAGTATCCGACAATGTACGGCGAGTCACAGTCGTTCATGATTTGCAGCTCGCGCAATATTTGCTTTCGGATAGACGGCTTGGCGTCGACCATCACAAGCTGTGCGAGGTCAGTGTCTCTGGTCTCGAATGACAGCAATGACATACCTTTTTGGCCATAATGCATTTTCTTTTCTTGTTCCACACTTTTGCAACAGTTCCACCGTTTCCAGCGCCCAAGTCTTCAATATTGTCCAGATCCTCCTCTTTGACAAGATCCTCCCCATTCTTGTCCTTGTGCCTTCTCCTCTTCTTCTCCTTCCCATCTTTGCCAGACTTGCTGTCTTTCTTCTCCTTCTTGTGAGCGCCAGAGGCGGCCGAGTCGTCACTCTGAAGGCCAGCCGCTTCGGCCTCATCGTCAGAGCGGTGCGAACCAGTGGAGCGACTGCTCAACTGCAGTTGCGCAATGTCGTCTCGAAGCTTGTCTGCCTCAGAGACAAAGTTGCCAACGGGAGAGTCGCCATTTGGGGGGAGTCCGGGAGCTGAGCGAGTGGGACGGAGTATGGACTTTGAGATATCCAGACCAGGCGGCTTCTTTCGGGAGATGGTCGATTTGGGAAGAGAGAAGGTGGACTGCTGGGTGGGCGTGGGGGTGGAGTTTGGTGAGGTGATTGCCACGGAAGCAGTAGAGCTAGAGGGGGGGTCCAGAGTCACCATGGCTGGCGCTGTGCAGGGGAGAAGTGAAAAATGTGCTGAAGAGGAATAAAGTTGAAACAGAATTGCGAAGAACAGACGACACGACACACGAGACAACCCACGAGCCTCTCAGCAGGCGCGTCGTCTGACGTCTCTTTCCCTTAATATGTCCTCCTTATCTATTACGTAAATCTACTTCCTTTCTTCTTTCATGCATGCAATGGAGGTCGGGCATGGATGAATGCAGTAAGTGTGTGTGTGTACAGCAATGATCGAGTGTACAGGGTGCATATGCAACTATTATTGTATCAAACAGAATGGATTTTCCGATGGAGGCGGATCCTTTTTGGGCTCTGGCTTCTTCACCACGGAGACCTGAGATGACCGCGTCAGTCAACTTCGTTGAATGATGGAATGGCAGACAGACTGACAGGAAGAAGGAATCCACCTGGAACCTTTGTACCTTTCTACAGTTTGTCAGACGAGATCGTCCAGCGCTGGACACAGAGACCATGGCGATGTTGGGAGGTAAGCTTACCGGGAAATGCAATCCAAAGTCGATGGTTGACTGCATTGCGAAACCGGCTCCTTTTGGGAGGAGAGTGCCCGCTGGCAAGCTATGGATTTGTGTGAGCGTAATCCCCTATCCGGGCTTTAAGCCGACCTACAAAATGCCCTCGGTGCTAACGTAAGTCGTCAGCGAGGTAAGTATATAGAGGGTTGATGAAACGTCTCACAGGGTGTGCTACTCCAAAGATCAGAACTATGCCGAAGAAGAATGGAGGGAATGTACTCACGTATGCTCCGAATCGTTTCACCTACACATGTGGCGTCAGCTGCTGTCCTTCGTGTCAAGCACCATTGCCTACGTAGCCTGGAATCTCATCGTCTTTAGCCTGTGGCAGGGTCAGGATCAGCTGCATACGTCTCTAGTGATCTGAGAGCTTACGTCGGGAGGAGGTGGAGTCACCACAAAAGGGTTCAGTGGGCCGTTGATACCGTCGGCGGTGCCCATACCACTGGTTGATGGTGCTTGCATGATGGGTCGATTCTCGTAGATTGATACGCTGTATCAGACGCAGATACTGCAGTAAGTTCACATTGACACAAAGAGTCTTTAGCATCACACCCGGATGAAAGGATCAAAGGTGAAAGGATCAAGAGGTCGAATGACGGGATACAGCTTCCAGTATTGTACATGTCTTCTCAGTAAACAGTAGTGGTACAACAGATTTGACCATCTCCCTTCCTCGCAGCGTCTCGGGGCTCAAGGTCTACGCAGGCTTTGGGAGGTTGTTGACAGTCTCGAGGTTGTACAGGACATTTCGAGAGTAGTTGGCAAATAGTTGGGAAGTGATGTGAACGGCTCCTGCAGAGTCCAGGTACTCCTACAGCAATTGGTGAGCAGCTTTATAACCGTAGGCCATATCGTCGACCTACTTTCAGGCAATGATTAAGCTCTACAATAGCCTCGTTTGATTTATCCTGTGAAAGGGTCAGCGCTCCACCTCGAGATGCTGATCCAAACAACTTACAACATTCTTGATGATTCTCTCCAGAAGAACGGCCTGCTCTGCTTCGTGCGGATTCTCCATGGCGTATGGTGGGACGACAAGGAAAATATCGGAACTGTGATTTGTTTACATGCGAACGCGACGCGTCTGTGCGGAAGTGACCGCACGTGGACTGGTGGGCCAGTGGTGGTGGTGGGGAAGATGCGGAGGAGTCCGCTGAGCTGGATCGTACCACTTTTTTGGCGGGTTGTTGTGATGTCTGCGTCGCTTGAGCGCGAGCAGTGGTTCCACTTTCATCTCCGAATTTCCGATCCACCCCGACTTTTCTTTATATACCTCCCGTTTCTCGCTACCCCCCTTCTATTCGCCACACCCCTCACACTCCTCCACCATGTCCGCCGCCATCGCGTACGACTTCATGGACAAGATCGTCCCAGGCGTCTCCCAACACCTGCAGATCATGAACGCCACCACTGCCACCGACACCTTCTACCCCGGCCTCGATTTCACAACGCTCAGCTGGATCGAAAGATTATGGGCGCAATTCTATATCTTCATCGGAAACCCCATCATTGCCACTGGTCTGCTGAGTTTTGGTCTGCACGAGGTACGCGACGCGATTGGATTGGCCCAATATTCTCGATGATCAAGATCGGTGCTGATCTCGTATATAGATCGTCTACTTTGGTCGCTGCATTCCTTGGCTCATCATTGATGAGATTCCCTACTTTCACCAATGGAAAATTCAGCCTGTATGTATATGCAAAACCATTGGGGCCGCCGCTTACGCCAATCACAGAACAAGAAGGTTTCTCGAGCTCAGATGTGGAAGTGCACCAAGGTTGTCCTGCTCACGCATTTCACTTGTGAAGCTCCCTTGATCCTCGCTTTCCACCCCATCTGCTGCTACTTTGGTATGGCGACTTATGAGGTCCCCTTCACTTCTTGGGGTCTCATGGCTCTCCAAATCGCCTTCTTCTTTGTCTTTGAGGACACCTTCCACTACTGGGCTCACCGAGCTCTGCACTACGGGCCTCTGTACAAGAACATTCACAAGCTCCACCACGAATTCTCTGCCCCCATTGGTCTTGTAAGTGTCATCTTGTGAGCTTGGTAACAAAGCTGACACCATCTTCAGGCTGCCGAGTATGCCCATCCTCTCGAGGTCCTTATCCTCGCGCAGGGTACCATCTCTGGTCCCTTCCTCTACGCCGTCTTCCGCAGTGATCTCCACATCTTCACCGTCTACCTCTGGATCACTCTCCGGCTCTGGCAAGCTGTCGATGCCCACTCTGGGTACGACTTCCCCTGGTCTTTGAGGACCTTTATTCCCTTCTGGGCTGGTGCGGACCACCACGACTTCCACCACGCTGCCTTTGTCAACTGTTTCTCCACCAGTTTCAGGTGGTGGGACTACTCTCTTGGTACCGACAGCAAGTACCATGCGTACAAGGAGCGTGTGGCTGCTTCCAAGGCCAAGACGGCCAAGGAAAGGGCCGAGTTTGAGAGGCGAGAAATGGAGGAGGTTGAGAAGGAGGGTGTCCGTGCGGAGCGGTTGGCTGAGGCTTACGGCAAGCGTGCGGTAAAGACTGAATAGATCTAGACTATGTAGAATCATAAAGTTTTAAGACGGACAATGGGGAAGAGGATTGGTCCGGGGGGCGGACGTTATATTTAGACTGCCACAGCATTTCTCCTACATATATACATTATTAACTGCATGAAACCTCCCCTTGGTTGACAACTTTCTGATTCGGCTTGAGAAATACAGGATGAAAATGATTCACTGCCAGACTACAGATCGAAGAAGCAGCGAAGAAGCGATAACTGAATGAAAGAGAGGCGCGCGCTCGCAGCAGCTTTTTCCCAAGTGCCCCCCACATACTAGGAACTCTTCTGGCATCTTCGACGGCGACCGCCGCAGGGTTGATCGATCCGTGACGTTCTCCGGGGTTCGCCATAAAAATCTCGTCTTTTTCTTTCTTCACCTTCTCATAACTTCCTCTTTTTACCTACACTCTAAATACATATCAAAATGGTTAAGGCTGTCGGAATTGGTGAGCACCCTCGCACTGCCAGACTTGCTAGAGCTAACCATATCCCACAGATTTGGGTACCACCTACTCCTGTGTCGCCGTTTGGCAAAACGACCGTGTCGAGATCATCGGTGAGTGCATACCCTTGCCACTCTGTTATTCCTTGTACTGACATTGCCTAGCCAACGACCAGGGTAACCGAACTACCCCCTCTTACGTCGCTTTCAACGACTCTGAGCGTCTTATCGGTGATGCCGCTAAGAACCAGGTCGCCATGAACCCCTACAACACTGTTTTCGACGCCAAGCGATTGATTGGCCGAAAGTTCGCCGATGCCGATGTCCAGGCCGACATGAAGCACTGGCCTTTCAAGATTGTTGACAAGGCTGGCAAGCCCGTCATCCAGGTTGAGTACAGGGGCGAGGAGAAGAGCTTCGTGAGTACTTTCGATGACCGCGGTTCTGATTTTGACTGACGTTTGTTGCAGACTCCCGAAGAGGTTTCTTCCATGGTCCTCATCAAGATGAAGGAGACCGCTGAGGCTTACCTCGGTGGTGCCGTCACCAAGGCCGTTGTCACCGTCCCCGCCTACTTCAACGACTCTCAACGTCAGGCTACCAAGGACGCTGGTCTCATCGCTGGTCTCGATGTCCTCCGTATCATCAACGAGCCCACCGCTGCCGCCATCGCCTACGGTCTCGACAAGAAGACCGAGGGTGAGAAGAACGTTCTCATCTTCGACTTGGGTGGTGGTACCTTCGATGTCTCTCTCCTCACCATCGAGGAGGGTATCTTCGAGGTCAAGGCCACCGCTGGTGATACTCACTTGGGTGGTGAAGACTTTGACAACCGTCTCGTCAACCACTTCGTCCAGGAGTTTAAGAGGAAGAACAAGAAGGGTAGGTTTCTTGGCTCTACAGAGCGAATTTCACTGACGTACCGCAGACCTTTCCTCCAACGCTCGTGCCCTCCGACGACTCCGAACCGCCTGTGAGCGTGCTAAGAGGACCCTTTCTTCTGCCGCCCAGACTTCCATCGAGATCGACTCCCTCTTCGACGGTATTGACTTCTACACCTCCATCACCCGTGCCCGATTCGAGGAGCTCTGTCAGGACCTCTTCCGATCCACCATGGACCCCGTCGAGAAGGTCCTCCGAGACTCCAAGATTGACAAGTCCAACGTCAACGAAATCGTCCTCGTCGGTGGTTCCACCCGTATCCCCAAGATCCAGAAGCTCGTCTCCGACATGTTCTCTGGCCGTGAGCCCAACAGGTCTATCAACCCCGATGAGGCCGTCGCCTACGGTGCCGCCGTCCAGGCCGCTATCCTTACCGGTGACACCTCCGAGGCTACCCAGGACTTGCTCTTGCTCGATGTTGCCCCTCTCTCCATGGGTATCGAGACCGCTGGTGGTATCATGACTCCTTTGATCAAGCGAAACACCACTGTCCCCACCAAGAAGTCCGAGACCTTCTCTACCTATGCCGACAACCAGCCCGGTGTCCTTATCCAGGTCTTCGAGGGTGAGCGTGCCAAGACGAAGGACTGCAACTTGCTCGGAAAGTTCGAGCTCTCTGGTATCCCTCCTGCCCCTCGAGGTGTTCCTCAGATCGAGGTCTCCTTCGACGTTGACGCCAACGGTATCTTGAACGTCAACGCTGCCGACAAGTCCACCGGTAAGAGCCAGAAGATCACCATCACCAACGACAAGGGTCGATTGTCCAAGGAGGACATTGAGGCTGTGAGTATCTCTCTTCCTTTGTACGAGCTGCATGCTGACTTTCTACTAGATGCTTGCCGATGCCGAGAAGTTCAAGGCTGAGGACGAGGCCGCCGCCGCCACCGTCCAGGCCAAGAACGGTCTTGAGTCTTACTCTTACTCTCTCAAGACCACCTTGTCCGACAACGCCGACAAGTTCGACGCCGAGGACCACAAGACCCTCACCGCCAAGGTTGACGAGGTCATCAGTGCCCTTGACACCATGGAGACCGCCTCCAAGGAGGAGTTCGAGTCTTTGCAGAAGGAGCTCGAGGCTATCGCCAACCCCATCATGACCAAGTTCTACGGTGCTCAGGGTGGTGCTCCCGGCGGTGCCCCCGGTGGCTTCCCCGGTGCTGGCGCTGAGGGTGCTGCCCCCGCCCACGAGGACGGCCCCTCCGTTGAGGAGGTTGACTAAGTCAATCGCCAATCAGAGGAGTGGGCGAGAAGAAGTAGACAGAAACAGTAGAAGAAGTAGAAGTGCACTGCACAATCCAAAAAGGATCCAAGGACCTTCCATAATATTTTCTTTTTTTCCATTATCTTGTCATACGAGGAGTGTATATGCATCGGACTAGACTACACTTTGGGGCATGGGCATCTTCTGCAAGCTGAAAGCATCTGTGCAGCCCCAAGGGAATGGAGGATTTGAAGAGAGAGATGCGTCACTCATCATTGTAAGCGCCAGGCCGCCGGTCTGCGTGGTGCCTGCGTTGTTGTGCTCTTGGCGTGTCGTTCGTCTCCTCTTCCTCGGTCCATGTATTCTGCTCGCAACGTCCATCTGAAATGTTCTCCAATATCACTCACCAAGGTACGTCTGGATGGGTATACATTGCGTACCATTTGTGCTCACTGATTGTTTGTTTTTCTCATTAGACAAGGTTCGTTGCTTCAGCATCCGGCTTGCCCCGTACTCATCTCGGTCTAGGAAGCCTTCTTCTCCCTTCTTGACGAATACTTTGCCTCCCGGGGCCATGTCCTCGCCCCAGCCAACTCCCCTCCTACTGTAGATGCCGCATCTCGCCCATCCCGCTCACTGCCTCCAGCCCGCAATCGTCCCGACCCTATCTCCCCGCCGCCTACCGCATCTCATTACACCTCGCTCATCTCGCCAACTGCCTCGAGACAGAGCCAGGAGTACGAGAACAATGCTGAATCTCAAGAACAGCCTGATATGGCCCAGCGATTCATCTCGTCTGGTGTCAAGTATGGCACGTCAGGAGCAAAGTCGGGCGTGGGTGCCATCTCAAGAAACAAGGATGCTATGAACCTCTTGGGGAAGGCCGGGATGGGGGGAATGATGGGCAAGGCGAATGACAGGCTGAACAAACCTACAAGTCCTACGGAGCAGACTGCGAACAAGGCCACCCCGCCGCCCATTGCGCCCAAGAAGGGCGGAGGCGTATCGGGACTCGTCTCCTCCAAGGCATGTTGATCGTCTTTTTGCGTGTACCAGAGGCTGATGGACGATTACCAGACGTTCGGCCATGTTGATACAGCCAGCAAGATGGGTGCCTTCACGAGCATGTGGAAAGACCCAAAGAGTGAGTGAGCCTGGGAGCAGACTATGATGGTGTTGACCATCAACTCCTAGCCAAACCAGCAGAATCTATTCACCTCCCCCCTGCCCTCTCACATTCGCATTCCAATCTCCCGCCTCCTTCCCGCAGGGATGGCTCAGGCTCTCATCACGCGGCTTCACCCTCTCCGTCAGCTGATACGTCAACGCCTGCAGGGGGTGATCTCGCGAACGGGACTGGCGTTCAGCAAGGACAAGCGCAGGCGCTTTATGATTATGCGGGAGCTGTAGGTCCATACTGACGATATTGAGCCGTTTGCTGAACCATCGGTGCCAACAGGATAGCGGTGATCTGACCGTGCAGGCTAATCAAGTGGTCAACATTATCGCAAAAACGTCCTCTGATTGTACGTGCTGGTATGCGCTACCTTCCAGAAGCTGATATCGAGCAGGGTGGACATGCGAAGACGGGAATGGGCAAAGAGGCTTGGTGCCAGCTACGTATCTACAAGAGATCTGAGAGAGTTGCTGAGGAGTTATCGATTGTTTATAAATGGTCATCAGAACGACAGAGACGCATGTATGTCTTAGTGTATCTTTGCCTGGCAAATTTGCATGCTCCTATTCCCGATGCACGGACGCCTCTTACACGTACGCAGATACACTATTATACACGGCACAGATTGCCCTCTCAATCAACCAAGACCCATCGTGTCCCTTCCCTCCTCTGTGTCTTCTTCTGCACCGGCAGATCAACGCCCAAATCCTTGAAATGAGGAGTCACAAACACTTCTCTCTCATTATCATTCGCCCCGACTCTCTTGCCCATGCCCTTCGTCGGCATCTCCATGGGCCTCGAGAATGTACAAAGACCCTTGCCCAGACTGGGGAGCCAAGCCGGGTTGATCTTGGTGATGTTCTTCATCCACGGCTTACTCGTGCGGACGACCTCAGCAAAGACGATAAACTCTGGAGGAGTGTGGTGGAAGAGGGAAGATCCAGGGTGAATGAACACAGCCTCAGATCCAAGACCGACTGCTCGGTAAGGAACACCCCGGGTAGAGTCAAAAGTGACTCCCTTCTTCAAGATGATATCTTCGCGCACAGCGACCTGGTCGATGAACCCGGCAGCGAGGATCTGGCGGAGGACCTTGAGTTGGGTGTCGCTGGGAGGAGTGATCTTTGTGAGGGCGGTTTGGGCGATGGAGGATATCTGAGCTCGGAGCTGATGGATTTCTTGCATCGCCTGTAGATGGTGAGCATAGTACAGATATCAAAAAGACCGACGTACCTTGAGCCGAACAAAGTTGTTGGTGCAAAAGTTGGCCGAGGGGCTGTACTCGTAGGCTCCAATGACTGCCAGAAGTTTAAACATGTCGCTAGCTCCTTGACCGAGTGCCATGAATTGCTATGTCACGTTAGCGATATTTGAAACCAGTCTTATATGACATACCTGGTGGGCCTTGAAGAATCTGCTTCTTGTCTCCTTCCTCTGCTCCTTCGCCCTGATCTCTTCACTCCTGATATGTCTGTTTTCAGGAGCCTCATCCTCATCTTCATCCGCCTCCAAGGTCTGTTCGTGCAAGAACGGGTCGCCAACAGACATACCGGCTACTATGGCAATCACATACGGCAGGCAGTTGTGCTGCGTGCCAATAGCAAGCATCTTGGCGAATCTAGGGGAGACGGGGAAGCCGGCCATGGCTTTACCGAGCTCGGTTATTTGCCCACCGGCAGCGCCAACGTGCTGAATACCGTTCACCATCCTCGTCTTGACGGGAAGCGAGAGGGCGCCCAGGTTGGTGAGAAGGCTTTCGGCTCGTCTCAGCGCGAGACGGTCTGGTGGCGTGGGGAAGGGGAAATTGATGACAGCGTCAATGTTCATACTCTTCATCTGCAAGACGACACCTTCAATAGGCATACGCAATATCTCGGGTTTCGAGAATTGCTCGAAATGGTCTTCAAAGAGCGCGGAAGAGTAGAGTCGGTAGCAATGACCAGGTCCGGTACGACCCGCACGACCAGCTCTCTGCGACGCTGAAGCTTTCGACACCCACGAAACCTGGAATGACTGGACACCATTGCTGGGGTCATAATGCCTCTCTTTGGCTCGGCCAGAGTCGACGACGTATCGAATACCGGGAATGGTAAGTGACGTTTCGGCAACGTTGGTAGAGATGATGACGAGACGGTGATCCTCGGGTGGGGGCTTGAACACCAGCATCTGCTGGTCGTTGGGGAGGAGAGAGTAGAGGGGAAGGACGTGCATGGGCACTGTGAATGTCAGCTCTGAAGTTCTCAATGGTGGAATGGGCTCACTGTCGCTCGGCTCGTCAAACTCGAGGCCGGGGATACCTTCAATCTCATCGTCGGTGTCCAGCCCTTCGGGGTCGCTATCGGCCGCCCCGTCATCAACATCCGCCGCGAGATCCTGGTCTCCCCCAAGCTCGACCTCTTCCGCTTCTCGCTCTGCAAAGGATCAGCTGTGTTCGCCTTGAAATGATCTTGGCTCACCATCCGGAGGTAGAGTGTTATCCACAGCAGGAGCCTTCTTTCCGTCACTCTTTTTTGTATACTTCTTTTCCAATTTCCGACACAACGCCTGAATCTCGCTCTGACCCGTCATAAAGACAAGGATACCACCGGGAGGCAGCCTCGCGTGAATCTTGGACACCTTTTTATAAGCTTCCGTGACATAGTCGCTAGCAGTCTTTTTGCTGAAATGGATAGTAACAGGGTGTTGACGAGCGGCGATATGGATGACGGGGGGTTTTTGCGAAAAGAGCGTAGAGTTTTCGGCAAAGTCTGAGACTCGAAGGGTGGCAGACATGACCACAATTCTGAGAGGCTTCACACCTTCCTTGCCTTCTCTCCACATCTTTTCCCTCAGCTTGGAAACACGACTGAGCACACCGACAAGTACGTCTGTATTGACTCCTCGCTCGTGCGCTTCATCGACGACGACGACGCTGTACCGGCTCAGCAAAAAATCTGACGCAAGCTCGCGCAGGAGGACACCGTCGGTCATGAACTTGATCGCAGTTTGGGCAGAGGTAGTGGATGAGTATCGGATTTGGTGAGCGACCAGGGAATTGTTGGGGGAGAGGTTCAGTTCCGAGCGGACTCGCTCGGCTAGGGAGACGGCGGCGACTCGACGGGGTTGGGTGACGGCAACCATACCGGGATTATCTGTCAGAGGTTAGTGGGGCACACCGACAAGGTGGATTTAGACTCACCAGATCCCTTGAACCCGAATCCAGCTTCGTACAACATCTGAGGTACCTGGGTGGTCTTACCACTACCAGTCTCACCACAGATGATCACCACAGGGTGCATCAAGATTGACTCGATGATGGATTGTTCTTCAGAAAGAATAGGCAAGTCCATTCTGCTTTCCGTCACGGATGCCCGGCGAGTAATAGTGGGGCGAGCCTTGGAAGCTGTGCTTCCCTTGGTCTGTTGTTCGAGAAGGGATGTCGTGGGGACGTGAAGCTCTTGTCCAAGGGGCCCGATGTAGTCGCCGACCTTGGCTGCAGGGAGGGGTTTGGGTTTCGGCGCTGTAGAGGCTGGCTGAGCGTCCAAGAGGTCGGGGGCCGAAGGCTCTTCGGTTTGACCCATTTGTTTGAGAGCCCAGGACTTGAAGCCGAGAGAGCGTTTCTTCTTTGGTGGAGACTCGCTTTCTTCATCTTCTTCAGAGTCACTCTCTTCGTCGCTGTCGGCGGAATCTCCTTCTTCTCCACTCTCCATCTCTTCATCCTCATCGCTATCTTCCTCGTCCTCGTCACTGTCTTCGTCCTCATCACTATCATCCTCGTCGTCGTCGTCGTCGTCGTCGTCGTCGTCGTCTTCATCATCGCCGCTCTCCGGGCGCTGATCAACCCCACGTCGGCCAAACATGCCATAGACAAAGGGCTTCTTTCGACGGACCACCACCCTCGGCGGAACAATCTGCCCATCAGCCGACTTTTTGAGCGCACCGCCAGTTACGATAGGTGGCAACGGGGTCGTGGTTGCCTTGACCTCTACATTCTGTGTTGGAGGGGCAGGCGATTTCAATTTAGGGGGCTCGGCTTCGTCGGGAGAGTCGTTGGCAGAGTCTGAAGAGTCGAAATCGGACGAGTCTGCTTTTTGCGAGGGAAGGCTGGGGTTCCAGTTGGCCTGCAGCAAGATCAGAAAAGTTACCAGACGTTTTGATGTACTCACCTTTTTGGGCATCTTGCCCTTGCCCTGCCCCTTGGACGCAGCTTTCGCTGCGGCTTTGAGCTGACTTTTGCTGGGCACAACAGTCGTAGCAACCTTGTCCTCTTCTTCCACACCATCATCTTTGACCACCTCCACAGTCTCCCTGGCTTTTCCCTTGCCCTTCATCCGCCTCTCCTCCTCTTCCTCACTCTCCTCACTTTCGTCCTCTTCACCGAATCGCCTGGTGAGCCTCTCAATGCCGTTACGCACGAGCTTGTCTTCTCGCTTTTCTTGTCTCTCTTTCGCGCTGATGGGATTGAGGGGGTGTTGACCAAGACTGGCGGCAGAGGCCAGTGAAGCAGAGGTGGACGCCGAGGGTGCTAGCGATTGAAGGAGTTTGAGGGTCTCGTATCTTTGTTCAGTCTTGAGTTTCTTTGCCTGAACAGGTGTAAGCACTATGGGTCATCGCAAAAGCGTAACCATACCATGAAAGACTCGAATCGCTTGCGCTTCTTGCCGGACATGCCTGCCGTGGCCGCATCCTCTGGCTCTGCCTGTTCGTTGTCCTGTGGTCTCCTCTGTTTTCTCTTCTTGTGGCTGTCCGCGCCGGCAACAGCGCCACGCGCCTTTGCGTTGTATCGTTCTCGCACTGGAGGACCCGCCATGACTTGACTTTAGTTGTGATCCCAAACACCTGAGCGTTCAGAATTGTCTGTTGCCAAAATCTTGGGCTTCGGCCGCCGAAGCGCGACGGGACCAAATTTCCTATGACGCAGGATGGCTGAAAGGACCTGCATGCAATCGAGAGGCCTCATCTCATCCACCTATACCGCCACTGCGTATCTATCGACCACTTTCGCGGACCATCTTCTCACCCCCCTCACTCGACTGGACCTGAATCTACATCAGCGGCGATGCAGGCACTCAAGAATGCCGCCCTCGGCCTGCTGAACGTCTATGTCTCACCCTACGTCGAGAACTTGAACGCCCAGGACTTGTCTCTGTCCCTGTTCAGCGGTGAGTATAGTCTTCCCTCGAGGAGGGCGCAACTGATAACGCGGCAGGTAACCTCCAATTTCACGGTTTACACCTCAAAAAGTCTCTGCTCGAACGATTCGGCCTGCCGGTAGAGATTGTCGCAGGAGATATTGGTACTCTGTCAGTATCCATCCCGTGGACAGCCCTCAAGACGCAGCCCGTCAAGATTGTCATCGACGACGTCTATGCTTTGGCAAGAGCGAGACCTCCCGGAAAGGTAGATCCGGAAGAAGACGAACGAATAGAACAGGCGACCAAGCAAGAGAAATTGAAGAGCGCAGAGGCTGTTGATAGTGCAGCCAACCAGGTGGGGCAAGGAGCGCACGATGATTGTGAGTCGGATGTGCTATAGTATACGCGGGCTGACGGCGTTGCAGCCAAACAGACTTATGTGGGAGCGATTGTTTCCAAGGTCGTAGACAACGTACAGATTCACGTCAAGAACATCCACGTGCGATACGAAGACGGCACCAGCACACCCGAAGTAAGCGTCCCCCTTGCTCATAGCCATATCAAGCTGACGTTTGTAGCACCCCTTCGCGGCCGGTATCACCCTCAACGAGTTCAAGGCTGTCTCCACCGACGCGAACTGGGTGGAGGCCTTCATCCACGACAGCCTCAATGGTGTACACAAGCTTGTGCAGCTCGGAGCACTGGCAATCTACTTTGACACCGACACTGGAAGCCTCGATAAGGGCGCCGAAGATAGATCCGGCACGATCAATGCTCTCAGAAGCATGCTCACCGGGTCTCCCAATCACCAATACATCTTGAAGCCCGTCACAGGCGAAGCCCGAGCCATCATCAACAAACACATGTCAAATGAAACACCCAAATTCGACGCGCAAGTCATCTTTGACGAGATCGGTGTCGTGATCGACCGCGACCAGTATCGAGACGTCTTGTCTGTCGTTGATGTGTTTCACTTTTACCGCCGAACGCATCAGTATCATAAATTCTTGCCACCCGCGCAAGAGGCCAAGGAAACCCCTGCCCAGCGACGCTGGAAGTTTGCATTGGACGCTATCCGGTCAGAAGTCCATGATCGCAACAAGCGCTGGTCTTGGGCGTACCTTGCAGAGAGACGAGATACGCGAAAGAAGTACGTTGAACTGTATGTGCAAAAGCTGGCATTGCCAGAAGGCAAACAATTGCCGGCAGACGAAGAAGCTGCCGTTGCCGAGATTGAAACCAAAGCGTCATACGAAGACATTCGATTCTTCCGCTCTGTTGCCCGCGCCAGGGCAAAGAAGGACGCCGTCACTCGGCGCAAAATGGAACTCGAACGCCAAAAAAATCAACCCCAGGTCCAGACATGGGGTCAATGGATGTGGGGCTCTTCAGCACAGTCGACCAATTCGGAGAATGGTATCTCTGAAGAGGAGAAGAAGGAGTTGGACGACATTATCGACTATGATGCGGCGGCGGCTGAAGAGACTGCCATCGAGTCGACACCGCGCGATTTCATGAAGGCCCGAGTGTCTGCCAAACTCAACAAGGGATCTTTGGCTCTGCGAACTGACCCGCATGGCAAGAACAATGATATCATTGCTCTTGTCTTTGACTCGTTCTCTGCAGATGCAGTGCAGCTTACCGATTCCATGACTGGTAAAATGGCTCTCGGCGGCTTTAGAGTCTATGACGGTACAACCCCCGGCTCGCTCTACCCGCAAATCGTCCGAGTCAAAGATATTGAGAAAAAGGCGAGCCAGATCAGCCTCGCGCAAGAAGGCGTTGAAGGCGCACTTGATGGTATCGGCGACAAATCGCAGGACAGCTCGGATCCCTTCTTTGTCGTTGAAGTCGAACAGAACCCTCTTGACGGCCGAGCGGACAATGCTGTTACTGTCAAGATGAGACATCTCGAGATCATCTACCATCGAGGCTATGTGGAGGCTGTGCATCAGTTCTTTAGGCCCCCAGAGAGTCAGCTGGAGTCGATAGGCGCTCTTTTGGATGCTGCTGGGCAGACGTTGGATGGTCTCAGAAAGGAGACGCGAGCAGGTTTAGAGTATGCTTTGGAGCAGCACAAGGTGGGTGCGATTACGATTGCGGGATTCTAGCTGATGATATGTAGACTATCGACCTCCGAGTTGATATGAATGCCCCCATCATCGTCATCCCAATGGAGTAAGTCATTCGAATGCGCGTGTGCTCCAAGCTGATATCCTTGTAGCGTGACAGTCAAGAAGAGTGAAACTCTTGTTCTCGATGCTGGTCATATCTCGGTCAACAGCAGTCTTGCCGACAAGCAGCAACTGCAAGATGTCCAAAGCAAGCGAGGGAAGCAATATAGCGAGGATGATTACAAACAACTCGAAGACTTGATGTATGACAAGCTCAATCTGAGATTGGAGTCTACCCAGGTGAGTTTCACCCAAAACGCCTCTCTACAATCTGACAAGTAGTAGCTGCTTATGGGCGATGATGCCGACGCTTGCATGCAAGCACTTGAAGACACCGACAACTCCTCCGCCTACGAGCTTCACGTCGTCGAGCGCATTGGCATGTCCTTCACTGTCCAAAACGCCATCGTGAATGCTCCCAATTTGACCCGCTTCAAGATTGCCGGTGAATTGCCCACTCTACACGTCAACTTTTCCGATAGGAAATACAAGACACTGATGAAGTTCATCGATGTGTCAATTCCCAAGTTTGGCGATGAAGATGAGGAACAGAAGGATGAACCTGTTGCGGCCAAGGGCAGGAGGCACTTTGGAAGAAGGCAGCCGGTGGAAGAGTTCAACTTTGATGATGATCGGTCTATCGTGTCTGCCAAGACCATCGAAGAGAGGGATGACAGCAGTTCCATCGGTGACAAGGGCGATCATTTCTATGAGGCGAATGATGATCAAACAGAGGTAAGACATCCTTCTATCCACCATCACAGATGACTGACAGCCCGTACAGAGCCAGAAGAGTGCCCTTCGACAAGTCACCTTTGAATTCTCCTTCTCTGTCGGCAAGCTTCAAGCATCGCTTTTCAAATCTATATCGCCCACGGAAGAAAGACCCTTGGCGGATGCCGTCCTGGAAGGCTTCGGTCTTACTTTTGCTCTGCGCAAATGGGACATGTCGGTCGATTTGTTCCTCCGATCTGTCACTCTGGCTATGATTGAGCATGGAAGCGCACGAAAGCCTCTGCTTTCGTCTGCTACCCACGGGGAGGAGTCTCCTTCGGACCTCAAGCTGGTCCAGGTCAAATACCAGAAGGTCCAAAAGGAGTCACCCGAGTTCATGACCAAACATGAAGGGGTGGACACCAGCATTGAGACCGAGCTGTCTACCTTCCGCTTCACTATTGCGCCAGAACCCATCCTGTCTCTCTACGACTTTATCATGACCACTTTCGTTCCAAAGGATCAAGACAATGCCGAAGAGACTGCTGTTGCCAGCACTCAGGACCATAACATCGAAGAAGAAAAGTCGACGGACAAGATGAGGATCCGAGTCAAATTGACGAGCGCCGAAGTGCTTTTGGAGAACAATGCCAAACAGTTTGCCATGTTGACGTTGCCTTCTGCGGATGTTGCCATCTTGCTTCGAGGAGGCACTCTTCGAGTAGGCGCAAGACTCGGTGATCTTTCTTTGGACGACTTGTCGGATGACGCGGTGGCGGACCCGACTTTCAAGAAGTTGCTGTCCATCGAAGGTGGAGAATTGGCCGACTTTAGCTACGAAACTTTCGATCCCACGGACGAAGAGACTTTTCCGGGTTACAACTCGTCCGTCAACCTCCGAGCAGGTTCTCTCAAGTTTACTTTCATGGAGAGACCTGTGCACGACTTGTATGCCTTTGCCATCAAGTTTGCTCGGATGAAGGCCGTCTACGATGCTGCCCAGCAAGCGGCAGTCCAGCGAGCATCAGAGGTCACCAGGATGCACTATGACATTGTGGTCAAGACGCCTATCATCGTCCTTCCTCGTGATGGTCTCACTTCGAAAGATCGGCTCGTTCTTCGACTTGGTGAAATTGTCGCCAAAAATCAGTATCTCGATGACCCCGACGATACTAGCACGATTGACGCTAGTTTGAGGGGCATCAATGTGGCCTCTGAGATCGCCCTGAATGACAAGACGGTCACCTTGCAAATGGTGGATGATGTTGCTATCACCGCTGCAATCAAGCAAGCAGGAGGGTCAAGTCACAGGGTTGATCCCCACCACGCAGATACCGAGGTGGGTCACCCATATACCGCATTGTACTCACTGACATCGTGCATAGATCACAACAGACATGTCTGATGTCAAGCTCTCCCTGACTCAGAGGCAGTATATCTTGCTCATGAGTGTCCTCCAATCGCTCCCTCGGGCTCTTAGCTTCGACGAAGATGACGGTGACTTCTCTCCCGATGAATCTACAGCCATCACTCCGAACACCTCGGTGCCTCCTACACCGATTGGTGAGGAACCACCACAGATTACCGATGTCAGCCTCGAGCCGGAGCTCGTAGTGGCTAGAGTAGACGACAACACTGGTGACGTCAAACAATGGACCTCCCTCGACTTTGTGTTCTCCGTGAACTCTATTGCTCTCGAGATCTACAATGTGGACGCTGTTTCCGAAGAGGATCTGAAACAGAATAGCATTGCTCGTTTCGCTCTTGTTGGCTCTCATGTCGGTTTC